TATCGTAAAGCTCAAGAAAGCTGGATTCTGATTGGCTAATGTCGCTTTCTTGTCAGTCATTTCATTGGTCGGTCAAAGTTCGCGAAAGGTCGTTCTGACGTGACCCGTAATGGGATGTCCTCAGATCTTTGCTAAGCAGTAGCGAAAACTAAGATCTGATTTTAATGAGATTGAGTTGATGACCCATGGAATCATGGACCTCCAGCAGAGATAAGTCTAGGTTCTGGAACTTCCTTTATGAACCAGGGGGATAGAGGCATCCTAACTTACGTCAGCATCTTTGGATGCACTTAAGACTCCCTACTTGGTAAATTTGACGGCTGAATATTCTCCTCTGAAACACTTTTTGGGATGATGATATTGTCACAGGATCTTAACCTCTAACATTAGCTGCTTTGATAATATCCTTCTCATTGACTTTAGCGGTGGATTTATACATACATCGGAAGCATATTATGTCTCCTTATATTTCAATGTCAGTTGGTCATGCATTACGGAATAAATGGCCAGTAATTTTATGGCATTTGATTAGCAATTCTCTTTGTGTTTATGTTTCAATATACTGAAAATATGACGCCCTGTCTACAGGGTGATAATGGGATGGTCATGGCTTGTGTTGTATAATGGCGCTGAACGATGTTACTGATTTCACATTTTTGTCTGCAGCTACTTTTGGGCTATGTTTGTTTGTTTGTTGTTTAACACTACACTCAGCAATATTCCAGCTATATGACGGCGGTCTGTAAATAATTGAGTCTGGACCAGACAATCCAATTATTGACATCATAAGCATCGATCCACGTAATTGGGATACAATGACATGCATCAACCAAGTCAGCAAGCCTGACTGCCAGATCCTGTTAGTCACCTACGACAAGCATAGTCGCCTTTTACGGCAAGCATGGGTTGCTGAAGACCTATTCTACCCCGGATCTTCACGGGTCTTTTGTGCTATGATTAAATAAGAACTCTGTGAAGTTATTTATGTTGACTAATTCATTAATAACTGTCTTCTATATGTATTTGCAGTTATGGAGGTACATGTATAAAAGTAAAATCTGCTATGTATATTTACACAGTATGCACGTTTTTAACTTTAATACCTCCATAAACACATCAATTCTTAAAAACACGGATAAGAAGTGACAGCTCGTATTTTGCAGGATAATCCCCCTTTAAATCATAACATGGTCTAAATGAGCAGTCCTAATCCTGTGGCCTAGATTTATCTCTGCTCCATATGCCATCAGTTCTGGTTCCACGGCTCTTATCACTACAATACATTGTATAACGAACACAGCATAATAAATACCAGACTAAATACATACAGACAACCATACAACAGTCAAATGCTACATGTAGTTCAGCACCATATTTGGACTTGATTGATTTAAGCATATATAAGCCTTCAAAATACATAATTGATACATATTTCATATACAACAGTACATATAGGTCTATCATACACACAGCTGCTAATAGAGTACTGGCTACTGGCAGATATGTAATCGACGTGTGCATAATAGAAACGATTACATATAATGATAGTTATTGATTTTTGAGATCTTTAGGTAACTATTAAAATTAAAAATTTGAGTAAATATTGATCGTCCTATTTTATGCAGTGCTATTGATGTTCACAATGCAAAAATAATTTAAATATTTTCTAGGGGAAAAAATTCACAGCATTCGCAGAAAGCCAACATATTAACATTGAGTCATATGACTACATTGCTAAGAAAATAACGAACATACCAAACACATGTATATGGTCACAACACATCTGCAAAATACTGGTTACATGAATGTGCAGGCAAAATATTCCATAATGGCACACAGGGTGGAAAGAGTTCCTCTAAAAACAATGATTTCAACACCCCAAATGAAAATAATCAAGTGGAATTTCACAAGAATATTCCAATAAGCAAAGTGATGTTCACTTCATTCTCTCCAAACAAAAATAAGCATTTGGTCTTTGTTGTGATACACACATATGGTTGACGTCAAATTTGACAAGATGAGACAAACACATGCTGTTGAACAAGAAAAGCCAAATGTTCTATTAATTAAGTATTTTCTGGCAAACCTTAGTTTCAAAACAATACAGGCATCGAGCATGCATCTTCCTGAGGTAAGAGAGTTAACCAACTTTAAAAGTCCAGTTTCCACCCTTGCTGAACTAGGCTGGAATTCCTGGGCTCGATCGTAGCGCCACCAGTGGTCATTACGAGTTATGTCCCTTCCTAGCCTCTCCTATTGAACAATCAGATTTCACCTCTCGTATGACTTGCATTTGTTTAAAACAAAATGACGGCGCCCAGTCAAGACGATCTGGTCGATAACCAAGATCTATATTGTGACACAACGGGTCTTACATCGCGAAGTGCATCAAATCACGTGAGCACCTTGATTAAAAACATGAAAAGATTGGGAAAATATCTGTTGACAACGAGTTGGTGGTGCACGTTTTGCAATTCCTGCAATTGACCAAAATCTGCACGACAGTTTACGAACCGGATTTTGATTTTGTTGCACGATTTTTATTGGTCTAATCATAACTTGTTAGTCCAGCCAAAATGTAACGAAATAATACAAGCCTAGTTCGGCAAGGGTGGAAACTGGACTTTTATAGTCAGTTAACTCTCTTGCTTTGGGAAGATGTCCAGCATGAAGAGCATGCATGAGTGGTTCCAGCCTTAGTGGTTGGTACTTCACTCACTGATGATTCCTACTGCAGATGACTACAGTATTTTATCACTAAATACAAAATAAATGCATGCATATATCCTATATATCATCAAAAGATCATCACATATCTTTCTGAAAGGTTTTCCTCCTTTCTTACATAAGTTGATAGTATAAAACACTATCATCAAACTGTTTATAGATCATCGTCAATACTTCATAGGTTTCTACACACTACGTCCTCCATCTGTGAATACGTATGACAGATATGCAGTGTGGTAATAACATGTCCCATTTGAAGTCAAGCAATGAAATGTGGAGAGGGGTTTATCTAGGATTTCAAACTAAGTGCCCTTGCAAGGCAAATTTGAATAAAAAAATATTTTGTAAAAAAAATTGGAATTTAAATTGTTCATTTTTTGTCTGTAACTGTGTTCTAACATTGTATTCAATGCAATGATGTAAAACTAAATAAAAGAGCACATACTATAACTGTTCTTGTCAGAATAATGCAAGCCACTACTACAACATGTACAAAGCCATAACATTAGTTGATTATTATTATGAAATTTTAATTCCGATTGGGGAATGTTTACTGACATTTGTTGTAGACTTGGAACCGAATATAGGCATCTGAGCAGGTCTAGATAATTCCCTGGATGCTCGTGCGAGTACAAGGAAGTGTAACTATTCCATCCATGAAGTTTGTCCGAACTCTACAACTGTAGGATCTAGCAGGAAATGTGGAGAGGAGGTGACCGTAAGGCAGTAGCACATACTGCAGGAGAAATATATCTGTTCGTACATGTAAACTGAGCACTCATTGGTCAGAGCACATGCTGTTTTCCTTCTCACAAGAACCAGTTATGGATTGATTCACTGGTCAAAGTGGACATATTTACAGTAAATCATGAAATTAACACATCACCAAATAGATGCAAGCTTTTTTATACATGTCATTCTTTTTGGAAATATGCAGTGCACCTGACAAGATACTCCAGATATGGCCAGAAAGAAACGTGCCACTTTATTGATGTGGGCAAGGACACTCACATTTTCCGCATTAATTTCATGATTTTCAGTATTCAAGGTGATGGAGGAATGCAGAATACAAATAAACCCGTGAAGTATTGACGATGCTTATAATTATGAAAGCACACAACAGAACACAAGCAGGATACAATAAGGCAAAGGGATAATCTTTGGCAAGCAAATACTCAGACGGATATCGAAATACTATCTGTTAAGTTGTTAAAGCTTCAGATACAGAGGGATAACAATTTCATCTACAAAAATAGAATTTCTGCAGAGAAACGTTTTGTTACAAAATGGTTACTAAGGCTAAAACAAAAATAATCTTTGTTCTCTGGTAGAGCCTGCTTCAGTTAACATTCCTGCAGGATTACGTTCGTTGCTTTTCTACTTTCTCGAAAATGAAAATGTGCTTGTATTTCTACACTAAAGAGGGCATTCTTCATAGTCATCTAATTTTTGTTAATCATTCATTTCCAAAAGTTTTTGGCCATACACACTAAAAATATTTTGAATACAATCTGGTATCATAAGTATTTAATGTGCTGACTTTGTTCTCAAATTCATGATCAAGCTTTTTTTGTAAGACAATTTGAACATGCTTTTCACATTTTCCAATTTCTTAAAACAAAACTTTATCATATATCACAAAGAAATACACCTAGATTTTTTATATTGTTCTAATCCTTTATCAAATCATTGGAGTATAAATATATATGTACTATGTTTTCTATTATATAGCATATTCACTAATCACTGTCACATTAAATAACAAGATCTCTTTCCAACATTATCATAAGCAAAATATGTAAATACATTTGATAAAGTCATAAATAATAGTCACAACCAAAAGATAGTTAGAAAAAACTGTATTGTTTCATTTACTCGAGGAATAAATAAGAACTGTTTTCATTTACTGTTTATTTTATTTTGTTCTGCAAAGAATGCCATCTATCTTTCGATTGGTAACAACCAAGCTTATTAAAGTCAGATCTTTTATTCCGATACACTATATAGATACTTCTCTGTGTGATGATCTGCAAACCCTCCATAGAACATAGTCAGGTGAACCCTGAACACTTACTGAACATAGACCACTTCCGAGTTTTACCACTTCAATTCAGATTTCTTAATGTCAACAAAAAAAAAACCTGCCCAGAACTGAATTATTCCTTCCATGATATGGGTGTAGATTCAATGGTGATAAGAAACAACGATATGATGGTGTGGTTTTTATTATTTACATTTGGAACTGTCTATTTAAGTGTTTTTTCGAGATTCGGAATTATACATGCTTGTGAGAATGCTTCACCAACTAATACAGAGAATGTTAAAGCCTTAAAGTTGAAGAGACACTTCAACTAATGAGACTTCCTTTGGAGTGGTTATCTGACCTTCATGCAGAGAGGCATTATATTAAGAGCATAAAAGATCTGATTTTTAAAAGATTTGGTATTAACAGGTCTGAACGGAGGCAATTCTAAATCAAAATGCTATATTATGCACATAAACAAGTAGAATGCTGCAAACATATTCATGGTAATATTTGGATACTGAATCTGACATGAACACTACAGGCAGGCAGTCAACAATAGCGGACACTCACATGCGACGATTTCGTAAACTCCATAACTATACTTAATGAATTTGCAACTTGTAAAGAAGAAAATAATAGCAATGATTACCTTAAAGTTACTTTGAAAAATGGTGCTCAAATAAAAGAAACATTATGTAAATATGAAACATTTGGACCTGTGGATTTGTATAATATGAAAGATCTCTGGGTTGATTGTTGGTTTTGATGACATTAAGCAGCAGTAGATGAAGACACAAGCCATTGCTAAGCTTTAAGGTAAAACTGAAGACAAACAATTGGCTACAAATACTTATTTGTTTTTTCTCAAGCATTGATTTATAAATGCTGCAAAAAATCTCTTAATAACTAAATCTTGGTTTTTAGAAAACTGTATAAAAATCATCCTTTTCACCTTAAAAAAAAAATCACTATTTGTACATATTCCTCCCTCACATATTTTTTATTACAAATCAAAAGACTATGAAAACATATAAACAATAACTACAATTAAACTCCAAATTAACAAATCCCTGTTCTCAGGGAGTAAGCCATTTGTTTCAATCCATTTGTTTCCTCATACAAATAATATCACCATGGTAGAAACAATCACTGAAAAACAATATTAAAATATCTTGTAAAAAGATTTCAATAAGATCATTCTAAAGAGGGAGGATAAAGTCATAGTACAGTCCAGTACACAGACACAGAAAATGTGCAGTTGTGTACTGCAGGGTTGTTCATTTTCTCCTATTGATTTTATGAGATGCTTATTATGCAATGAGACCCAGTCTGGCAACCTTGGATGACAAGAATGTATGAAGAACAAACACCATTGGCTTTGGGCATGTGTTCAAATCCAGTTCCTGTAATAAAAAACAAGGAGGTTACTCATTTTTTGAGTCAATGAACAAAATTAATATTGACATATTTTGTTCTTGTTTTGTAGGGAAATGATCGAACGTATATACATTTAAAATGAATTAGTTCTTAAGCCATAATGTAATATTGTACCTTGAAGAAAAGATGAATACTAGTGCAAAAATAACACAGTTCTGTATTATAATTATTTTGGCTGAAACATGTAAAACATTATAAAAATACTCAAAAGCTTAAAATATATGTACACCCCAATTCATAATACTTATATCACACTGTTTCAATACATCTCCCAAAATGGAACTATGCCTTTGTAAGAGGCAACTAACAGGATTGGGTGGTCAGACTCGCTGACTTGGTTGATGCATGTCATTGTATCCCAGTTGCGTAGATAAATGTTCCTTGATATTATTCAGTGGATTGTCTGGTCCACACTCGATTATTTACGGACTGCCGTCATATTGCTGGAATACTGCTGAGAGCAGTTTTAAACAACAAACAAACAAACATCTTCCAAATGTTATGAGAGAGGCCATGAGTTGTGTTTAATGCTGTTTTGAGTGAATGAGTGAGTGAGGTTTTTACGCCGCTTTTAGCAATATTCCAGCAATATCTCGACGGGGAACACCAGAAATGGGCTTCACACTTTGTACCCATGTAGGGCCTCAAATCCGTGTCTTCGGTGTGACAAGCGAACGCTTTAACCACACGACTACCCGACCGACCCTGCTGCTTTGAGCAGTACTTCAGTTGTGTCATGCCATGTGAGCTTGCTGTTAGGCAAGTTTTAGACATACACCAAATCCCATGAGCATGGTTGGTGCATATAAAACCAACGACTAATCAATGAACTAAAAACATGATCATAGGATCCTGACATGACTAGGGGACGCAACTCTGCCTCACTTGACTTCTTGATGATTAATAAGAGTACAAACAAAGTAATAAAGACATAATGATTAATTGAATTTAAAATATGCTGCCCCCTCCTTGCTCAAGAGCTATTCTCTAGTTACCTGTTCTCCATCTTCACCAAAGTCCAGCCACAGCAGTCGGTGGCCATCATCAGCTGACATCCTCAATCTCTCGAACGGGTAGTTCCACAGGATGGTTGGTTGGATTTCATCGCTTCCCTTGTCTTCTATCATTGTGAAGCCTGTGTCAAAGTTCAGACACAACTTTGCTTTCTTCCCTTGCCATGTCACAGCTGAAATAGCAATGATAAGTCAGTGAGGTCAGGTTGTATTCAAGACAATCTAGTGATTGATATCATGAGCATCGATCCACGCAATTGGGATACGATGACATGCATCAACCAATTCAGACAGCCTGACCACCCGATCCTGTTAGTCGTCTCTTACAACAAGCATAGTCGCATGGGTTGCTTAAGACCTATTCTAACCCGGATCTTCACAGGTCTCGGCATGTGAGTGCTTGTATTAGTTTTGGCGTGTGAGTGCTTGTACTAGTTTTGGCGTGTGAGTGCTTGTACTAGTTTTGGCATATCAGTGCTTGTACTAGTTTTGGCATGTCAGTGCTTGTACTACTTTTAGCGTGTGAGTGCTTGTACTAGTTTTAGGCGTGTCAGTGCTAGTACTAGTTTGGTAACAGACGCAAATCTGAAAAGGGAATTGTGGCACCTTTTTCAACTAGGCCACCCGTGCCCTCCATTAATGATGAAGATACCAAAAGGCTAGAAGATCTAAGGTACCATGAATAAATAGATCACATCCATTTTGCACACATAAGCAGTACAACTCCTTTGATTGAACTGGATCTTGCAAAACAAACCATCTATTCAAGGGGTACTACACTGTGGTTTTGGGAAAGAAGTGCTACCTTTAAAAGTCAGGTTTGAGCAATATTCATACAGTGTGAATGAATAATAGAATGAATGTTGTCCTATGCTGCACTTAGAAATATTTCCGCTTTATCACCGCTGCCTGTGAATAATCAAGTCTGGATCAGGTAAACCTGCTTGAGAGTGAGCGAATGTTGTTTTATGCTGCAGTAAGCATGGTAAACGGTATTCCAGCTACATCATAAATAATCAAGTCTTTGATAGGCAATCAAAAGCATGCTACACATCCTAAAACAGGAGGCAGGGTTCAGTTGCACAAAGCTATCTTAGCGCTATGATGAATGTGACTCTCATACTTTAACATAGACTTATGATAGTGGTAGCACTTAGATCATTTTGTACAAGTGGGCTCTGGACTTTATTATGCATGTGAGTAAGAATACCCACATGGTTCGTCTATCATCCAGACCCTAACTCAAGTCTAGAATGATTTGGCAGCCCCTGAAATTAAGGACTGTTCTAGGCTCCATTTGAATTTTACTGATTATTTTGTGGATATATATTTTTAAATGAGATAACTTTATTTCTGAGACTAAATGTTAGTCAACCGCAGGGTCGTAACTATTGAAACAATTAGGGATTAGTTTATAACCAATTCCCCTGAAGCAATTACCCTCATCTCACCAATAACACAAATCTTGATAAACCCATTCCTAATTTGGAGATTCCATATGAAACCAAGAGTCCTTCAGAGAAATTAAACACCTTACACAGACTAAAATCAAATCGAACAGTCTTGTCAGTGTTAACAATGTCCTCATTTCTCTACTTACGACATGTGACATCCTTGACAAGGACTGCAGCTCCGTGGGAGCCCTGTACCAGAGCCCGGGACCAGAATGCCAAGTCTCGCTGTGTCTCTACACGGAGGATGTGTGTTTCCACGCCATTCCTAGTCCCAGAGCGGGTACCAAATGTCAGGACGTCGTCTCCGGTGATGAGGTTGCTCTGCCTGCCCGAATGTACCAACCTGCAGTGTCAAGATGGCTGACAAATCTAACAAGCCATCACAGTGAACCGATGTCTCACTATTTACCTTAACTTATTTTATCAGGTTGCTGTCAAGAAACAAATAGTGATTGGGAAAGTCATGCCTTCTGCAATTCATGCATAATTCTAAAAAAAAGGTGCATCAAAAACTAAGGCCTCCATGTGCAGTAGTTTTCTTACCTGAACTCCAAGTTTACCTTGACTGACAAATCACAATTTAATTTCATCATCATGACCTCTGAATCGTTGATCTGCTTTCATCTTTGGTTACGATACTGCAGTGCTCATTCATACAAAATTTGAATTTTGTTTTGTTTTGTTTTTCCTCCTAAAACGTTCCAGTTAAGTATGATTTGAACAGGTGACTAAGGCTTTGACATTGTTTGAAGTTCAAGATTAAGATTACACAGAATGAAGTGTTTTATTCAGCTGCAATCATTTCTAAGTCATGTTGAATTTATGGCAAGAAATACACTCAGGGTGTGAGTGGAGGACTACCTTCAATTTAATAGTAGACCAGGCTTCCGAGCATGTGCAATGATTAAGTAATCACAAAAATCAGGTGTTTGTTTGTTTGGTTGTTGTTTACATTCAGCAATAATCCAGTTATATGATGGCAGTATGTAAATAATTGAGTCAGGACCAGACATCCACTGATTGCTACCATGAGCCTTGATCAGCGCAAGTGCGATATGATGACCCAATCCCATTAGTCACCTCTTACGAAAACCATGGGTAGCTGAAGACTTATTTTAACCCGGATCTTCAAAGGTCGAAAATCAAGTGAAGCCGGCCACAGGTGGCCAGCCTTGGACCTCCAAAACATATTACTGGGAGTCCTTTGGACTCCAAGATAAGGTCATTAGGAAACGATTAGACGCAATTTAGAATATTTTCTTGCAATATAAAAATCTCAGCAGTGAAACAAACAAAAACATCCTGAAGGTAAAAATTCATATTCAGAGAATAATACATGACCATTGTCAATTAGTACCTTGTGTGCTTTTCGTTATAATTTTTGTTATTCTATTTTTGTTTTGAATTTCGTTACTTCCCTGGTGCCACACATTGGTTGTCTGTAGACATTTACTTTGTTTGTTTGTTGTTTAATGCTGCACTCAACCATATTCCAGCTGTATGATGTTGGTCTGTAAATAATCTGAGTCTGGACCAGACAATCCAGTGATTCACAGCATGAGCATCGATCCACATACATTGGGATCTATGACATGCATCAACCATGTCAGCAAACCTGACCACCCGATCCCGTTAGTTGCCTCTTACAAGTCTCATAGTCGCCTTTTATGGCAAGCATGGGTTGATGAAGACCTATTCTACCCTGGATCTTCACGGGCCTACATTTAGTAGGTAACAGTGGTCAAGCCGTGACTCCTGTTTGCCTGCCAGGGACCCCAAAAAGTATTCCAATCCAGCAGACAGACCCACAGTATATCATGTACCTGGTTGCCAAGAGTGGGTGGCTCTGGAAGGGTGTGGCCCACTCCTCCTTGCTCCAGGGGGCAGTGTCGTACAGAAGGAGATCCTTGTCCGTCAAGGCTATGAACACCGGCTTCCAGCTCGGGCTTCCCTGCTCATTTGTTAGCTACAAACAACATAATTAGTTGTCATCAGACTGAGAGAGAATGAATGTCTCAGGTCCCAAAGTTGCGACTAATTTCGTCACCAAGCAACTGAAATTTCCACCTGGAATTTCCACCTGGAAACATATTCTTAAGCAGTCACCACATGATTACTTGGAAAATCAACATGGTGACCTGATATTACTAAATGCCAATACTTAGAGACAGAAAGGGAATATATTAATAACATTGTTCCACTGAATCAAAATCTCACGCAAATGTTTTAAAAAAAAAAAGGAGTTTTAAGGTTAAAATGATTGATAATAATGACCAGTATTCACAGAATATGCAGCAAACTTTGAATATCCTTTCCAAAATAAATAGATGATCTATGATACGACAGCTGTATGGAACCTTGACATATCATGATGTAAAGATACATGTCATCCAAGCCCTACATATAACCAAAAATATCATCATCATCATTATCATCACCTGTTCTGAGAGCCATCCCATGTGCATGATTTCCCCCTGGTTTGGTGCAGAAATTGTGATCTGGTTGGCCTCTGATATGGCTTGCTGGGTTAGCATAGTTACGTTAGAATGAATTGCATTAAACCAGTCACTGGCCGTAAGAGGGTCTGAGAATCGGAGAATGCAAGAGCTTTTTCCATCTGGTGAATGAAGTTCAAGAACTTTTTGTTCGAGGTCAGATATACTTAGGTTCCGACAGAGGTAGCACATTTTGAGTGGTATAGTTTTCGTTTCTGACCAGTTGGACGTTTTGACTGTTTCTTTCGGTGGGTCTGGGTGTGACCCCCATCCAAGTTCATTCAGAGGAGACGATTTCTTGAAATATGGTGTTACTTCTCTTAGATATTTCACTGTGAAAAAATTAAAGAAATCATAAATGGTAGATCTTAAAAGTTTACCAAATAATACTGCACAAATGATGAAAATAATTTTCAGGCTTTCTTTTCTTGTGGTTATGTCATGAACCAATTAAAAGATGTAACAGTGCTAGTGTCAAGCAACTTATGTCGGGCTAATCTAAGTAAAAGTTGAACCATCCATGAATTTGCCTAAGTGCAGCTGCAAAACCTAAGCCATACAGTTCCGTGTTTACTATTTGACATCCACTTGCAGCTAATAAATAAATATTAGTGACCACTGTAAGCCGAAAGTAAAAGCAGAGTCGTACACTGCAATAGGTTTCGCAGCTCGGAAAATGGATAGAGCTTGATATTTTCATTGACAGATAAAGGGGCAGATAATCCTCTAAGCCTGCCTTTAAACTTCACAAGTCATGTCAAGACCGGCAATCAAGTTGCATCGAGAAACATGAATATTATTCCTTTAGCAGTATCGTTGAAGTTAAGAAGTAGAAACAAGAAATACAAATATTGGATATTTCCAAACCTTCCATCTCTACTATTTTGCCTGCTCTTTTCAAGGCCCTGACAGCTTCGTCATGCGTAGCCTCCCTCAAGTCTTCCCCGTTCACCGACAGAATGGCGTCCCCCACGTACAGTTTCTCAGTCTTGTCGGCTGCCATTCCTTTGAAAATCTTGCTAATCAGAATTGGCATTTTGTTTTCCTTTCCACCCTTGATGCTGATTCCCAAACCATTTGTTTCTTCTTTTATGACTTTCACAAATCGCTTCTGACCGGCGATAGATTCAGGCATTTCCGGGCTGCCATTTGCAAGACCCTGACGACTGTCGGGCGCACCATTGATTGCACCCGCTTGTTCGGGGTTTTCCGTAAGTGTGAGGGTTAATGACTCTTCATTTAGAGTCACATCCACCCCACACCACTGTTGTCTTATGTAGACTTCGAAAGTTCCTGACCTGGCTATTCCAGCCGCCATCTTGACCTCCCTGTCTACACGGATCACGTGACCGGGGAGCAATCAGTGCTTGAAGTTACGTTAGCAGGTGCATAGCGAAAGAGAAACGGTGCTTTTCCGTAATTGCATTTGGCCATATATTACCACAACATCTGCGAGTAATGTAAATATCGGCGTTGCGTGGCATTCCACACTCTCTTACTACCGCCGTCAGCTATTGTGAGCTGTACTTACATACATATTTACGTAATACGATTCCAGTTTAGCGTGACAATAATTTAATCCAATTATAACTGTAATGACAGCAACCTAATGGTAATAATAATTATAATAGTGGCTTTAACATACGGAAGTTAAGATATTATATATCCCACCTGATAACTTAATATTATTATTTATTATTAAGAAATTATATCTACAGATATAGCTTACAGCGAGTAGTATTTATTATTTTCCGTATGTACATACCTAATAATATATATATATATATATACATATGATGCCGTTATGGCCAACGAAAACTGGTGCCATTCTCAGCCAGTTTGGTACGTGTTGTTTGACAGGGTGCCGCTTTAGCTTGATCCCTTATAAGATCCGCATGGATATTAATAATATTAATGAACAGGGGTGCCGTATGTTCTAATTACCCCCATTTTAGTGTATTCCACTTTTTGTAAATATTCCGGTCAGCTCAAATAGGTCGTATTAATTAGGCGGTAGACTAAACTGCCTGGTCCACGTATTGTCGTGGCGTAACACTGATTGTTTTAGATACGTCAATCAGACTAAATGAATCAAAGGTCTATTGTATGTAACTTGCGGTAACCAGAATTTTCCCCTGAGGCTGCAGAATTTACATATTTCTCGGGCACACATATCTCAAAAGTGAGGAAGGTGGTAGATCTAGGAGGTTTTAATTATTTTTTTGAATATCAATTTTATTTTTGTTGAGTGTGCAAGTAGTGGGTAAACACATTATATCATTAGAGTAGCATTGAGGCAGTAAAGGAATGTCAGGTGGTGTCTGAGAAAGTAAACACAATGTGGTTAGTGAACAAACAGTGTTCCATAAGTGTAGGCTCGTTATCTACATTGTCTGTGCCGCATGTCATGGGCAGGCTATATACACAGGGTGATCACACCTCTCCCAGGCCACCCGCCTCGTGACTGCTGTCAAGTTATGTCGCCTTGAGAGGCTGGTATACTGGTATAGCAGTAGGCAAAACTACAAGCTCATTCAACATTAAACTTTTTGTTTGTACTTTACTTACATCGTGCAGCCCGTTATTACGCACGTTTTTACGTTTTGTTTCAAATTCTTAAACATGTCACATTTACCATGTATGATTCTTTTGGTCATACAGAGACGATTTGAACTATACTCCTAATTGTACCAGCTTTGCGAATATTGCCTTCAAGATAATCAATTAATCAATCAATCAATTAATCAATCAATTTAAAAAGACGATTTTAGAACGTTTTAATTACTTGTTTATTCAAGTGTTTTTTTAAGATCGAACCTATTTTTTTTATATGAAAGTACAATAATAATAAATTTAAAGTAACTATGATAATATGTTCCTAATTATCAGGGTGGATTTTGATACACATAGGTTGTTAGGCAAGATTTGAATTTGAAACTTTAAATTTCTGTAATTATTTATAAGAATTTTTTAGAAGAAGTTTTATTATAAGTAATTAAGGAAAATTCAAATTGTTAATTTCAAATCCTGCCCATCAACCTGTGTGCACCGACACACCCCTGTCTGTCCAAACACGTGCTTTGATGTGTACACTTATTAGGGCGAGTGGGTTAGCCTCTAGTAGCTCGTCACGCCGTAGGTCTGGGTTGATTCAACACATATCCACCGCTAAATTGCTGAAATGTTGATAAAAGCGGCGTAAAATCAGTCACTCATAATTATTGTAAGTTTCAGAATTATACTGGTCGTAAGGTGATGTAAAATGTGGGTTAACGTCGCGTGCAAGATTATTGTGCACGTGTGTGTGTGTGTGTGTGTGTGTGTGTGTGTGTGTGTGGCTGCTTGTATTTAGGCCTGACTCATAACGAATTTATAGCGCTAACCCAGTGAGATACTTTGCCGCGGTTGAATATGAATGCCCCATTCAGACATAGTATACTGACCCCGAGCCAACCAGTCCTTGTTTTAGCCCTTAAATGCCGAGCGCCAGGCAGGGTAACAACAAATACCATCTTTTAACGTCCGTTGCTATGACGCGGCCGAGGATCGAACTCCCTACCTCCCACTTGTCGTAAGAGGCGCCGAAATGAAACAGTAGTCGGGCTCGGTGACCTGGTTTTGTATGTGTGTCATCGCACCTCTTACGGTGGATATCCTTGCTCATAGCATCAGACTGTCGTCGCACCTCTACGGTGTATATCCTTGCTCATAACATCAGTCTGTCATCGTACCTCTACGGTGTATATCCTTGCTCCTAGCATCAATCTGTCATCGTACCTCTACGGTGTATATCCTTGCTCATAGCATCAGACTGTCATCGCACCTCTACGGTGTATATCCTTGCTCATAACATCAGTCTGTCATCGCACCTCTATGGCGTATATCCTTGCTCATAACATCAGTCTGTCATCGCACCTCTACGGTGTATATCCTTGCTCATAACATCAGTCTGTCATCGCACCTCTACGGCGTATATCCTTGCTCATAGCATCAGTCTGTCATCGCACCTCTACGGCGTATATCCTTGCTCATAGCATCAGTCTTTCATCGTACCTCTACTGTGTATATCCATGCTCATAACATCAGTCTGTCATCGCACCTCTATGGTGTATATGCTTGCTCATAACATCAGTCTGTCATCGTACCTCTACGGTGTATATCCTTGCTCATAACATCAGTCTGTCATCGCACTTCTACGGTGCATATCCTTGCTCATAACATCAGTCTGTCATCGTACCTCTACTGTGTATATCCTTGCTCATAACATCAGTCTGTCATCGCACTTCTACGGTGCATATCCTTGCTCATAACATCAGTCTGTCATCGTACCTCTACTGTGTATATCCTTGCTCATAACATCAGTCTGTCATCGCACCTCTACGGCGTATATTCTTGCTCATAACATCAGTCTGTCATCGTACCTCTACGGTGTATATCCTTGCTCATAACATCAGTTTGTCATCGTACCTCTACGGTGTATATCCTTGCTCATAACATCAGTCTGTCATCGTACCTCTATGGTGTATATCCTTGCTCATAACATCAGTCTGTCATCGTACCTCTACGGTGTATATCCTATACTCCAATAATTACAGGCAGCCGGCATATATATTATATATTGCTTGGCGCACCGTTAAACAATAGCTATACAAAACAAGCTATTTTTCAGTTTAAATAATCACAATTACCAAGTCTTTTGACCTTGAAAAATGTAGCATTGTCTCCCTTTGGTAAACTAATAAATATTATTAAAAGCGCGACCATACGACAAATGGCCAAAATGTCGCCTTGTCGCATTGTGACGGTTTCGTTAATTTTGACTCTTTTAGCTTGTTTTAGTAAGGGCGACAACGCGACAACCCGACGATGTCCCTTCAAAGATTCCATACCTTTGAGTGTAGATTAAGCGCACAAAAAACCCACATATATGATATATAACATGTATTCCTTAACTGATCGTCAGAGTTAGACAAAATTCTATTTACATCATTGTAACCATCAGGAGCCAAACTGACATGATTAGGATTAACTTGGGATATTCATGTAATATTTGGTAAGCATGTGAATAAAGAGAACACACAGGACGAGATACGATAGTCTCACCAGGTCTCCCTATCACCTGTTATTGAGGACAGAGATACAGTAGAAGCATATCTATCAATGCTGATAACGTGACACTGTCAGGTGTGATGTATTATTTCAATGATCAAAGATGGGAACCCCTATCCCGTGTGTCGAGTTATACAGACACCCTGCTACACTTGGCAAGAGAAACCGGTTCCCACAACTATAACATCTGCCTGTATTTACCAGAGCTCGCACCATGATAACCAATGTTTGACAGCATGAACAACTATTTATATTGTCGTAGTATTAGGGCACAATCTTTAGGGGGGATTCCGAGTAGAAATAGTGAGTAAGTGAGTATGGTTACTATTAGGTCACACTTGGATTTGCGGTGAGGTGAGGTGAAATTGGGTTTAACGTCGCGTCCAAGATTATTGCACTGATATGCACGTGTGTGTGTGTGTGTGTGTGTGTGTGTGTGTGTGTGTGTGGCTGCTTGTACTAGTCCTGACTGATGCCGATTTATAGTGCTAGCACAATGAGATACCATGCCGCAGTTTAACATGAATACCCCACTCAGACACAGTATACTGACTCCGAGCCGACCAGTCCTTGTTTTAGCCCCTTAATGCCGAGCGCCAGACAGGGTAACAACAAGCACCATCTTTTAACGTCTTTTGGAATGACGCGGCCGGGGCTCGAACCCCGGACCTTCCGCTCTACCACTAGACCACTTGGATTTGAAGATGTGGACGCTGTCCTTAGCGATGGAGTATAGGGATATAGAGAATCTCACCCGAGTGTCTTTTGATATCAAATAAATCATCACGAGTTGATAAAAGTTGAAAAAACTCCGTGGCTTGCTGAGTTTTTCCACTTTTATCAACAAGCGATATCTCCTGTGGGAGCCAGTTTTGGATGATAAATGTGTTTATCAACCAGTGTATTATATAAACCTTATTGTACTGTCTGAACGCTAAAACGGTTCCTGTATGGAACATGACCCTAAAAGTCTCTGTTACTTGAACACCTGGATGTGTTCTTTACAGGTCACATACAGGCGTCCATATTTGTCCTTAAAGACGCCTTGTGGTACGTCCAGCCCATCATCTGGCGTCAGGACGTCTCGGACATACTCCCCAGCTTCCGTCAGAAGGATGACCTTGTGGACGTCTCTGTCGACAAGCAGGATGTCTCCTTTGTGCTTGCACGTTACCCCTCGAGGCACGCTGACAACTGTATCCCCATGGAGGGTGTACTTGAAGAGTAACTCCCCATCACATGATAAACACAGGAGAGATTTAGACACGTTGTCAGACACTAGAATCCTGCCGCTATGTGTTATGTGCAAATACTCGGGGTACTGTATGTATCTGTTCGACACTGACATGAGCAACACACCTTTCTGGTTCAGAATGTCCACTGATGAAGACACGCCGTCGCAAACACCAGCCGCTATCCTTGCCTCGTCCACACAACTGACTCCCCAGTACCGACGTATTGTTGGTATGGACTTGGCGATGCTAAGGCCTGGATACACTGATACCACATAAAGACTCCTTTGCCACGGAAGACTCACAAGAACAAGATTGTCTCCGAAGTTTGTTATTCCAAACGGACTCTCTTCTAGTTTCAACAGTTTCCGCAATGGCTGGTCGTGCTCTGTGTAGAATTCTTTAATGCTTTTGTTGGTCCAATCAGTGACAACAATAATATCAATTCCTCTCACAGAGATTACAACAATGTCCTTAATTACAGGAATGGTACTGTCAAGACTGGAATTTACATTAAACCGTTGATGTAAAGTTGGATGAAAGGTATCATAATCAATTATCTCTTCGTAGTTTGAGATGCTGTTTCTGAGAGTGATTTTGTTCAAAGCATCCGTGAATCCGTCCATATGAGCTTCAAAATTACTATCAGCAACCCTCGTAATGTCCTCTTCATGTTTGCTGTCTGTCAATGTTTGTGTGTCTGATTTAGTTGCCTCATACAAATCAAACACTTTCGTTTCAGAGTCTGACGTCAAAACATTGTCTATGCTGTGAACCCGTTCTTTCCTAATTTTGACGGCAATTTGATCTGATTGCAATTCTTCTTGTATTTGGTTAATCTCTCTGGACTTGATCCTGTTCATTTCATCAAGAAGTTTCTTCTTCTCCACGCGTATCTTCTCCATCGCTGTCTGACTTTTCATAATAATCTCGGCCTCTACTTCATCAGTTCTGTTTGACACAGCTTTCGTTTGTAATTTGCGTTTTTCAATAATATCCATTTTCAATGCTATTTCTTTCTCTAGATCCAATTTGGTCGCCATCAGACTGGCCTTGACCTTGGGAAGAACATCGCTAATGACTGCAATGCTTTTACATTTCCTATGGTCAACGTTGCAGCAGATATGACAGATCGTTTTCTCACAATCTCGGCAGAACATTGTGACTTTTTCGTCATGGCTTTCACAAACGAAACTACGACGTTTCTCCCTTGTTGCGATGTCCTTCACGTCGTGGTTTTGTGACATGGACATACGACGATGCACACGGATACATCTGCCACAGAATGCAGCTTCACAAGAAGAACACCAAAGAGAAGCTGGAGTTATCTCCCCTTTGTCCCTGCAAACGCTGCATATGTTTAGATCTGGAACAAAAATTTAAAAAAGTAAAACCTCTTTCCATTGATCGAATTTACTCTATGCTTGACCATTCGGGTGAATTATTTGTGAAATAATTATATAACCTTTTGACACATTTTTGATAAGGGGCCTGGAGTTAGCAGTGGGTTTGTTATTCGTTATTCGTTTTTCGAATAACGAAACACGAGCCGGCACCGGGTTCGTTATTCAAAGGCTGTATATTAAACAACTACAGTAATGTGGTCAAATAAACTGAAACGCATTTAATATTTGACAGCAGGTTCGTCTTACATCGTTGTTTTTCGTTATTCAAAAGTACTGAATAGCTTAACGATTGTTGGGAGACAGACTACAGACTGTTTATATTTAATAGAATCATAAACTGAATAACGAACCCGGTGCTGGTTTGTTTTTCGTTATTCAATAGTACTGAATAACTTAACAGCTTTTGGATGATGATGTAAGACGAACCTGCTGGTATATATTAAATGAGTTTCAGGGTATTTGACAGCATTACTGCAGTTGTTTAATATATACAGCCTTTGAATAACGAACCAGGTGCTAACTTCAGGCCCCTTTTTTGATGTACAAAATATTACCTTTGTATTTTAGTGTAAAATCGTCCGCCAATCTGTGTGTGGCGTGGCTTGGTTTCAGCTGACTGACGCTCTTCTCTACTGGACTGTCTGGCGTAGTGGTCGGTGTTGTGTTCCCGCCACGTCTGCAAACACTGCATGTGTCCATTTCTGGAGACATGAAATAAAAAAGATTTGAATTCTTTGAAGAGTAAAAATATTCCTAACGATTAATATTGTGTACTGTTTAATTTGAGAATGATGTTTATAAGAAAATATGCTCAAGTGTCGTCATGAACTTGTCACTAGTGACCGCCTCCGTGGTCCAGTTGTGGTAGAGCGTCCGCCCCGACGGGCCGCGTCATACCAAAAGACGTTAAAAATTGTACTTGTTGTTACCCTGTTTGGCGCTCGGCATTAAGGGGCTAAAACAAGGACTGGTCGGCTCGGAGTCAGTATACTGTGTCTGAGTGGGGTATTAATGTTCAACTGCGGCATGGTATCTTAGTGGGCTAGCACTATAAATTGGCACACACACACACACACACACACACACACACACACACACACACACACACACACACACACAAACGTACGTATTCAAATACGCTATTCAAATGCAATACTCTTGGACGCGACGTTAAACCCCATTTCACCTCACCTCACCACTAGTCATCACTGAGTTCGTTATAACGAACGTTTACAGCACTCACCTGCAGAACCTTGTCCAAAGTCGTCCATCAGCCCCTGTATCACGTGACTTGGTTTCAGCTGTCTGACCCATTCTTCTACTTGACTGTCAGGGTTGGTCACCTTCGTCAGCTGTCTACAGGATGGACATGGGATGGACCTGGCTTGTTTGGCTTCAGGTCTTGACTTGAGGCATTGCAATAGGCAGGACTTACAGAATGTATGGTTGCACTGAAGTGTGGCGGGGCCTGTGAACACCTCGGTACACACTGCACTGGTCAGGTGACTTACTATAAGGTTCTTGGCCATCTGAAACATGTATTGACGTGGAACAGTTACACTTTCACGGTGTATTCTATGACACACACAGTGTTAAAGTGACACGTCTGTAAGTAATATATGACACAGATTACTTAAAATGTAATGTCATGTAATGGATAGTGTGGTACTGAGAGACATTGTGTGTGTTTCTGTAGACAAACATAGTTGCAAATGAATTGGCATTACAGTAAACTACGTTTATAACGAACTGACGGATATAACGAACTGTTTTTTTTAACCCCGTCCATGTGCTGTATATATGCTGTATATGTGCTTATAACGAACTACGGTTATTACGAACTACATTTAGTGGTCCCTTTAAGTTCGTGGTAACCGTAGTTTACTGTACATTATTTGTTTGTTTGTTGTTTAACGCGCATTTCGGAATATTCCAGCTATATGACGGTGGTCTGTAAATAATCGAGTCTGGACCAAACAATCCATGCAGTGATTGACATCATGAAAATCTATCTACTCAGTTCGGATACGATGACATGCATCAACCAAGTCAGCGAGCCTGACCACCGATCCTGTTATTCGCCTCTCACAAGCATGGGTTGCTGAAGACCAGTTATAACCCGGACCTTCACTAACCCGGTTTCTAAACTTTGATCATTTGAGCACAACTACGTTTTAAACATCGATTATTGTAATACAGTGTAAAACATCATATTATAAAGATAGTATTACAGCTATGTCTTCCGGACTGTAAATAGAGGTTTTCAGGCGGGAGTGTTTTGGGATGGAAAATATCCTTTATCAGAAACAAACATTGTATTTTGGAGCCTTGGCGAACTAACTACAAATGGGTTATCATTCAAGTGTGTTTTGGGATGGTAAATATCCTGTATTAGGAATAACCATTGTATTTTAGTGAGAATTGGCGAGTTAAATAAAAAGTGTAAATTCCCCATTCAGGATATTTATCATCCCAAAACACACAAGCGTCATTATCATGTAAAGTCATTCCTAATTCTAAAAAGAACTATTCTCATTTCTTACAAACGGTAACAAGTTTCAAGTTTGCACGGAATGTGCGCATATATTGTTTGATTAGGTCAATGATTGATAGTCGGACAATGCCAACAGTCAATATAGTTCCAACTGAAACCTATTTTTTAGACAGTGGCGTAACTACATATAGACAAAACGACAATTGCCTACACACATTTTATGTTCTACCTGCCTTGGCAATTCACCGGTCCGCCCGCTAGTAATTCTTTTTAGAATAAGGGAATGACTTGATAATTATGATAACGAGGTTATCACGTTTGTGTAGTTTGGTAAATATCCTGTGTGGGGACTATGTATACACGTTTTATTTAACTCGCCAATGCTCGCTAAAATACAATGGTTATTTAACATATATTATATTCCTAATTTATATTTATGATACGGAAACCCACTCAGCTGGTAATCTCTAGATATATGGATAAGTGCCTCGTCGCTATATATATATATATATATATATATATATATATATATATATATATATATATATATATGGATACTGATTTTTCATCAATCGGAACTAGTTATTAACAGTACAAGAAAAAGGTTTTCACAATGGTTGTAATTAACAAGATTTCTCATGATAATGGAATGGTTTTGTCGCTTATGTATAACCATAAGATTATGCATGATGTCCCAACATTGAACAGTTTTAGAGAGATGCCTTGCAATCAGCGAACACAATCAGTTATGAGGATGACGCACCTATTTTGAACACAAAGTAACTGCATATGATACGATTGTAGATTGTAGATAAACACCAGGATGTCGATTGCAACAATGTGGCTGTATCAATATAGGTCATGATGTCACCTCCTCAGAGGGAATTACGACGTGCATTCTAATATAGGGACTCACATATTCACATGACAATTGCTATGGACAATCAACTTTTGTGTGGTTAAACTCATTTGATGACAAGAAATCACTTATCGTTTTATTTTAATAACACGACTGGAGGTCTGTTGGTATATATTGAGTAGGTTCCAATGTTTTCAATGTTTTTATGAAGACATGTATTTACTTGCACAAGATGTTAAAACAATGGCGCTTTTAATGTTGTTTCAGAAATACATCGTACGGTTACATTTACCATACTCATAGTGATGAGTTTGTCGAGTTTGTCGCGCAAAATATCCAGCAGCTCCAACCTTTGTTGTTTACATTTCACACCTTTTGGGGGCGGTCGGGTAGCCTAGTGGTTAAAGCGTTCGCTTGTCACACCGAAGACCCGGGTTCGATTCCCGACATGGGTACATTGTGTGAAGCCCATTTCTGGTGTCCCCCGCCGTGATATTGCTGGAATATTGCTAAAAGCGGCGTAAAACCATACTCACTCACTCACTCACTCACACCTTTTGAGATGCAATCGAGCATGCTCTTTCTACCAAGATTCTATACGACTCTTGCTCAGAAGTTGTTTGATCAAGGTTACAACATTCAAGGCCTCAGTACAGCTTTCAAAATGTTTTATGGTAGACATGTGAAGGACATTTCCAAGTTTGACGCATCAATGACAACAATGATTTCCGATGCAATTCCCTATTTTGACTCGTACAATATGTTCCCGTGGAATTTCAGGTGAACAATTGACTTGCCTTTGCATGTGTTTGGGACGGGTGCCAACGGTGGGGCAGGATACGCTCACCTTTTCGTGGACACCTGGTATCATTACTATTTGAAAGTGATTCATAAACACATGCTCATGATAAAGTCGGAATCTTACAATCGACTCTGCTTAATGCAGACATTATGGATATAGAAAGGGTTTTGCCGCTTTATTTAAGTAGCTGATGGTGGCTTTGTGATCTATGTTGGTTGACACTGCATAGGTTTCAGCGTTCTCCGTCCTCGTTAAGACGAGTATTTCAAACCGGTTTAAATGTTACGGATGTTACTATTCAGATATTCAGGTACACATGCTTATGATATAGTCGGAAACGTACCATGAACTCTGCCTTTAGCACAGATTTCACATGATTATGAAAAGGGTTTTGTCTGTTATTTAAAATTGAAAAGTCATAATATTTACTGAAACGAAAAGCATTTTGAACACTAACTTTGTGCCTAAACAACATGTAATTGCACAAAAAGGCTTAAACTACTGTACTTACATTGTCGCTTCTACATGGCAGGCGTCTGTCTGACTGCTAGTATTGTTATCACCAGTACAAAGAGCAACTTTTGATACAGGTGATGTCATCAAGATTATTTGATATAGGCATTGTACTGTGTTTCAGAATTCCTTTTTAGAGTTGCGTCCCTTCATCGCGTCAGTAACCGCTGATTATGACCAATGTTTTCTCAGTTCCTGATCCGTGCTCGTGAGTTTCAACACTTGGCAACGTCACTGTCTGATTCATAAACACCTGGTTATGATAAATATTATTATAGTTGGAATCGTACAATGGATGATTTAGTATCATAATGAAAATGTTTTTTGTTGCTGTTATTTAAGACCGAAAAGATGTTTTAGATGTATAACAGGTAAAAAAAGAAGACGCAAATATGTCGTATAATAAGCATGGTTCATGTATAGTGTTCCCATGGTTTTATTTCATTTTTGATACCCCGACAACGTGACTCGTTGGTCGCAATATTAGATCATTTGATCTTCTGGTCCAGACTCGACTATTTAGAGGTCGCCGTTATATAGCTGGAAAATTGCTGATAAACAAACAACATATTTGCTCATGCGAGATAGCACTAGACGTTTTGTTCATATGGAACAAGGCCGGGGAGACAACTCTGTCTAAATTTTCCTGGGGGTTTCCAATAGAGCCTATCCTGCAATACCGTCAATGTAAAAGGACGGTTACAGAGAGCGACTATTGGTCAATGTTATTCTGCTACAAGAGTCGGTTACAGAGAGCGACTATTGGTCAATGTTTTCTGCTACAAGAGTCACAGAGGACCATTTTGTGGAGGTCTTGTTTTCAGACAGGTAATAATGAAAACATAGTATTACTTTGCATGACTATCTTTGCCTTGCAACAGTTAACACTTTCTGGATATGTTCTACAAGTTAACCACGGCCTCCGTGGTCTAGTGGATAGAGCGTCTGCCCTGAGAGGGGAATGCCGTAGGTTCGATCCCCGACCGCGTCATATAAAACGACTTTCAAAGATGGTACTTGTTGTTACGCTGCCTGGTGCTCGGCAATAAGGGGTTAAAGCAAGGACTGGTTGGCTCGGAATCAGTACACTGTGCCTGAGTTTGGAAAGAAAGAAGTGATTGCATTAAGACCTTTGGTTAATGTTCGAGACAGAGACTTGGTGACACATGTGCTTAACCCAGCGGTATTTCTCTCTTTATACGGATGATTATGGAGCTTTGGGATCCAGTACGAAAGAGCATTGGACATGTCTTTAGGTTTTAGCGTCGAGTCAAATGTTAATAATACTGATGTGTGGTTTTGGCAGATTTCTTCCTCAGTTACCATACTGGCCTAATATTAGTATCTGGTATTACTTCATATGCCACTTATACCAAGTTCTTTCATGTGTCGTTTGTACCAATTTGACATTATTATTTCCTCTTTCAGAACCATGAAAATTGAGGTATTAAACAGTCATATATGCCAATAACACCAGTCCCTTAGCTTCAATCACCATCGGAATGCCCATGGAATCCCCACGGGGGAGCACGGGTTATTACGACCTGACCTAGACTGTACATAGATGCAAGGCCTTGAAGCATTACTAAGTTCCTCTTTAACGTCTTCACATCACCAACGTTATCTGTTCAGGGTTATGGTTGACTTGAAGGCACTATGTAATTGCACAAAATCACAAACCAGGAAGAAATACATTTATTGGACAAAAGCCAAAATACAAAAGTTGTTCACCTTCAAGTAAATACAGGTGGTGCCATGTTGTTCAGGGCGGCATTGGATGAGAACAATGATAGAGTCGAATATCTATGAGTAGAGTAAAGGGTTTAATGTTAATGGATTGTGTTCCAGCATTGCTATATATTAGGCTATAGCCGGCAGCCTATGTTAAAGTTTTGTATACCAGAAGATTGCGAATATTAAATATTTACATGTAGCAAGATTTACAGCGTCATATTCCAGTAACCGTTATTAATCAAGGCATGTCATGAGTCATAAGTTAAGTTGAGTTCACGCACATAGTGACGTGGAGGTACGCGTGGGTGTTGCTGCTTGTACCAGTCCGGGCTTACGCCAGTTAACAAAGGCAAGCCCTTTGAGATGCCAAGCAGCAGTTTTAACATGGATACCACACTCGGACACATAATACTGACATGTGGGATAGAATCACCGACCTTCCAATCTCGGAGAAGACAAGACTTATAAGATTGTACAAAAGCACACTTTTTCTTAACAAACCAACCAAAACAATTCCAATTTTTTAGCCTTGTGTTTGAAATGAAACATTCAATTGACAGCAACGAACAATATATATGCTCCAAAGTTGAAGGTCAAAGACTCAAACACAGACGGTGTTAGATTATGCTGATGTGATGCTTGATCAGGTTCAGGTAAGAAACAGAATCACTATATTTTTAGAAACAAGAGCTGTCAGCTTTGTCCACCAGGCACAACACGACAGCCTTCAGCACGTGCTTCTTTCATGGTTTTCAGACTGTGAATCCTGGGACCCTGTCCCTGTATGCGTTCTAGCTTCATCTTCATTCCCAGGTCCATTGAGTGGACCAACATTGTAACCATGCCATTCGAGTCTATTCAGGCTTTAATTGTGGTGATTATTGACATAATCCTATTGGGTGAATTTGAACACTTTCACATTATTGAGACAGGAGACATACAGCAAGCCGTCGCTGTCCAGACAGATACCAGAAGGATAATAGAGACCATCCTGATCTGTGAGAACATCTCTCACAAACTGCCCCGACTCTGCCAGCTGAATCACTTTGTGGGAGTCACTGTCTGCAAGGAGGATGTCGCCTGTGCTGGTTGTTGTGACCCCCCGAGTATGTTTCAGAGCTCTGTCTCCTGTGGGGGTGTAGGTGAAAACAGCTTCTCCGTCACGGGTCACACACACAAGGGAGGCCACTCCTCCATCACTAACTAACAGATTGTTCTGTCTGGTCACGTGGATGAAATCTGCAGTAGGTTCGATACCCGTGTTGATAGACTTCAGTACATTGCCTGACATATCCAGAATATCCAGAGAGTGTTTGACTTTGTAATTACTCGCTAGTAGTTGTGACTGACTCAGGCATGCTAGGGCGAAGTATCCGTGCTTCGTTGTCATGGTTGACAGCAGTATAGGATCAGGGTTGAAGCCAATCACAGCTATCATCTTCTTGTTAGGGACACTAACAGCAACCTGGCTGTCACTCATCTTAGCTAATCGACGTGGTTTACCTGATAGAGTTAGACATTTGTGGTGTGGTTTTGACTTTAAACCATAAAATGCCTTAACATTATTATCACCAGAATTTGTTATAACAATGACCTTTTCACAAGCAACTGTCAACACTGTGACATCGAAAATAAAGTTAAACACATTCTCACCATCTATGTGACAGTCAACTGTGTGACACAGACGAGGTGAAGACGTCCTGTCACTTATATCCTTCACTATGTCAATATGACCGAGCTGTATATCCTCCACAGATGCTCTCACTTCGTCCATGTCATGTGTGAAAATAACCCCCTCGGAGGTTGGTGTACTGACAGCATCTGTGTCTGTGTCTGTGTTAGATTCCGCTGCCGACTCGTAGACGTCGTACATGTCTGCCACAGACTCTGTCGTCACGGCTTTCTCCACGAACTCTGCTTCCTGCTGGTACATCTGTTGGTCAATCTCCTGAGATTTGATGAATGCTTTCAGTTCTTGTATGTTTCTGTCAGTTGATCGGTCGACCTGGTCCATCAGTTCCTTTTCCTTCTTCATCAGCATTTCTGTAGCAGCCCTGTGTGTGTCTCTGATTTGTGTTTTAACGTTTTCTGCATTTCGGGTCAACTCCTCAATCTGGATTTGTGCAATTGACATCATCTCAGCTGTAGATTTCACATTTCCCTTTAATCTTTTAGTTTTTCGCAAAAGTTCTTCTTTTACAAGTGGGTTCATGTGTTCAATTGTATCAACATCATCACATTTCCTATGTTTTATGCTACAACAGAGAGTACATATAGCTACTTTGCAATCTTTACAAAATAGTTCAATTCGTTTGTCTTTGTGTAATTTACACATTGGATGAGGAGCTGATTTTCTTCTTCCTTGTATTTGTAAATCAACTATTTCATGGTCTCGTAGATTTGGCATTTTGTTGTGTAGCTTGAGGCATTCACCACAGAAGGCGTCATTGCAGACAGAGCACCAGGACGTGGCAGGGGTTGTCTTCCCGTCGTGTCTGCAAACACTGCACGAGTCCATTTCTGAAGATATGAAATTAAACAGTAAAATCATTGTTTGTGATTAATAATGAGTACCATTTGTGTTCAGGAATCTCAGTCATTTTAAATAAATGTAAAAGCTAAAACATAAGAACATGTTGAAGCGTCGTCATAAACCAGATGAATACTCACTTGTAGAACTTTGTCCAAAATCGTCCATCATACTCTGTATAATGTGGTTTGGTTTCAGCTGACTGACCCACTCCTTTACTGGTCTAGCAGGGTTGGTCACCTTTGTCAGTTGTCTACAGGAGGGACACGGGATGCATTTGTCTTGCATTGCTTTAGGCTGTGTTTTGGTGTATTTCAGCAGACATGTCTTACAGAATGTGTGACAACACTGAAGCGTGGCAGGGTCTGTGAACACCTCTGAACAGATGACACAGGTCAGGTAATTGTCTTCCAGGGTTTTAGCAGTCGCCATCTGAGAGAAAATATACATTGATACTAGGTTGCACAACAACATTGACACTATCACATGGTAATAACTATGTTATAAGAACATTACCAGTGACCATTATAAGCTTGTAACAGGCCAGTACATATCTAATCATTGCATTCAAATAAGTGTCAAAATGATAGCATAAACATGAAAGCGTCGTTAAACTAACGTGATATTAAATACCTGTCTGCATATTTGTCATGACATTCATTTAAGTCGTTGTCACTGCCGGTGTCCTTGCAAGGCTTGTATATTTGATTACGTTTCATGCTATCACAATGGAATCATATATGAGACTATTTTTATTCACAGTCAACAAAGTGACGGTCGTATCTTTGTGTATCAGTTTAGGAAGGGCCATAACTCCGTCCATACTCTCGATGGCCGCCGGTCACATGACGTAGATCACCAATGGCCTTTTTCAATGAAGTTTATGGAATGGTCAAAATCAATACCTTATTGAATTCATTGTATATTTGTTGATACGGATATTTTTGGGCATCAACAAATGACGTAAATGTAGTGTAAACAATTTAGTGTAAAATTTGTTTGATATGAAAGCATAGCCTCTCCCTTAAAATGTCAACATTGTTATAAATCACTGGTTGTTTCTTTCATATGTTTAACTGTTTTGATGAGCAAATATATAGATGATAAGTAGATATTACTTACATGCAGAGCATTACCTTTACACGTGACTAGCTTGATACACTGCAGAGGGCGTCTAACGTACTTGTTGAGACTTGACAATAAACTGATAGCCTTTATATTGACGTGTTTAGTCACGCGATTCTTATGCGATAAGACAGCTGGGTTATGGAATCAAAGCTCGCTATTTATGAGGAGAGCAACACTGAATTCATTACTGACAACAGTCAATATAGTTTCAACTGAAACCTATTTTTTTAGACAGTGGCGAAAATACATGTAAGCAACACGATAATTGCCTAGTCATATATTATGTTCTAATTTCCTTGACAATTCATCGGTCCGCCCGCTAGAGTAATTGCCCCTTATGTATAAGGCGTCTGTTTGCCTGGCCGTCATAACGTTATAAAATGCAGCCAGATGATGTCCACACAGCGACCAAATTAAACGTCCCTTTTTGACACCAATTTACGGTATCTCAGACTATTACTTTGATAGGGAATGCCCACCTATTCGCGGACACCTGCTTTCATTACTATTTGAAAGTGATTCATAAACACATGCTCATGATATAGTCGACATCTCACAATCGACTCTGCTTAATGCAGACATTACGGACATAGAAAGGGTTTTGTTGCTTTATTTAAGTAGCTGATGGTGGCTTTGTGACATTGGTTGACATTACATAGGTTTCAGTTTTTCGTGCCCTTGTTAAGACGAGTATTTCAAACAGGTTTACATATTACGGATGTAACTATTCAGGTATTCAGGTACACATGCTTATAATAAAGTCGGAATCGTACCATGAACTCTGCCTTTAGCACAGATATCGTATGATTATGAATAGGATTTTGTCTATGTTATTTAAGACTGAATAGACATAATATTTACTTAAACGTTTAGCATTTTGAACATTAACTTTGTGCCTAAACAACATGTAATTGCACAAAAAGGTTTAAACTACTGTACTTACATTGTCGCTTCTACATGGCAGGCGTCTGTCTGACTGCTAGTATTGTTATCACCAGTACAAAGAGCAACTTTCGACGCAGGTGATGTCATCAAGATTATTTGATATAGGCATTGTCTATTGTACTGTGTTTCAGAATTCCTTTTTAGAGTTGCGTCCCTTTTTCGCGTCAGTAACCGCTGATTATGACCCCTGTTTTCTCAGTTCCTTATCCGTGCTCGTGAGTTTCAACACTTGGTAACGTCAATGTCTGATTCATAAACACCTGTCTATGAATTTTTTTATTATAGTTGGAATCGTACAATGGATGATTTCGTATGGTAATGAAAATGTTTTTGATGCTGTTGTTTAAGACCGAAAAGATATTTTAGATAAATAACAGGTAAAAGGAATATGCTGATAAGTCGTATCATGAGCATGGGTTCATGTATAGTGTTCCCGTGGTTTTATTTCAGGTGAACAATTGACTTGCTTTTGCATGTGTTGCTGCAGGTGCTACCGATGGTGCAGGATACGCTTGCCTTTTCATGAACATCTAATAGCATGACTATTTGAAAGTGATTCACAAAGACATGCTTATGATTACGTTAGTCTTGACGCATTTATTTTACCAAAAGCAGATGTGACTTTGATCATTCCTTACATACGTCAGACGCGATGATATAACTGAAATATTGTTCAAAGTGGCCGTGACCCAAACTCGCTAACTTCGTTTTAATGTCACAGACCTACACGACTTAAATGGACGCAGACTGTTCAGCTGTGCAAATATGATATGTTCACGAAGTAACATGTTACTAATATACCTCCACAGATGATCACTGGAACTCTTTTGGTGACATGTTGGCAATCAAGATGAAACTGAAGTGTTTGCAACGAGGCGCTACGCCGACGCCATGTTTACAACTGTCCGGGTCAGAATTGGTCCCCAGCAACCTATGCTGGTCGTTAGACGCGGCCAAAATGGAACAGGGGGTCAGCCTTGGTGACTTTGTTGATACCCCGACAACGTGACTCGTTGGTCGCAATATAGATCATTTGATCGTCTGGTCCAGACTCGATTATTTGGAGGTCGCCGTTATATAGCTGGAAAAATAGCTGATAAACAAACAAACAAACAAACAACATATTTGCTTATGTCAGATAGCACTAAACGTTGTTTAAGTTTCGTTCATATGGAACATGGCCGGGGAGACAACTCTGTCTAAATTTTCCTGGGGGTTTCTAGTAGAGCCTATCCTGCAATACCGTCAATGTAAAAGGACGGTTACAGAGAGCGACTTCTGGTCAGTGTTATGCTGCTACAAGAGTCACGGAGGACCCTTTTGTGGAGGTCTTGTTTTCAGACAGGTGATAATGAAAACATAGCATTGCTTTGCATGACTATCTTTGCCTTGCAACAGTGAACACTTTCTGAATATGTTCAACAAGTTAACCACCGCCTCCCTGGTCTAGTGGATAGAACGTCTGCCCTGAGAGGGGAATGCCGTAGGTTCGATCCCCGACCGTGTCATATAAAACGACTTTCAAAGATGGTACTTGTTGTTACGCTGCCTGATGCTCGGCAATAAGTGGCTAAAGCAAGGACTGGTCGGCTCGGAGTCAGTATACTGTGCCTGAGTTTGGAAAGAAAGAAGTAATTGCATTAAGACCTTTGGTTAATGTTCGAGACAGAGACTTGGTGATACATGTGTTTAACCCAGCGATATATATCTCCTCGTACGGATGATAATTGAGCTTTGGAATCCAGTACACAATAGGATTGGACATGTCTTTAGATTTTACCGTCGAGTCAAAAGTTAATAATACTGATTCTGGGTTTTGTTCTTCCTCAATCATCATGCTGGCCTAATATTAGTATCTGGTATTACTTCATATGCCACTTATACCAAGTTCTTTCATGTGTCTTTTGTACCAATTTGACATTATTATTTCCTCTTTCAGAACCATGAACATTGAGGTATTAAACAGTCATGTATGTCAATAACACCAGTCCCTTAGCTTCAATCACCATCGGAATGCCCATGGAATCCCCAGGGGGGGAGACACGGGTTATTACGACCTGACCTAGACTGTACATAGATGCAAGGCCGTGAAGCATAGCTCCTTTTTAAAGTCTTCACATCACCAACGTTATCTGTTCAGGGTTGACTTGAGGCGCTATGTCATTGCACAAAATCACAAACCAGGAACAAAGAAATTTATTGGACAAAAGCCAAGGTACAAAGTTGTTCATCTTCAAGTAAATACAGGTGGTGATGTGAAATGGGGTTTAACGTCGCGTCCAAGATTATTGCACTTATATAGCGACGTTCATGCACGTGTGTGTGTGTGTGTGTGTGTGTGTGTGTGTGTGTGTGTGTGTGTGCGTGTGTGGCTGCTTGTACTAGTCCGAACTAATGCCGATTTATAGTGCCAGGCCAATGAGATATCATGCCGCAGTTAAACAAGAATACCCTACTCAGAGATAGTATACTGACTCCGAGCCGACCAGTCCTTGTTTTAGCCCCTTAATGCTGAACGCCAGACAGGGTAACAACAAGTACCATATTTTAACGTCTTTTGGTATGACGCGGCCGGGGATCGAACTCCGGACCTTTGGCTCTCCGGGTGGATGCTCTACCACTCACGTGACCCTTTCTTGCTTCAACTTCATTCCCAGGTCTATTGAATGGATCAACATTGTTATCCATGCCATTCGAGTCTATTCAGGCTTTAATTGTGGTGATTATTGTCATAATCCTATTTGGTGAATTTGAACACTTTCACATTATTGAGACAGGCGACATACAGCAAGCCGCCGCTGTCCAGGCAGATGCCAGAAGGATATCGCAGACCATCCTGATCTGTGAGAACATCTCTGACAAACTGCCCAGACCCAGTCAGCTGGATCACCTTGTGGGACTTTCTGCATGCAAGCAGGATGTCTCCTGTGCTGGTTGGTGTGATTCCATGTGGATTTCTCAGAGCTCTGTCTCCCGTGGGAGTGTAGGTGAAAACAGCTTCTCCTTCACGGGTAATGCATACAAGGGAGGCCACTCCTCCGGCACTAACTAACACATTGTTCTGTCTGGTCACATGGATGAAATCTGCAATAGGTACAATATCCGTGTTGATAGACTTCAGTACATTGCCTGACATATCCAGAATATCCAGAGAGTGTTCGACTCCACAATTACTCGCTAGTAGTTGTGACTGATTCAGGCATGCTAGTGCGAAGTGTTTGTGCTTCGTTGTCATGGTTGACAGCAGTACAGGATCAGGGTTGAAGCCTATCATAGCTATCATCTTCTTGACAGGGACACTAACAGCAACCTGGCTGTCACTTATCTTAGCTAATCGATATGGTTGACCTGATTGGGTTAGACATTTGAGATGTGGTTTTGACTTTAAACCATAAAATGCCTTAACATTATTATCACCAGAATTTGTTATAACAATGACCCTTTCACAAGCAACTGTCAACACTGTGACATCGAAAACCAAATTAAACTCATTCCCTATGTGACAGTCAACTGTGTGATACAGACGAGGTGAAGACGTCCTGTCACTTACATCCTTCACTATGTCAATATGGCCGAGCTTTATATCTTCCACAGATGCTCTCACTTCGTCCATGTCATGTGTGAAAATAACCCCCTCGGAGGTTGGTTTACTGACAGCACCTGTGTCTGTGTTAGATTCAGCTGCCGATTCGTAGACGTCGTACATGTCTGCCACAGACTCTGTCGTCACTGCTTTCTCCACGAACTCTGCTTCCTGCTGGTACATCTGTTTGTCAATCTCCTGAGATTTGATGAATGCTTTCAGTTCTTGTATGTTTCTGTCAGTTGATCGGTCGACCTGGTCCATCAGTTCCTTTTCCTTCTTCATCAGCACTTCTGTAGCAACCCTGTGTGTGTCTCTGATTTGTGTTTTCACGTTTTCTGCATTTCGGGTCAACTCCTCAATCTGGGATTGTGCCATTGACATCACCTCAGCTGTAGATTTCACATTTCCCTTTAGTCGTCTAGTTTTTAGCAAAAGTTCTTCTTTTACAAGTGGGTTCATATGTTCAATTGTATCAACATCGTTACATTTCCTATGTTTTATGCTACAACAGAGAGTACATATAGCTACTTTGCAGTCTTTACAAAATAGTTCAATTCGTTTGTCTTTGTGTAATTTACACATTGGGTGAGGTGCTGATTTTCGTCTTCCTTGTGTTAGTAAATCAACTATTTCATGGTCTCGTAGATTTGGCATTTTGTTGTGTAGCTTGAGGCATTCACCACAGAAGGCGTCATTGCAGACAGAGCACCAGGACGTGGCAGGGGTTGTCTTCCCGTCGTGTCTGCAAACACTGCACAAGTCCATTTCTGAAGATATGAAAATTAAACAATAAAATCATTGTTTATGATAAATAATGAGTCTCATTTGTGTTCAGGAATCTCAGTCATTTTAAATAAATGTAAAAGCTAAAACATAAGAACATGTTGAAGCGTCGTCATAAACCAGATGAATACTCACTTGTAGAACTTTGTCCAAAATCGTCCATCATACTCTGTATAATGTGGTTTGGTTTCAGCTGACTGACCCACTCCTCTACTGGTCTAGCATGGTTGGTCACCTTCGTCAGCTGTCTACAGGAGGGACACGGGATGCATTTGTCTTGCATTGCTTTAGGCTGTGTTTTGGTGTATTTCAGTAGACATGTCTTACAGAATGTGTGACAACACTGAAGCGTGGCAGGGTCTGTGAACACCTCTGAACAGATGACACAGGTCAGGTAATTGTCTTCCAGCGTTTTAGCAGTCGCCATCTGAGAGAAAATATACATTGATACTAGGTTGCACAACAACATTGACACAATTTAAAGCCTATAATTTGCAGGGGAAGAAGATTAAAGAGAGGCCATTCGTTAGCTTTTAACAGATCAGTATATATCTAATCATTGCATGCCAATAAGTACTTATTATAGTATATAGTAATTATTGCTAACGTATACTCATTACTTATTACCTGTCTGTATAAAGTTCATGAATTCGTGTATGCCTGCATATTCATAGGCGGATCCAGAAGGTGTGTGTGTGTGTGTGTGTGTGTGTGTGTGTGTGTGTGTGTGTGTGTGTGTGTGTGTGTTTGTGAGGACTCACCCCTTTTGAAAAGTTAATGTAGTATATTGTATGCAGTAAAATTATCTGAGAGATCCATCGAGTTTGAATGTGCTGGATCCGCCCTTGATATTTGATTAAAATTCATGTTACACAATAGAATCAGAGATGAGACAAAATTGTTTTTGCAAATTGTACAAATTGATGGTGGTCTCTATGAGTATCAGTTTCAGAAGGGACATAACTCCGTCCATCTTCTCGATGACCGCCTGTTACACGACAGAGATTACCACTGTCCTGTTCAATCGAGTTTTTGTGATGGATAAAATCAACATCTAATTGTATTTATTGCATTATTTATATATTTGTTTCTGTGGATATTTTTAGGGTACTAATTTCGAATGTAAACCAAAACCTAAGGTATAAATTAGGCAACTTTCGCTATCAAATCTGTAAGGCTACTTTCGTTATCAATATCGGTTTGAATATGAAAGAATAACCTCTCCCTCAGAATATCAACATTATTTTAATTCGCTTAATGTTGTCTTCATATGTTTAACTGTTTTGATGTACAAATATACAAGTAGATATTTACTTATGCAGAGAATTACCTTCAGAGGTGATTACCTTGACACACACAGCGTCTCACTTCCTTGTTGGGACTTGACAACAAAGCTGGTCACGTGTATGTTTACCGTGGGTAGTCACGTGATTAATGTATACTACATTTGTTCCTTCGCGGTAGGACAGCCGACCAACTAATAAATCTTCAACAGTTGAATGGCGAGTCTTGAGGGTTATTCAACAACTCGCTGTTGACGAGGAAAGAATAAACCTAACCAAAAGTGATTTAATCATTGTTTAATTCAATAAACAGGTTCAAAGCGTACCCACGTTTTCTCATAACAATTTACGCAAGTTAGCTCCTTTCAAAATATTCCTAGTTTATGATGTTATCGGACATATTGTCATACAGCTACTTTGATGGATATATGTTTACAAACCGTGCATTAGGATGTACAAAAGTTATAAGCATAGAGAAGTATAAGTTAAAATCCTCAAAAGTAAACCGTATTACATTTGACGCACTGACGTCACACACTAAAAGTACTATTTCAGGATTAAGGGTCACAGGTGTCACGGTGTCCGTCATTTGTCATTAATGCTTGCGACATTCCACCTGTCATTACAGATTAAACAAACATAACTGTCAATCAAGTTAAAGTCAACTGATTCATGTTCATGTTAGTGAAACGGTAAATCATGGATTGCATGAGATGTCCAATCCGAATGGTATGGTACTGCCGGAGTGGCGGGCGACACACGGGACTCGGGACACACGACAAAACATTTTCCATAAACATACAAATTTCTCTGTGCAGTTTTAAAACTTAAACTGTCATGTTATTGTTTTACGTAACACCAGTCAAGATTGTATTATGATTCTTAAGTTTTGTTATTATGATGCATCTTCTTCGCAGAATAATTCCAAAATACATACAATTGAGGGCAAACTAGCAGAGGACAATTTTGAAAGTTTCCTTCTATGAACTGCATTCTATGAACTTGTCTTACAAAATTATGAACGACCTCACTCATTAATTATTTCCGGACACACACCCTTATTATCTGGTCGTCGCCTCTTTGGTATTCCAACATGTGAAACAAAAAGAGCTTCTACGTCATTTATCTCAATCAGTATCCCAATTTTAAACAATTCCCTGAAAAAGGACTTTTGTAGTTGACTATTGTTGCCCTTATTTTTCAAAATATTTTTGTTTGTTCGTTCGTATCCCTGTTTTTTCGGTGTCTGTCTATTATTTATATATTTATTAACCTACTCATTTAGAAAAAATGGCTGAGGTGAAATGGATGTTATCGTCGCGGTTAAGATTATTGCACAATGGCGACTTTAATGCTCGTGTATGTGTGCATGCGCGCGTGTGTCTATGTCTGCGTGTTCTAGCCAGGACCCGCCGTGATATTGCTTGAATATTGCTAAAAGCGGCTTAAAACCATACTCACTCACTCATATACAGCGAGCCAATAAGCCGGCGTCAGTAGCATTGGGAAAAGTATTTCATCTGCCAATGAACCAAATAGAGAAATCATTAAGTACTCATTTTCATACTAACAGCATCACCAGTGTTATATGGCGATAATCACAGGGGATATGTTACATGGCGATTTGAAGAAGATATATATGCTGTTTATATTAGGCCATTCATCCGACAAGGAATACAGAAATATTCTTCAGCCTTGTTTGCAACAGTAACGAAGATGTAATAAATATTTGTCTCCCTTGCACTTGGGATAAGTAAATTATTAAACAAATTATTCAATAACAGTAATCTCCATAAATCAAAGCATACCAATTCCAACATTAACCACCTCACTCAGATTAATACGATAATACAAGAGCACCTCTTTTTACTGCAGAAATAGTAATTGTTTTAAAACAATTTCACATTGAAATATTAAACATTAATACAAGAGAGTACTCACTCTCGATCATCTGGGGACATAAATTCTTTTGGGTGTAACAGGCACAATAGTGGTGAAAACATTAATGTGAGAGTAATATTGTCTTTGAAGTGCTGCTCAACTCAGATACCATTGCTGAAGATTTAACATGGATACACCTCTCAGACACAGAATACTGACACCGAGGAATGGACCACCGACGTTCCGTTATCCGGGCAGGCAAGAATTATGAGATTATATAAACGACACTTCTAGAACATAAAATTCAACATTTTACCTTTATGAAACACATTCACGTGAGATGTTGTAACAAACTGTTTATGCTCAGTATCCGACTCAAATAGAGAGGGAATGAGATATTATTCTGATCTGGTACATGCTCGGCTTGAAGGAAAAAACAAAATTACCATACATTTAGAAAGAACAATTGTCAGTTTTCCCCTAGGTACAACACGACTGCCTTAAGCATGTGCTTCTTTCATGTTTTGCAGACTGTGTATGCTGTGACCCTGTCCCTGGGGGCTTCCTTGCTTCAACTTCATTCCCAGGTCCATTGAGTGGACCAACATTGTTATCCATGCCATTCAATTCTATTCAGGCTTTAATTGTGGTGATTATTGACATTATCCTATTAGGTGAATTTGAACACTTTCAAATCTTTGAAACAGGCGACATACAGCAAGCGGTCGCTGTCCAGACAGATACCACGAGGATATCGCAGGCCACCCCGATCTGTGAGAACGTCTGTCACCAACTGCCCCGACCCAGTCAGCTGAATCACTTTGTTGGACCCGTTGTCTACAGGCAGGATGTTTCCTTTGCTGGTTGTTGCGATACCTTGAGGGCATTTCAGAGCTCTGTCTCCTGTGGGAGTGTAGGTGAAAACAGCTTCTCCATCACGGGTCACACATACAAGGGAGGCAACTCCCCCGGCACTAACTAACACATGTTCTGTGTGATCACGTGCCATTGGTACGATACCCGTGTTGATAGACTTCAGTACATTGCCTGACATATCCAGAATATCCAGAGAGTGTTCGACTTCGCAATTACTCGCCAGTAGTTGTGACTGATTCAGGCATGCTAGGGCCAAGTGTTTGTGCTTCGTTGTCATAGCTGACAGCAGTACAGGATCAGGGTTGAAGCTAACCATAGCTATCATTTTCTTGTTTCGGACGGTAACAGAAACCTGGCTTTCCCGTACCTTAGCTAATAGAAAAGGAGGTCCCGATAAAGTTAGACATTTGTGTCGGAGCTTTGACTTTAAACCATAACCTGAATCTCTCACGACATTGACCTTTTCAGAAGCAATGGTCAGCACTGTGAAGTTGTTAATATCTGCCTGACAGTGAACTATGTGATACAGACGAGGTGAAGACGTCCTGTCACTTATATCCTTTTCTATTTCAATATTGCCTAGCTGTAATCCTACACATATGCTCTCACTTTGTCCATGTTGGGTGTAAAAACAACCATCTCGGAGGTTGGTGTACTGACAGCATCTGTGTCTGTGTCTGTTTTAGATTCAGCTGCTGCCAACTCGTAGACGTCATACAAGTCTACCACAGACTCTGTTGTCACAGCTTTCTCCACAAACTCTGCTTCCTGCTGGTACATCTGTTGGTCAATCTCCTGTATGTTTCTGTCAGTTGATCGGTGGACCAGGTCCATCAGTTCCTTTTCCTTCTTCAAAATCACTTCTGTAGCAACCCTGTGTGTCTCTCTGATTTGTGTTTTCATATTTTCCGCATTTCGTTTCAACACCTCAATCTGGGATTGTGCCATTGACATCATCTCCGCTGTAGATTCCACATTTTCCTTTAATTGTCTAGTGTTTTTTTGCAATAGTTTCTCTTTTACAAAGGGGTTCATTTGTTCAATTGTAGGAACATTACATCATTTCTTGTGTTTTATGCTACAACAGTCAGCACATATAGCTACTTTGCAACCGTTACAAAAAAGTTCAATTCATTTTTCATTATGCAATTTACAAATTGATTTTCGTGTAAGTAAATCAACTATTTCATGGTCTCGTAGATGTGACATTTTGTTGCGTAGCTGGAGGCATTCGCCAGAGAAGGTGTCATTACAGACAGAACACCAGGATGTTGCAGGCGTCATCTTTCCGTTCTGTCTGCAAACACTGCATGTGTCCATTTCTGAAGACTTGATTTTGTTTAAGAGTTAAAGCATTTTATATCGAATATTAATTAACGAAACTATATAATTTTCAGTAACTCTAAGCTCTAAAACATACGAATGTGTTTATGCCATAAAAGATATGCCTACTCACTTGAGTCCATCAGACTTCGTATGACGTGACTTGGTTTCAGCTGACTGACCCACTCCCCTACAGGACAGTCAGGGTTGGTCACCTTCGTCAGCTGTCTACAGGAGGGTCATGGGATGGTCTTGTCTTGTATTGCTCCAGGCTGTGTTTTGGTGTATTTCAGCAGACAGGTCTTATAGAATGTGTGATTGCACTGAAGTGTGACAGGGTGAAGGGATTTAACACCGTCAATACTCTCGATGGCTGAAATATTTGTCTTAATCAAAACCAACATCCACCCTGTATACACTGCATTCTTTGTGTATTGGATTCTGTGGATATTATTAGGCAACGAAATGTCTGGTGCCAAACCATATGCCTGAAGGCTACTTTCACTATCAAAACCTGTAAAGCTGCTTTCGCTGTCAAAATCTGTTTCAATTTGAGAGACTAGCCCCTCCTTTAGAATATCAACATTATTCTAATTCGCTTACTGCTGTCTTCATATGTTTTAACTGGTTTGATGTAAATATACAAGTAGATAGTTACTAATACACAGACTATTACCTTTACAGGTCATGAACTGGAGACACACTACACATGGCGTAACATCCTTGTAGTGACTTCACAATAAAGCTGTTCACGTGTATGCTGCTGCGGGTAAACACTCGATCAATATGTACTGCATTATGTTTGTTTGTGGTAAGAGGGGTGATTAAATGAATATTCATCTGTCGACGATGGGAATCAATAAAGAAAAACCTGATGTTGTGTTTCACAAGGATGTATGATTTCACCGTAACTGTTTTATATGTACATAGATGAAATGTTATTAAGAGTGATGACACTCATGGTATCTTCATTGATTGTGATATTAATGTTACATGTAGCAATTTCTTGCTGATTCTATCATAAAGAAAGAATTAACAGTGAATATTAATAAAAATAACCTCATGGTATTAAAAAATTAAGGATATCTATCACAACACGAAAAACTGTTTATCGATGGTGAACAGATTGAAGTACTTTAAATATCTTGGTATTTTAACTTCATATAGAAATAAATTTACATAAGAATGTGTTACTTTAACTAAACAGGCAAACACGATATATCAGATAGCTACGCAAAGAATTAATCGCAAAGAACAACGAAGAACGAAGCGTGGTTTCTTTCACGACAAAACATTGTCCTATCATGACGTAATTTCTGGAGATTCAAATATGCGCTCGCAACTTGAAGACGACGTAAAATTTGAGAGGGAAGTGTCTAGTTAGTTGTTCCCAACAGATGTAGCTGGGCAACGTAGATAAACGCAATGGCAACGATGGCACCCCAAAAGTGGGAGAGATATACAGATAATCGACGTGAATATTGTGAGCATATGCGGGAAAGACCAAATTTACACATATCCCCTTTTCAGAAAATGGGCTTGGTCGACATTGCCGCTGTCGGATGCTATTCGGGGTGTCATCATTATTTAAATACGGCTAAATATGTTGAAAGCGTGTATTTTTTACTAACATTCAGAAAGAGGATGTAGGATTGTGACATACATTGATTCCTGTTTCTACAGTCTTGGAGAAACCAGCTTTACAAATTCTCACCAAGCAACCTTGAACAAGGGAAATAGTTCTATGAAGCAACTCTTACATGTCACTTAAAGAAGGCATTCTATGTTATTTGTATTTTATTTACACACTCTTTCATTAGCCCTTGACATTTATGTATTTTGAATTTATGATTTTACAAGAACATACACTGCTGTATTATGTAAGTGTCCTGTGGAACAACAGACGTGATGGTAAAGATGCAACACTGATATGTAGTTGTTGTTATCATAGGTTGCAAATAAGGGGCATGGGTGGTCAATTCGTATACGTGACCGCATTTCGTGTAGAGTTGCGTTCCTTAGGGGACCCTGGATCCAATGATCGTGAGTTCTATTCCAAGATAAACCCTATTCATGAGCCTAGTATATTAGGTCTTTGAGACCCACACCCGTACCTTTAGGTTCCAACAATGGTTAAAGACTTTCCTCTCGCTGATACATCGTCATGGAACTGAAATACGACACACTCAGTATTTATTTAGAAGTAACACTATGCTCACTCGTCACTCATTTGTCAACACCATACCGTGCCATTAAAGTGGTAAACGTCTATGATGCCCTTCCACTTTAAGCTAACACGCTGTGATAGAACTGATAAACTATTCAAAACAGCCGTTAATGTGATTTGTTTGCTGTTTCCCATCACTGCTATTCAATTGACTATGGTTGAACTCCATGGATCGATTTACCATAGAGAGCAACTAAAATTCCAAATGTTTTCTTCTTGTTTTCCTGATTTCAAAGTTTTGGAATTTGATGTATGAATGTGTCACTACTTTTCGATATTTCACAATTATTTCACGCTCATTTCCACCATGGGGGCGGTCGGGTAGCCTGGTGGTTTAAGTGTTCACTCGTCACGCCGAAGACCCGGTATTCGAATCCCGACATGGGTACAATGTGTGAAGCCCATTTCTGATGTCCCCCGCCGTGATATTGTTCGAATATTGCTAAAAGCGGGGTAAAACCATACTCACTCACTCATTTCAACCATGCAATAGATATCCCGATTTATCACACACTTGAACCATGGTCCACCAACTATTATAATGAAAGAACCACCAAAACAACGATCATATCTTTGACTCCCAAGGGTACGTGATAGCCCTGTGACATGAGACGACGTGATTTGATGAGCAGCTATGCGCCCCTTGATCAGCATCCGCTGGCCTTTGGGTCGAATCCCAGATTCCAGAGTATGAGCGTCTGTCGACATCAAACGTATGAACGTGGGTTCCACCAAAATGGTAAACTTCTTTGACCTGCTTTACCCGTCCTGACACATCAAGCGGATACTGCTGAACGTTGGGTAAAGTCAGTCCTTCACCCCCAAAATATCAACAGTTTACAGTTTATCGTTGAAGTAAACATGACATGTCCAAGAAGCCAGAAACACTACGTGTGTGTATCTGCAGTAATTTATGTGTCCGAAGGTGACATCATATATTCAAACTTTAATCATGGCACTTAATATGTTTCTGTTTAATGCCTCGCACAACAATATTGCAGCAATATGACGACAGCAATATGACGAATCTGGATCAGCCATAGCAGTAATTGATAATATGAGTGAGTGAGTATGGTTATACGCCGCTTTAAGCAACATTTCAGCAATATCCCGGCGAGGGGACACCGGAAAAGGGCTTCACACATTGCACCCATGTCGGGAATCGAACCTGGGTCTTCGGCGTGACGAGCGAATGCTTTAAACACTAGGCTACCCGACCGCCCGAATTGTTATGAGCAACGTCTCACGCTTTTCACCTGGTGTCACTGATTTTCAGTGATCCACTTTGCATTTTACATCCGATGGAATCTGTTTCAGCAGATTATTCTCTGGCATTGAGTGTAATATTTCCTAAGGCCGTGAATGTTCTTACCCTTATCAAACAACCTTTGAGTAAGAGTCGGATGACGATCTTTGAAGCTTATGCAACACAACATATTGAATTAACTATGTTTCATTTACATTTTCAATTTTGTCAAACAAGCAAATAAATAAACATTAACGATTATAGCAATGCATCAATGTGTGATGCAATTGAACTCACGAACGAACTTACGTGTCAGATAGATTTCCTAACATTTTACAAGTTATCTGTCGATATGCGTTTGAAAATTATTGCCGACATCACATTTTGTACAGGCGACAAGTTACTGATTTATAAATCTTTAACATTTGTTTCAGAGAGTGAAATTAATTAATTTTTTTCCTGATCTCACTTGTTTCTATCTGTCTAAAGGCAAATGTGACATGAAGTCCCACATCAGAGCTGTGTGAGGTGTGGCAGACGCCGCCGCCTAAATTAAAGTTTTATTGAGACTCAGAGTACAGTTAATACAAACAGCGGTTACATCTCGTGCGTAAACCTCGATCTCTTAACGTCACTCGAACTGGCATATGGGTGTTGTACGCAATATTTGTTCCAGAGTGCAATGTGCTTCTCAAGTCATGATATGAATTTCTTTTGTGCAGAATATATATAAAAATATATGAAAAGTGTAAACGTTGCTGTTAAGAAAGCATGGGTCAATTTGGAAAGTCTTTCTTCCTTAAATGAGCGGTATACACTGAAATTGGCTGACACAGTTACTGACGATCCAACTCATGTCCTTAAATCCGAATACACAATCTTACTATCTGGCCAACGCTATCAGTGAGTGAGTATGGTTTTACCCCGCTTTTAGCAATATTCCAGCAAAATCACGGCGGGGGACACCAGAAATGGGCTTCACACATTGTACCCATGTCGGGAATCGAACCCGGGTCTTCGGCGTGACGAGCGAACACTTTAACCACTAGGCTACCCCGACCGCCCCCGACGCTATCAAATTCCACAATGTGAAAACAGCTTGTACATCATGGACAGCATATCAAACAACATTCGCCTCTTTAAGCAATATCTGAAAACGATTATATCTTGTTGGACATTGTTCCTCGTGTATGCCTATTGATGTAATTATCTACTCAATTAGCAATGTAGACTTTATGATAAGTAGAATATAATTAGTTTTTGTCCATTTATTTAATGTTTCCTGATGTTTTAGCTCGAGAATACAAAAATAATTCCTTCAAAGGTATTATAATATTTTCTGTTGTCGATCACGTATCGGTGAGTTGTGAAAACATGTTATCTTTTCGTGGTTACTGGTACAAGGGAGGCTACTCCCCAGTCACTAACACGTTGTTCTGAGTCATTTTCGAACGAATGGCTACCTTGGATTTTGCTTACGTCTATAAACAGCTTGATGTCTGGAATTCCCTCGCGGAATGCCGTTCGAGTTTTTCAAGCGACTCGTAAAAGATACATATATTTTTTTTTTAATTGGGTGAACAAAAAAACTTACTTTTTGAATTTTTGTTTTTTTCATTCAATCATTATAAAGTCAAACTCAGACTCAGACACATTATACTGACAACGAGGGAGATTGAACCACCGACCTTCTAATCTCTGGGCAGACGAGGCTTATAAGGTTATAAAAAGCACATGTTTTTGTAACCAAAATAATAATTCCAAATTTTAGCTTTGTCTTGTACATATACATTCACGTTACAGTGATAAATAATTTGAAATGACAGCAACAAACTATATATGCTCCAAATTTGTAGGTCAAAGACTCAAATACAGAGGGTGTTAGATATCATTCTGATGTGATGCTTGATCAGGTTCAGGTAAGGAACAGAATCACAATAGTTTTAGAAACAAGAGCTGTCAGCTCTGTACAACACGACTGCCTTCAGCATTTGCGTCTTTCATGCTTGCAGACTGAATCCTGTGGCCCTGTCCCGGTAGGCTTCCTTGCTTCATCTTCATCCATGCATTATTCTCAGGTCCACTGAGTGGTCCAACATTGTTATCTATGCCATTCGAGTCTATCAGGTTTTAATTGTGATGGTTAATGACATTATCCTATTGGGTGAATTTGAACACTTTCACATTATTGAGACAGGAGACATACAGCAAGCCGTCGCTGTCCAGACAGATACCAGAAGGACATTGCAGGCCCTCCTGATCTGTGAGAACATCCCTCACAAACTGCCCCGACTCTGTCAGCTGAATCACCTTGCGGGAGTCCCAGTCTGCAAGTAGGATGTCTCCTGTACTGGTTGTTGCGATACCATGAGGATATCTCAGAGCCCTGTCTCCTGTGGGAGTGTAGGTGAAAACAGCTTCTCCTTCACCGGTCACACATACAAGGGAGGCCACTCCTCCGGCACTAACTAACACATTATTCCCTCTGGTGACATGGATGAAATCTGCAAGCGGTACGATACCCGTGTTGACAGACTTCAGTACATTGCCTGACATATCCAGAATATCCAGAGAGTGTTTGACTTCGCTGTTACTCGCTAGTAGTTGTGACTGACTCAAGAATGCTAGGGCCAAGTGTTTGTGCTTCGTTGTCATGGTTGACAGCAGTACAGGGTCAGGGTTGAAGCCAATCATCGCTATCATCTTCTTGTCAGGGACACTAACAGCAACCTGGCTGTCACTCATCTTAGCTAATCGATATGGTTTACATGATAGAGTTAGACATTTGTGGTGTGGTTTTGATTTTAAACCATAAAATGCCTTAACATTATTACCAGAATCTGTTATAACAATGACCTTTTCACAAGCAACTGTCAACACTGTGACATCTCTAACAAAATTAAGCACATTCTCTGTGTGACAGTCAACTGTGTGATACAGACGAGGTGAAGACGTCCTGTCACTTACATCCTTCACTATGTCAATATGGCCCAGCTGTATATCCTCCACAGATGCTCTCACCTCGTCCATGTCATGTGTGAAAATAACCCTCTCGGAGGTTGGTCTACTGACAGCATCTGTGTCTGTGTCTGTGTTAGATTCCGCTGCCGACTCGTAGACGTCGTACATGTCTGCCACAGACTCTGTCGTCACAGCTTTCTCCACAAACTCTGCTTCCTGCTGGTACATCTGTTGGTCAATCTCCTGAGATTTGATGAATGCTTTCAGTTCTTGTATGTTTCTGTCAGTTGATCGGTCGACCTGGTCCATCAGTTCCTTTTTCTTCTTCATCAGCACTTCTGTAGCAGCCCTGTGGGTGTCTCTGATTTGTGTTTTCACGTTTTCCGCATTTCGGGTCAACTCCTTAATCTGGGATTGTGCCATTGACATCACCCTAGCTGTAGATTTCACATTTCCCTTTAATCGTCTAGTTTTTTGCAAAAGTTCTTCTTTTACAAGTGGGTTCATGTGTTCAATTGTATCAACATCATCACATTTCCTGTGTTTTATGCTACAACAGAGAGTACATAGAGCTACTTTGCAATCTTTACAAAATAGTTCAATTCGTTTGTCTTTGTGTAATTTACACATTGGATGAGGTGCTGATTTTCTTCTTCCTTGTGTTAGTAAATCAACTATTTCATGGTCTCGTAGATTTGGCATTTTGTTGTGTAGCTTGAGGCATTCACTACAGAAGGCGTCATTGCAGACAGAGCACCAGGACGTGGCAGGGGTTGTTTTCCCGTCGTGTCTGCAAACATTGCACGAGTCCATTTCTGAAGATTAATGAAATCCATTTATGAAATTAAACAGTAAAATCATTGTTTGTGATTAATAATGAGTACCTTTTGTGTTCAGGAATCTCATTCATTTAAATAAATGTAAAAGTTAAAACATAAGAACATGATGATGCGTCGTCATAAACCAGATGAATACTCACTTGTAGAACTTTGTCCAAAATCGTCCATCAGACTCTGTATAATGTGGTTTGGTTTAAGCTGACTGACCCACTCCTTTACTGGTCTGGCAGGATTTGGTCACCTTCGTCAGCTGTCTACAGGAGGGACACGGGATGCATTTGTCTTGCATTGCTTCAGGCTGTGTTTTGGTGTATTTCAGCAGACATGTCTTACAGAATGTGTGACAACACTGAAGCGTGGCAGGGTCTGTGAACACCTCTGAACAGATGACACAGGTCAGGTAATTGTCTTCCAGCCTTTTAGCAGTCGCCATCTGAGAGAAAATATACATTGATACTAGGTTCCACATCAACATTGACACAATTTGAAGCGTATAATTTGCAGGGGAAGAAGATTAACGAGAGGCCATTCGTTAGCTTAGCTGGGGGGGGGGGGTCGGGACTCACCCCTTTTGAAAAGTTACTGAGTATGTTGTATGCAGTAAAATTATCTGAGGGATCCATCGAGTTTAAATGTGCTGGATCCGCCTTTGATATTTGATTAAAATTCATGTTATCACAATAGAATCAGAGATGAGTCAAAATTGTTTTTGCAAATTGTAAAAATTGATGGTAGTCTCTAGCAGGGACATAACTCCGTCCATCTTCTCGATGACCGCCTGTTACACGACAGAGATCACCCCTGTCCTTTTCAATGGAGTTTTTGTGATGGGCAAAATCAACATCTAACTGTATTTTTTGCATTCTTTGCATATTTATTTCTGTGGATATTTTTGGGCATCTAATTTTTAATCTAAACCCAAACCATGACTTTCGCTATCGAAATCTGTAAGGCTACTTTCGTTATCAAAATCTATTTGAATATGAAAGAATAACATCTCCCTTATTATATCAACATTACTTTAATTCGCTTAATGTTGTAATAATATGTTTAACTGTTTTGATGTATAAATCTACCATTAGAGTTTTACATATATGCAGAGCAACACTGTAGCAAGTGATTACCTTGACACACACAGCAGAGGGCGTCTCACTTCCTTGTTGTGTCTTGACAACAAAGCTGGTCACGTGTATGTTTAGCGTGGGTAGTCACGCAATCAATATGTACGTGTTCGTTTGCGATAGGACATATTAGTAACAGCAGTTTTAACTGTTTCAAGACTTGAGGCTCTTCAATAACAATGCTATTTATTAAACCTTACATTAAAATACTAGCTTCTGATTGGTTAAGAGCGGGCAAATATTTTCCATGTAGCCCGCTTATGTACCCCGCAGGGAAATCAACCGGAACGCACCTTAGGTAACTTGCTTGTCTCGCATACGAATCGTTGAGCTGAACAACCGATGTTTATCCGAATGCATTGGGTAAAAGGAAGTAACTCGGTTCGTTTGCGTCGTCTGCTAGCTGTCACACTAGCTGAATCAAATTCGTTGTCAAACAATCCCTCAGGGCATATAGTGTGATTTACCCTGTGTGTGAGCATGTGTACCCCTGACGGCCCGGGATACATAGGCTCACACACGGGGTACATCACATTTTATACCCCTCTAGATCGGTTGTCAACTTATATTAACACATTCCTTCCTGCTGAGGGGGGAATACGTTTGTAAACGTGCTAATTCTAGATCTACCTCCAACTACATAGATATCTGGTCAATGTAAATAACCCAATTGTGACTATGAAACTTGCTCATCAATACAAAGCTTAGAAAACCCATCCCTTCACTAATTCCGTTTTGCGTGTACTCAATTTATTATTCTTTGATGCATAGGGACACTATATGGATATTCTCCCTGCTATTACTCTTGGCAATACCTGCAAGTTTATATGGTAATTGTAAATGACCCACTTTTGAGTATATTTTAGATATTTCCATTGTAATAATGCTGTGAATAGATTATGTCAGTTCTGTTAACATTATTACCTTGTTTGTGAATTGTCTCTGTTCTAGAATGTATCTTGTGTGAAAGCCCACACGGGCAATGTATTAGATAGAGTGTGTCGGATATATTATATTCAATCACATGTAAACTGTTGTATGACGTTGTGTACCGTGGAATATGTATCATGAGTAATGTAGGATGAATCTTCGCATATATTGCCCGCTTCGTGGTCAAGTGGAAGATCGGGGGTTCTATCCCCGGCCACATCATACCAAAAGACGTTAAAAGATGGTACTTGTTGACTGGCGCTAGCTCGGCATTAAGGGGCTAAAACAAGGACTGGTCGGCTCGAAGTCAGTATACTGTGTCTGAGTGGGGTATTCATGTTAAACTGCGGCAAGGTATCTCAGTGGGCTGACACATGAAATCGGATCAGTCCGGACTGGTACAACCAGCCACCCCCACGTGCACTTTCCCCCACCCTCTACTCCCACCGCACGCACGCCGCTAATTGAGTGTAATAATCTTTTAACGTTAAACCCAAATTCACCTAACCACACCTCTTTGCATACAGTACATGTACTTCTATACCTGATTGTAAACATTCTCTAATACTAGTAATTGATTGAAAGCATTCTGTTGTTGACTGAATTTATAAAAAATTCAGTGGCTGTCTGATAAACTGACTGTTTATTCACTCAGGTCTTGTGTTGTTGTGTGGGTTGGTCGCGTACAATGGTACCTTCCCTCACTCGTTTTAATAATGCGACAATAGGTTTTATGCGGCCCGCGTTAGGTTTGATATCACGACACTTGGGAGGTATAAACCTAACGTGGGACGCATAAAGCCACACATACCCCGAGGGATACTGCTACAACGAATCTACGAATCAACGAATCTACCTTGACGATCTGCCATTGTAAATGAATTGAAAGAGATTGAATGCTGTTCGATTGAGCTGAGGTTAACCAGTGCAGTGTAACGTGACTTTCGTTGACCCGTAAACAACGTGCAGCTTTTCGCTTCGTATCGGGGTGCAGGAGTTGGGAGGATATTTATTGTGCTGCTCAGGAATGTCCATGTATTATCGTCCCTGACCATCCTGATGTGTGAGAATATATCTTTGACAAAATTAAACTGCGCCGACACTGTCAGTGGAATCACCTTGTGGGTGCCAATGCCTACAAACAGGATGTCTTCTGTCCTGATAGTTGTCATACCTTGAGGATATGAGGTATCAGTTCTTCATACCAATGCCATATCAGGTTTTTCATGAGTAGAACTGATGGTGTTTCTTACCGTGGATCTATGGGCAACAGATGATAAAAGTCTGACTGTATTATCAGGAGGAAGGCCCCTGTTCTTCATACCAATACCATATCATGTTCTTCACGGGTAGAACTGATCATGATGGTGCTTATTACCGTGGACCTATGGCCTATAGATGATAAAAGTCTGACTGTATTATCAGGAGGAAGGCCCCTGTTCTTCATACCAATACCATATCATGTTCTTCACGGGTAGAACTGATCATGATGGTGCTTATTACCGTGGACCTATGGCCTATAGATGATAAAAGTCTGACTGTATTATCAGGAGGAATGCTCCCGGTTCTCCATAGCAATGCCATATCAGGTGCTGCATGGGTAAAACTGATGATATTCATTACATTTAAAACTGTGCCCATGAAATAAAAATTAATTGTCGATGTATGCCCTCCCTTACTACTCATGTAGAGGTGTTCTTTAATCGTACACTGTTTCTATGATAAAATGTATTTAGTGTCAGTAACATATCTTCATTTCATGGGAGATAAAATGACCTATTTGTTTAATATGACAACTACACTTCTACACTGACTGGTATATTGTTGCTTACAATGACCTCAAATAAAGTAGTTTCCGCGGATTTTCTCAGCGAGAGGCACATTAATACAGTTATCCTCAGTTATTAGTACCTTTTGTACATTCGCGCGTGCGTGCCTTCTTTGCATCGAGGCATGTATGGTATGTTTACCGTCTTTGCAGCCTTAGGGGCGGTGGGGTAGCCCAGTGGTTAAAGCTTTCGCTCGTCACGCCAAAGACCCGGGTTCGATTCCCGACATGGGTACAATGTGGGAAGCCTATTTCTGGTGTCCCCCGACGTGATATTGCTGGAATATTGCTAAACGCGGCGTAAAACAATACCCACTCTCTCAATCACTTTGCACCCTTACAAGTGTACCAGTGGCGGATGCTACCGGTATAATAGGACAATTGAGCGAACACCTGGTGTCATCACTTATGTTCAGTGATCGATTCATATAATGTCATCACGATGTTGAATTTTCCCCATGGAATTCGTTCGGCTTGCGTCCGTGACTGAGTATTCTCCGGCGTCGACATTTGAATTTAAACGAATATAGAACACTCGTCTGTTTGTGCCTTTTATCATGCATATACGTTGTGTCATTGTTAGCATACATACATGGATTGCACAATTGCCTGTGTGTAGCACTTTACATCCATACATGTATAGTCATGTATATGTATCTTCTCGCATGCATACACGTATGTATTGCGTCTTTTTATGAGTGCGTGGCTGTGTCACGAATTGTTTGATAGGCATTTCTTAGAAGTTGACGGATGACAAAGCAGACAAAACTTCTTTATGTTACTGCAATGGCGACGTTTCGGTAGGAAGTTGTTGTCATCATGTGTGTCTACCGTGTCTGTGTGACGTCTTTGCCTATATGTGTGTAAGTGTGTCACGATGTGTGGGTCCGGCCTTTCCATGATCATGAGTATAACAAATGTACTGCGCATATGTTCAGCGTGTGTATGTGTGTGAGTTCGTGCGCGCGCGCGTGTGTGTACCTTTTCCGCACATATGTTCAGTTCACTCTTTTGAAAATACATTAAAAGTTGCACAGATTCTAAAACTTTTTGGGTATTTTTAGGGGGAATTTTAAAATGTTCTGTTTTAATATGATATGAATTATTTACATATCAGTGCAATACACACTGAGCCAGTCGAAGGGGTACACTGTCTTCTCATGATCAATTACCTGGCCAAGCCGGCGTACAGTCCATTTGGCCAATGTGCACCGAAATATTACAAGCTGCATGGATTTGAAATTATTGTTCAATATACAATCGTGCATGATGTATATTTTATTATAATAAATATACACTGATCCAGTCCAAGGTGTACATGTGTGTGAGAACGCAATGATAAATCGAGTCTGCTATTTTGACCGTCATATAAACATAAATCATTATCATGGTGCGGGGCTAGATCAAACCAATGGTCCACCATTTCATACACAATACGTAATACCGGTCCCCACAAACATGTTGAAACACTCATGCGTTAAAAATGTACATGGCTAATGAATTGAATGAAGGTTGTAAACACACACTCCAAAAAGAAGCTCCTTAATATGCACCATGTCCCAAAATATAATTTGTTAAGTATTTAATAAACCCAAAGTTGTTTAAATACGACCCAGCTACAATAACATAAGTAAATGGGATATATTTTTTTGCTGGATTTCAACAGCTATTCACACGTTTTACAAGCACTGGCTACACTTGTGATACATTTAGATAAACATGGTGCTTATGTACAGGCTAATTTGGTCATACTCCCTAAGTGGTAAACAATTCAATTTTTTCATGTGGCAGATGAAACCAGACCCTGACGTCAAGATAATAGAAAGACTATTCACCCACGTAAGAAGTGACAGATACGTGTAGCGCAAACCGAACATGTTTTTAGACTAGCGTGTTAAAGTACGCTGTGAAGGGATCTATTTTGTCACTTAATCTTGTAGTACACAGACTTAGTCAAGTTTCCCTCACAAAGAAATCGCCTATAGTGCCTTAATTAATATAATCTACCATTCATTGAGAACTCGGAAGTTGACCAAATTCTCCATAAGGAAGATAAGCTATAAGATGAAATAGAAGAAGACAAATACTTAAAGATGTACATTAAAGGTTGTAGCTAACGCAAATCCTTTAAGTCGGTTTATTGTAGACGTGAGATTTCGCATCCTGACTGGACAACTGTATGCTTATAAAGGACGTGTTGGAGAGTTCGAGTCATTTACGAATCAAGTTGCTTGGAGAAGAAGTCCACAAAGCAATATGTCTGTCACAACATCGGCCCTTCTGTTCGGGATGTGCTTGGCTCAGATAGCCACCGCCCTGTGGCCCGTGTTTCCGACAAATGGCGAAAATTCCCGAGACACTACAACAAACCCTCGGGAGCCGGATTCAAACTTCCAGACGGCGGGAACAACCGAAGTGTGTTCGTGTTTGGAGGAAATTTCACATCTCGAAAAACAACTAAGACTTACTCATGGAAGACTTGAGAGTTTTCAGCACAGAATGGACGAGCTGTCGGCGGAGTTATACAACATGCAGAACGGAATGAGGGCGTTGAGGAACGGACGTTAGTACTTGCCACCGTTTAAGTTTATGGCGTTCATGATTGGTTTATTATGAGATATTTCAGTGTTCAGGAACTTCTTTAACAATTCCAAATTCTCGAGCATCCTAAATTTGTACCTTGCTCACCATTGCATCTGTGAAATGACGTCCAGAAAAGGTTCACGACATCGAATCTTAATTTAACACTTACCTCGTTATTATGCCACCGTTTGAAATATAAGCGATACAAAATAATTCAAAATCATAAAATATCTCTGCTATGAACGTAAACTTATCACATTAAAATTCATATATCTAGTATGGTCTCCATTTTCTGACATTGTCGAATCCATTGTCTGATATCGTCTTATCCATTTTCTGATATTGTCTAATCCATTTTCTGTAATTGTCTGATCCATTTTCTATTATTGTCTGACCCATTTACTAATATTGTCCGATCCATTTTCTGATATTGTCTAATTCATTTTCTGATATTGTCTGATCCATTTTCTGAAATTGTCTAATCCATTCTCTGATATTGTCTGACCTATTTTCTGATATTGTCTGATCCATTTTCTGATATTGTCGAATCCATTTTCTGATATTGTCTGATCCATTTTCTGAAATTGTCTAATCCTTTCTCTGATATTGTCTGACCTATTTTCCGATATTGTCTGATGGATTTTCTGATATTGACTAGTCCATTTTCTGATATTGTCTGATCTTCTTTAGGCTCGCTATACTGCCGTGAAGCTACATACGTTATCACTATAACGAGACTACATTATGGATATTCTCGGTGCCATGCTTCACTGTAACGTCCTATGCGTTCATCTATTTTCAGTTCGACCAGCTCTTGGACAATCACAGGACATTTCTTTCTCGGCCCGCGTTGGCACCAACAGACCATATCTCAAGGACGTCGACACTGTAATCTTCGACGACATCATCATCAACAATGCTGGTGCATACGACCCCTACACCGGCAAGTTCACATCACCTGCCATCGGTGTCTACCATTTCAGCGCCACCATCCTCAGTGGCTACAACACCACCATTGAAACAATGTTTGTGGTCAACGGGGCAGAAATGGGACGGTTGTATTCGGGTTCCTTCAACAACAGAGGTTCAGGAACAAACTCTATTCTTGTGAACTTGAAACAAGGCGATGAGGTTTCAATCAATTTGTTCTACGGCAACGGGGATTATGTTCACGGACAATGGAGCACATTCTCTGGATATGCCGTGTCACTGTTTGGATAGGTGGTGTGAGATTGCGGAAGCTCTTGTTTAAAAATTGACTGAAAATGGCGTGAAGTGGAACGTTTCCTTGCCAAACATTTTCATTGCTATCTGTATCATCTCGTCACACAAACGCATCTTTTTGTCAGATTCGTGTCATCCAACAAATGTTGATTGATTCATCATACACTCTTCCGTCGATGAATCATACACAGTACTTACTTGCATGTAGAGTCGATTGGGGTACGACCTGTGATGAACAGTTACCTCATCATATCATACTCATAATCATAACCTGTACTATAGATTATTATATGCTGAATACAAATCATCAATAAAATATGTAACCTAATGCTTGTGTTTGTTGTCTTCGTAAGAAATCCGTAACTAACATTTCTGAAATAACCCTGACTGCACTTAAACCTGGATAGTGCATTCAACCACACGGTGCACACGTACAACTATTTTAAATTGTGACACACATTTCGTTACTTAGCTGGTAGTCAAATGTCTATACATTTTGTTGTGACTTGGGTTAGTATGGCAGTTTTGAGGTGTTGACGTCTCTGGTGTCGACGTTCTATATTTATGAAACCTTCTCTGAAATATTTTTGATTGCAAGACTGATTGATCGTTTGTGAAACTAAATGTTGTGAATTCTGGTAATAAACATAAGTGGGTTATTCATTTTAAATCGATACTGGACGATCTAGGATTTGGTGATGTTAAATGTGGATTCAATATATGTATATACTGGGCGATCAATGGATTTGGTGATGTTAAATGTGGATTCAATATATATATATACTGGACGATCAATGGATTTGGTGATGTTAAATGTGGATTATATATATATATGTGTGTGTATATATATATATATATATATATATATATATATATATATATATATATATATATATATATATACTGGACGATCTAGGATTTGGTGATGTGGATTCAATATATATATATATATGACCAGAGATCTATTATATATCCCAAAACTTCATCTCATAAAATTAAAAAAAAATATGTATATCATTTGAACAAAACCAATACATTTTGGATGTATAGACACATAAAGAATGCCACCATTGCACTATTGTGCCTCGGGTGTTTGTGTGTGGCTGAAGCTGTGATATACCGTATGTAAGAACATCATTTTGTACCAAAGTGATATGTTTCTCAAAAAGGATGGTTTGTGTGTGGCTGTATGTAAGAACATCATTATACCAATATACATACATTGGTCCGAACCTGGATTGGAATTGATTTTAAACCAACAATGCTCATATCCATGCAGTATGTGTACAAGTAGTTTCTCCTCCAAGTAGTGTATGGTAAAAGCGTATTAAACTACATGTTCAGACTGCACAAAGCATATACATCTAAACGACGCCTTTCTACGTTCATGTGATTCATTGTCCAAATATATGGTTACATCAGAGTTCAAAAACAATTATGCATTTTAAGATGTATTTCTGAAATCGAAAGAGAATAACTGTCCGAAATGAATATAAGGAATAAACTTAGGCCTCGGGTGTTATTTAAAATGAATATAAAATTTCAAATATTAGCTTGTTTCAAATACAAGCGTGAGACTTGATTCCCGGATCCAAGTACAAAAAGCCTTATGGTCTATGCCACGTGGGTGTTATATTCGATGGGATATTAAGCCCTGGTCGACCTTCATCATCTGGGCCAAAGCAACATAATACACGTAATAAGCCGTACATTCTACACACCACTTCCATCTTCGTGTCCGCGGTTGTTGTCCTATTGTGTTTACGTGCTTGTTCAGTGCGGTTTGCTTCGTGTGCTAGAACCGTTAAAGTCAGCATTAACTTGTCATGCGTCAACAGTAGCCCCTCAAAACAAACACGCAAATTGTCTCAGCGATGTTAAGTTAATTCCTGTCAAACAAGGGAGCTGTGCAGTTTGAGGAAGTTTTTGTTATGAAACAGGAGACAATTTGTACAGATGTGATCCTGAGCCTGTGAGTAAGCTGTTGATGACGAGCGGTGTTACCACCACCAACTGCTACACCCAAAACTGGGCCTTTGTGTTCTGAGACATGGCGAGGAGGTGTACATTCAGGACTCTTTTCTGCTGATGACATCTAGCACCTTCATCACACTGCAACACACCCGACACGGCCTTTGTGTTGTTAATATAAATTGTCAATGCAAGGGAATAACCAACCTAGATTTACTTCCAAAAAGATTCCATTTGGCGTACAGGGCAAATAGGTGTGGAAATTATATGAATGGATTACTGAAAATCAGTGATGACACCAGGTGTTTGCTAAAAGGGTAAGCAAGTCCTACCCTACCGTTAGCACCCGCCATTCATACAATCTGCATAAAAAAGTAAGTATTTATTGCCTGACGTTGCACAGCAGCACTCTTGCCATGCGACGTATGCTTGAAAACAAACCATACAATCAAGTGATCGATGAACCAGAAAATCCAGCGACACGAGAGCACCAATACTGATTTTGTTAAAACTAATAGAAACAGGTATGTAAATATAAGTAAAGAAAACTTTAAGAAATATATTCGTTTTGCAACACAGTTTGGCGCAGATGTAAAGTCTGGGCCCAAACATTTTTTTTGCAGTTGTCTCAGCATTGATAAATGCTACTAAGACACAACGCGTCAGATATGCTGAAAATTCTGGTCTCTTGTCTGTTGATGGGAGTAATGTCAGAGACAGGTTTCCACGACTGTGCTTAACATGGGTGGTTTGGGAAGCCACGATATCTCTACGACCGTACAGGTTGTACTTCAGATCACTGTTGAACTTTAGGGCAGAAGATGTAAAATGCTTTAAATGTTCACAATTGCCTTTACCTGACATTTTAGACCCGTGGAGATTCGGGGTAAAATAGATCTTCAGCAACCCATGCTTGTCGAAAAGGCGACTGTGCTTGGTTAAGAGGCGACTAACGGGATCGGGTGGTCAGGCTTGGTTGATGCATGTCATCGTATCCCAATTGCGTGGAGCGATGCTCATGATGTCAATCACTGGATAGCATGGTCTAGACTCGATTCGTTACAGATCGCCGTCATATAGCTGGAATATTGCTGAGTGCGGCGTTAAACAACAAACTAACAAACAAAAAAACAAAGCTGACATTTTAAGCAACGATTCACTGAAATGCTTAAAAGTAGAATAATAAGAACCATGTCATCAATCCACTGGTAACATTTTACACCCATTCAATAGTAAAACTTCTTGTCTCTAACTATGAACAGGTGTAAGTGATTCACGTGAAAACATTTTATTGGAGAAGGGCTGATAGCATTGTAACGTCGTAGTCAACAATGCATACATCTGACATATATTATGTCATACATGCATACTGAAACCTAAAGTAAAATACCATAACTTATCCGTACTATCCATACACAATGTCTTTAGAAAAACGTACTCATTCACAACGGCGAGTCGAATAAATGAAAACTTGGGGAATATCGACAATGAAATATAACATGAGAACAAAGACGATTTTATATCAAAGTATATTTATTAAATTGTAAAATCATTATAATCAACATAACACACGTCTAGATTAAGAGACAGGCGTTCCTATTCAACTCTCACAATACAAAAAAATAATACAAAAACTTCTTGGACCAGAGCGTGGATAGCACACACACGCGAACTAGCTTCTTCGCCCTGCAAGGAAATGTCATATTGTTCACGAAAACCACAGTTTATTTTGCAAAGTTTTCAAGGATCCTTCTCATTGAGGATAAACCCCGAAAACGTGCTGTAAAAGCCGTGGACGTGAGTGCCACCTTGATACAAGAGCCTTATCCAAACGCTGTCACCACTGCGGAGGTTTACAACGGCCGCGTTACTGCCAGATCCATGCGCGTCATGTGCGCCTGAGTACATCCGGGATACTTCTTTGTCATTGACTATGACCGCAGTTTCCACTTTGGTGTTGTAGCCGGATAACACCGTGGCAAAGAAGTAGTACGACCCAGAGAGGGGCGCCGTGAATTTACCAGTTTCTGAATTGTACCCCTCGCCGTTGTTGGTAATAGTTGTGTCGAAGATGACGGTGTCCAGAGGTTGTAGCTCTCGGTTGTAGCTCAGCTTGGCAGTGAAGGCGATTGCTGGCGGGTCTCTCTGGGCGGACAATGCAGTAGCTCGGGCGACTGAAATAAAATGTGTAGCTATAGTGAGTGAGTATTTTTTTTACGCCCCTTTATGCAATATTCCAGCAATATCACGGCGGGGGTCACCAGAAATGGGCTAAACATCGGCGTAGCTGTAGTAATGTGCAGAAAATACTGTTGTAATATGGCTATTTTTGATAATACTTATACCGTTACTGCTTCCATGACACAAATGTCCCTTATTAAATGGTTTGAATCATACTTTTCGTTTTCACTTTTGGCATAACGACTAATCGGATGGCCATAGCATTATATAAAGAAGGTTAAGAATGCCAGATATACAAGGAACTGTTTGTCGCAGATACCAACAAATCCTAATCTTCTTATGTACAAGGAATTCCTTAATCATCGGTGAGAGTTCCGCCTTTTGTATAACATTCAGTTGTATTTATAGACCGATTTACCCTTGTTAGTTTGTTTGATTTTTGTTTGTTGTTTAACACCGCACATAGCATAATTCCAGCTATACGACGGCGGTCTGGACCAGACAATCCAGTGACTGCCATCGTGAGCATCGATCTACGCAATTGTGATACGATGACATGCATTAACCAAGTCAGCGAGCCTGACCACCGATCCAGTTAGTCGCCTCTTACGACAAGCAAAGTCGCCTCTTATAAGAAAGCATGGGTTGCTGAACACACATTATAAACCGGATCTTCACGGGTCCTTGAAATAAATCAGTTTCATAGCGTGACCATTTTTTATCATCCTGGTATAAGAAAAAAACCCATACTGATAGAATAGATAGAACGACTCGTATAAAGAATTGGGCGGCTATCATCGAATACAGCAAATATGTTAGAGACTACTGGCGTATCTCTGCATTTACAAAAAGAGGAACAATGAGAAATAACAGGCATAATTAATCATGTGTATTCTTGCAGACTGGTTTCTAGAGGTGTTTAATGTTGAACACGACGTTAAACCCCATTTCATATTACCTCTGGAGGCTTTCACAGTGAACTGTTTGATCAACTAGATATAAATTCATAATAAATCATGCATATTTTTGCTGTTTCCCCAAAATTTACAGACTGTAAATTTGTAGGCGTTTTATCAAATATTGTAAGGCTTAAAATAAGAGGTGGGCTAACACCTTGTTGAACATGATTTCAGTTATACAACAGCTTGTCAGCTTTGGGGTAGAAAAGTCCAAAATGACGCAGGTCGAAAAAGGTTGACACCCACCAGTACGGGCATGGCCCTGACAAACCAAAAATCACGATCAAGACAAATCTCTTCACAACAAACTGCGGCTCATTAGACTTATCCTATGATTCACGAGGTTGTATAGACAATAGTTGGTTAATAAGAAATGATACCGTTGGGTGTGTTGTATGCACTGTTTTCATTCTTTTAAAATTAAAACTAAATTTAAAGGGATGCTCCAAACGCTGCCTGAGCCATAATCATGATAATCAGAAGATTTAGGATAAGTACTTGCATAACCTGGCCAGGTGATCACTAACATACGTTGTAAAGTTTGTCTTTTGCATTCAGCATATTGTAAAGTTTGTCTTTTGCATTCAGCATATTGATCTGCTTATCTTATTTCTTTGCATAATGATGATGTCCGATGCAATTCTCTATTTTGACTTGTACCTTATGTTCCCGTTTTTTGTCGGTTTTTCTTTGAAGTAATTGACCTAGCAATATCTGTTTGTCGAAATACATGACTAAGTCTATTCAAAACCAACTGGTACATTTATTAAATATAGAAATTCATAATCCCTGCTAAATTATGCCTTCTGGTATGCTTAAGTGGTCAGTGTGTCGGATGTTTCCAATATAAACTGTTTGATTGGCATTTTTTGGATTGGTTGGTTGGTTGGTTTGTTGTTAAACGCCGCACTCAGCAATATCCCAGCTATATGACGGCGGTCTGTAAATAATCGAGTCTGGACCAGACAATCCAGTGATTTACATCATGAACATCAATCCACGCAATTCGGATCGATGACTTACGACAACCAAGTCAGCGAGACTGACCACCCGATCCCGTAAGTCGCCTCTTACGACAAGCATAGTCGCCTTCTACGGCAAGCATGGGTTGTTGAAGACCTATTCTACCCCGGACCTTCACGGGTCATTTTTTAGAATTTGGTAAGTAACAGTGAAGACAAGATAATTTATTGATGACAACTTCTTTATTCTATTATGATGTGACGTTTCGGTATAGATCCTCACATTTGATCGCCACGTCTCCTTGTAGACGGCGTTTGAACTATTTGATTGGCACTTTTTAGATGAGGTGAATCGGACCCGACCTTCAGCTTGAAGAGTGAACGCTATAACCAATATGCTACCCACCTCCCCTTATTAAAAGAATAAGTAGAAAGTGTTAAATTGACAGTCCTATGGCCGAATAAACACTTACCTTTGGTTGCATTTTTTAGAGCAGTGACTAAAGCTCTGAGTTCATAAAGTTCTGATACATAGGTCTCCAAAGCACCCTTGAGTTCCTGTCGCTGATGAACTTCCTGGAGGATTTCTCTCTTGAGGGCAGTGATATCGGACGCACAGGAACAGTTATTGGATCCGGCTGCCCATGCGTTATATCTTGTGGGGATGGCTGCAGCCTTTTCAACCTTATGCGCAGATGATACATAAACTATAATGCTTAAGAGCACTAACGCCGTTTCACGAGTCATTTTGATAGAGGTGTTCTGCAGAGTGGTGTTCTGAGTCCGTGCTTGTCTTTTATACCTGCGTGCAATACGACCTTCCTCACGCCGCCCATGTCAGACTTTTTGAGTCAATATGAAACGTTGAGACAACAAACATGCCCCGCGAGCCAAGTTAGGGAGGATCACTTTGCCTGCCAACACAATAGCCTCAACAAATAACAAGTCCTCCATCTTCAATTTGTCAAATATTTGTGTTCTTGCTTCTTCCAGCACGCCCCGCGCTTCTGACATTGACTGGCAAGGGGATGTGTACCTCTTAACATAGGAACCCATTCAAAACAGGATTATGATAATTCTGGGTGATAAGCTAGTCAAATTCGTTCGTAAAACCTAAACTATATCTGGGCCAAACAGGAAGCGATTCAAAATATGAAATTCCTGTTTTCCTCGGACAATGGTCTTTTCCCCCCGAGAACAAAACCTCATGTGTTTTGGGTGCAAAACAATTCACCACGCCCATCTCTTGATGCTCAACACAAGATAACATGACAATGCAACTTTAAATGGTACTTTATTGCCAAGTTACACCAAGAAATTGAGTTTTTTCTTATATACTCACAACTTTTTGACAGAAACAAACAACCTCAGTTTGCTATGGGTTTAAGATTTGTGATTCTGACAAACATGAAGAATGTTTTCTAGATTAGCCGATTTCCCAACTAATGTACCTATTTTTCCAAACGGTGCAATTATATATCTACATAAAAGCGGAAAAACCCTTTTGTTAATCATAAAATATATATAAAACATTAACGCCAGAGAATTCTCACCTCGATTATCTACCTTTGGGCGTAAAAGGCAAAATAGCGCTAAGAATTATTGAAATGTATCACTGAAAATCAGTGATGACACGAGGTGTTCGCGAAAAGGGCAAGCATATCCTGCCCTACCGGTAACACCCGTCACTCGCACAATTTGCATAAAAAAGTAAGTGTTTGTTTGTTGCCCGACACCGCAGACAAGAAATATGTGCTAAAAGCAAAATCGATTGTACGATTTCGATTATTTAATAAGCACGTGTCTATGATCACTGTTAAATATTGATGGTGTTCGCGAAAAGGTGAAAATGTAAACACAACCTTAGAGAGCCTATCCAAATGTACAATTTAAAAATAACATAATTACTGAGTCTTTGAAAGACATTTAGAAGTTACTACCATAAAAATCTGATATTTTGTATTCTACTTTTCTCAACATGAATGGACGAAATATACTGTGTAAATGCGCGCTAGACGAAATAAATACTGATTGTATTGAAAACTTAATAGTTAAGTAACATGAATCGGTAAACAATTCAAATATTCTAGTATTTGAGAGAAAAGAATTTACATTACTTTGAGGTGCTTTGTCGAAGAACTATGTCATTGATGTAATACTTCACAAGTCACTGTCACTCCTAATACCAATGTTGTTATGACCCAATTGACAGAATTCGTGTGGTTTGGTGAGCACACATTTACATATTTTGTAGGAAGACAAATGTTGTCAACACACTGTGTCCTTGTGGTGCAAAAACACATTTAGTAAACAACTTGAGTCAAATGATATAACCTTTTCCTTGGAAACTTTATCGTAGGTTAATGCGGATTTAGTAAACCCACAATAATGTATTATTTTACTTTGTCATTTGACCACATGACCCTTTTGCAATAAGCATATATGGATATGTTCCCTAACATTTCTATTTTATCGGACAGACTGTTTCCGATATTAGCAAATTGTTTTTCAAACCAGAATTGACTTGTGAATGAAAGTTTTGTGGGAATCGATATGCTGGGTGTTAATCAATAACCACTTCAGTGATCTCCTGACGGTTGTTGAACGTTGCCCTGACAGAATCATTAAACGTATGGATGTCATCGGGCTGTGTCGATTATGATCAAAGTAATTATCGATTATGACCTAATTAAGTATCGATTATGATCAAAGTAAGTATCGATTATGGACCGGATAAACATGAGTAGGAGAGTGCGATGATACACCAACGACATTACGACAATGGGCTCAGAGGTCTTCTTTCCTTACATCCTCACGGGATTACCTACCACTCAAAGCGTCGTTACTTATTTAAATGTTCATATTGTGGATGTCACTATGGGGAGTATGGGAGAATCCATCACGTACACATTATCAGGTATGACTAGAATAATCAGTTTGAGAATTCACACAAAAATTCATGCCCCGGTAAAAAGCAATAGGTATATTTAACCATGCAGTATGTTGGAGTAACATTTTTATAATTAGGTTTCCATCCAAACCATGAGTTCCGAGACCAATAAAGTGTACATTAATGCTTCGGTATGACGTCCTTCTCCATGTCAAAAACATGTTTTCAGTCATGTGTGTTTTGCCTTCCCTCTGGTCACTACAGGTGAGATATTTCTGTCTCTTTGCTGAGCATCTTTACTTTATTATAGACGTGCTGAGTCAGCAGTTATCGACCCATGTTATTTGTTTCCGGTATGCATGAATGGATGAAAGTATTTTGTGCAGGTATGCTGGGCGCTAGTGACATTTTATCACAACACTACTTCAAAGATGATGATACATTCCAACAAGAAGCTATTTCTCACCATAAGAAGGTGATGTAACCACAGCAGTAACGCAATAGTGAGTGAGTGAGTGAGTGAGTGAGTGAGTGAGTGAGTGAGTGAGTGGTTGGTTGGTTGGTTGGTTGGTTGGTTGGGTGGGTGGGTGGGTGGGTGGGTGAGTGAGTGAGTGAGTGAGTGAGTGAGTGAGTGAGTGAGTGAGTGTCAGCTTTACCGATACAAAGAAAAGTAATAAATATGCTTGATATCTGTTTACTGTGACAAAAATACTGTTTCCTGTTATATAATTATTTTTTAATTACCCGTGGCACACTGACAGGAATATGTTTAAAGAGCTTTTAGTACAATGTTCAGTGTATGTGTATGAATATCAATGTGTATATGAAATTATATATGTAAATGAATATGTATATGGATTCAAATATGTATATATAATTAAATTGTCGCTGTGTTCAATTAAATTCCTGCATTCTGATTAGCTGAATTGGTCACGTGGTATTGCATTCATTTCCCAATGAATGTAAAAAATTAAGCCACGCCCACCGAGGCGCACTACTTTTATTACTGCGGAATGTCTGGGAATCCCAATATAATTGCATGACGATACGCGTGAGCAGAAAGGGAATTCCGTCGACTGTAATATGATATTGCAGTTGAGAGAATTCCCTTTCTGTTCACGTGTATCGTCATGTACAGAACATTCAGCGACATTCATGCATATTCATTGTCCAAACTACCCTTTGAAACCGAAGGCCGAGATAGAATGAAACAGCAAACGTGCAGGCTCGCTCGCCTGTTTTTTCCCGCTCGCCTCGGTTTAAGAACTTTCATGTCTTCGGGTTTCATTTCTAACTAGCATTTTTCAGGGAACTAATGTTTGAATCTGGCGGTAACTGACCATGTCATTTGAAACAGCCGCCTTCTGGACATATTTCTTCCGATTTCTTCCGGTTCTCGCCTCTTGCCTTAATTGACAGGTCCTATGAACATTATTTGATCCTACTCTCCGTTGATTGGCTACTGACTTTGTAGGCGTGTCAAGTTATGTGCATAAATTAAACGAACACCTGATTCATGTCACGCCACAGTATGTATTCCTACACCTGGAATGTTTATCAATCTCGTCTTTTTTGTCAGTTTTGATATATACAACAGTTTTTGGTTAAACTATCGTAGATTAAACATGTTTTACGTTGTAGAATTTAATTATAAGCATTGACTGTGTATTTTCTTCAGTTCATACAGTTTGCACATAGGTTTTTCGATTCATACCTCAGTGAACCTAAACAAATACACAGTCAATCCTTAACTGTATATTATATTATATGTAATATCTATATGTATATTGCATTTGTGTGTATATATGCATATGCACATTTGTATGTATGTATGTATGTATGTATGTATGTATGAATATGAATATGAATATGAATATGAATTTGATTTCATATTCATACATGCATATACGCATGCTGAATATCATTTAGAAACATAAAACACATAGTGAGGGTGTATTTCACGTATGATGTACGCACATACACTTGAAAGTTGGATTTGGCTCAAAGTCACAAACATTTTCAAAACGTTATTAGGCTGAAAACAATCGCCGAAACACTGCAAACTGAAGATCCAAAACATAACTATTAAGCCAGTATCAAATACATCACCATCGAATAACCAATTTGTTTGTTTCATTGTAAGACACCATCATTTTGCCCGGCAATTTAATTGCCAAGAAATTCAAACGATTCATATACATTCATGAAATATGAAATGAAAATGATTAAATTATGTTGGACAAACAGTTCCCATGTATATGGATCATGACGATACAGTCGTCTAAGGAGTCATACAGAAGTAAGTTACTTGAATAAGCTTGTTCCAGGAACTATTTTTCACCATGAATTTGGAAAATACTCTGGTTTCAAATCACAAAAGCCATCTCTGATTTGACGGCCGCTTCTCCACGAATGTTAATATGCTACTCCTCTTTTGATAGGGATATTGTTTTATCTTTCGATAATTAATGCAAATAACTGATTCTTATATATTAAGTGTATCTTTAATTAACGTGACATATCTCATTATCAAAATAAGTGTAGTGTATCATGAAAAAAGTACGTCTTTTTCACTCAGTCATTGTCGGTACATATTTTGGAATCATGAAATCTACAAAATGCAGAGTTGCGGTTGCTACAATATTCAAAGAATGTATGGCAATGCTTTTTGGCAGAAGACATGATAGAAATCCACTGAGAGAAGGTATTTCAAATAATAGAGACAAAATTGCAAGGCTTGAATAATTTTTAATGATACACACTTGACTTACGAAGTAGCTGGGATACACACTGTCAAAGATTAGCATCTACGCGGGCAAAGAATCTACAGTAAACTACGGTTATAACGAACTCAAAGGGACTACTAATTTTAGTTCGTTTAAAACCGTAGTTCGTTATAAGCATATATATAGCATAACTACAGCAAATAGTCGGGACCAAAAAAGTAAGTTTGTTATATCCGTCAGTTAGTTATAAGCGTGGTCGTTATAACCGTAGTTTACTGTATATGTAAAAACAACATGTAAGCATATACATCACTATCCTTTGTTTACGGGCATATAATCGGTGCTTAGTTAATTCAGATCGACAGTGCACTCAAAAGCTTTGGGGTCAACCAAAACCACTTCACTCAATATCTTCTCAAACACCAACCAGCGTTTCGTGTTTTTAGGATAGAACTGAGATAAACATTTACATTTACCGTGTCGTTAATGTAAAAACTAGGTTACCTGTAGATTTGATAGCAGTAAGTTTACATCTAAAAACTCATGATGCGCTTTCCGTTCCTCATTCTTTTCATCCTCTAAATGAACAAGATCAAGATGCTGCTACCAGCTATTGTCAGAGATACAACAAAAAATACACAGTCAAGTAAACGTTCCCAGTAACAGGCCTTGCACGATCCATAAGAGGGTTTTGTGTCCGAGGATGTTGTGTTGGTCTGGGCCTCCTCTTTCTGGTGATGAACCACGAGCACAATGATAGAAGCAAAGATGGTGAGGAATCCTTGGATCTCGTTCATCAACAGGTACAGAGAGAGCCTGGATGTGCTGTCCGAAGTGGGCGGCATGTTGCCGTGGATCAGACTCAGGAACATTGTATGAGAAACAAAGACAGCCATCAAGAAGCCAAGTTTCTCCCCAGACCGAGCTGGGATGAGAAACACGAATGGGTTAAGGATGGACATGAGGCCCATGGGGAAGAGAAAGTTAATGAGATAGTAAACATATTTCCTTTCCAATGTGAACATGTATTCGGCAATTTCAAATGTTTCTATTAATGAGAGGTACGCAGAAACTCTTCGAGTTTTCCATTCACCATTTTCACCCAAGAAATTTTTTCCTGGAATATCGTTGTCATCAATTGTAATGTTAAGTGTGTATCCATAGGGAGGAGTGAAGAGCAGGGGACAGTGTTGAGTGTCGAAAGGAAATCGTGAAACGTCTATCTTACACACTGTCCGGAAAACATCGACAGTTTGCCATGTCACGTACCCGGAATGCATGACAAGAATAGGTATCTTTGTTTCCACTGGATTCATGTCTGATACACTGTTGCCAACAGATATAGTGGGTGTCCATATGTCGCCACTTCTTACCTCCATCAATCGGACATCTGAATGACTGTGAACATTCCAAGTGAGTCTCGAGTCAAGCCATCTTACCCTGAGATATCCAGTCACAGTCAACTCTTGGGTGACAGAGTTCAAGTCTAGGATCGTGACTGGGGTGAAGGACAGTGAAACGTCTACTGATTTCGAGTTTCCTTTGAACGGAGGAACAGCATTATCTTGTTGTGCAAGAAGATCCTTCCTCAAATGACTTAAAGAGTCTCTTGTTTCTGAATCTGCTTTCACGCCCATAAATACAAACAGGAGAAGGCATATTCTGACCATACCGATTCTCACGTAACGGTCCATATTAAATCACTTCACTGCAATACAACATACAGCGTCAACGCTAGAGAATAACCAGTTTCAATAATCTGGCATAACAGATTCCACTGTGCGCACAGCTCGTCCTTTATAACCCTCGTGAAACATTGCCACAAAACAGGCTTCAGGCACTGTTACAAAAGAGAGAGAGCAATTAAACCGTGTTTGGTCAACGATAACCATAACAGACTGTTCAGGAGCAATTTAATGAATGTATAGCAATACTTTAAGTAATCCCAGTGGAATCTGCAGTGATCGCTGTGCACATTTGGTACGGATGGTCCAAGTCAATCAATATCCATTTAAACTGTATTTTGCTTTGTCATTTGCATCTATGTGCATTTGGGAAAACAGCTTGTAAACGTTACATGTGTATTTGTGATAAAATCGTTATAATTGTGAGTTTAGAGTTGTCATGAAAGCTATGCATATACTGGATTTGTTTGCATGTGTGACATATATGTCATCTGGCTAATGTACAACATGAGGGAACAAAGAATCACTATGTAAAAGCATTCGACCTGCCAAACACGATAAATGAACTATCTATGGTAATGTAATATGTTTAATAGTCTCCAAAGCATATGACATATAAACGTGCAGGTGCACATGAACACCACCTCAACAATAATAATGATTCACATAGGATAATCTTCTTGATAATGTGAAGTGTGTTATTTTAGTTTGAGAATAATATAAATTTTATCCACTTAACATCATTCCAGCAATATCACAGAGGAAGGTAAAAGAAATGGGCTTCACACATTGTGCCCTTGTGAGGAATCGAGCCTGAGTCTTTGACATTACGCGCAATTGCGTTAAAGGCTGGAATATCCTACTGCTGTATATTTACATTAAGTATGTGAACATGACAATTGTCCATTTTAGCCAAAGTTGTAATGACACACCAACAGTGGTAGTAAACTGTTTGCTATCATATGATCTAACCGAGATACAAGACAGTAACATATTGTCAGTACAGTAACAAACACCTGGCGTTTGTTCTATTACACCTCACTCAGCAGAATTCCAGCTACATTCGAATTCCAACAAAATATCAAGTTTGGACCAGACAAACCAGTTCGTTGCCGGAGTATGTTGACAATCAATAGTCAGTGAGTCTGACCAATTCACCAGCTGATTCATGAAGACCTTGTGCGACGTGCATAGGGAATATTACTAAATAGCAAATATTAAGGACAACATTGCAATTCTTGCTTAATTTTTTAAGGATACACACTTTGCTTACGGAGTAGCTGTGACACACACTGTCAATGATTATCATCTTTACTGGCAAAGAATACAAATGTAGAACCAATATACATCGCCATCCTTTGTACAAAAGCATTTAATTGGTGTTTAGTTAATTCATCGACAATCCACTCCAAACATTGGGGTCAACCAAACTGCTTCACTAAGACCTTTTACAAACACCAAACAGCGTTTGTGTTAGTATGATAGAATGGAGATAAACATACACATATCGTGTTTTCAAGGAAAAACTAGGTTACCTGTAGAATTATTCGTGCTAAATGTTACATCTTAAAAATCATGATGCGCGTTCCGTTCCTAATTCTTTTTATCCCTTAAATGAACAGGATCAAGATGCTGCCACCAGCTATTGTCAAAGATACGGCAAAAAATACACAGTCAAGTAAACGTTCCATGTTACAGGACTTGCATGGTCCAGAAAAGGGTTTTGTGTCCGAGGATGTTGTGTTAGTCTGGGCCTCCTCTTTCTGGTGATGAACCACAAGCACAATGATAGAAGCAAAGATGGTGAGGAATCCTTGGATCTCGTTCATCAACAGGTACAGAGACAGCGAGGATGTGCTGTCCGAAGTGGGTGGCATGTTGCCGTGGATCAGACTCAGGAACATTGTATGAGAAACAAAGACAGCCATCAAGAAGCCAAGTTTCTCCCCAGACCGAGCTGGGATGAGAAACACGAATGGGTTAAGGATGGACATGAGGCCCATGGGGAAGAGAAAGTTAATGAGATAGTAAACATATTTCCTTTCCAATGTGAGCATGTATTCGGCAATTTCAAATTTTTCTATTAATGAGAGGAACGCAGAAACTCTTCGAGTTTTCCATTCACCATTTTCACCCAAGAAATTTTTTCCTGGAATATCGTCATCATCAATTGAAATGTTAAGTGTGTATCCATAGGAAGGAGTGAAGAGCAGGGGACAGTGTTGAGTGTCGAAAGGAAATCGTGAAACGTCTATCTTACACACTGTCCGGAAAACATCGACAGTTTGCCATGTCACGTACCCGGAATGCATGACAACAATAGGTATCTTTGTTTCCACTGGATTCATGTCTGATACACTGTTGCCAACAGATATAGTGGGTGTCCATATGTCGCCACTTCTTACCTCCATCAATCGGACATCTGAATGATTGTGAACATTCCAAGTGAGTCTCGAGTCAAGCCAGCTTACCTTGAGATATCCAGTCACAGACAACACTTGGGTGACTGAGTTCAAGTCTAGGATCGTGACCGGGGTGAAGGACAGTGAAACGTCTACTGATTTCGAGTTTCCTTTGAACGGAGGAACAGCATTATCTTGTTGTGCAAGAAGATCCTTCCTCAAATGACTTAAAGAGTCTCTTGTTTCTGAATCTGCTTTCGCACCCATAAATACAAACAGGAGAAGGCATATTCTGACCATACCGATTCTCACGTAACGGTCCATATTAAATCACTTCACTGCAATACAACATACAGTGTCAACGCTAGAGAATAACCAGTTTCGATAATCTGATGTAACAGATTCGACTGGGCGTAATAGGCAAGCTCGTCCTTTAAAGTCCTTGAAACACTGGCATAATCCATTCTACAAGCACTGTTACAACGGAGAGGTCCGTGGAACCGTGTTAGGTCAATGGTAACCATAACAAACTGTCCAGAATCGATTTAATGAATCAAGAAAAATACTTTTAGGAATCCCAGTGGAATTTGAAGCGGACGCTGTATACATTTTGTACATATGGCCCCAGTCGATCGATATCCATCTGAAGGGTATTTTGCTTTGTCATTTGCATCTAAGTGCATTTGGGAAACCCGCTTGTAAATGTTACATGTGCATTTCTAATAAAATCGTTATAATTGTTTAGAGTTTAGAGTTGTCATGACAGCTATGCATATACTGGATTTGTTTGCATGTGTTGGACAGATATGTAATCTGGCTAATGTACAACGAGAGGAAACAAAAAATCACTGTGTAAAAGCATTGGATTTTGCAAACACAATAAATGAATTATCCATGGTAATATAATATGTACATAGTCTCCAACGCACATGACATATAAACGTGCAGGTGCACATGAACATCCACTCAACAATAATAAAGATTCACACAGAAGAATCTTCTTTTGTAACAAATGTTATATTTGGGATAACGCTTTCTTAGTAAAGTACAGATTCTCATACTTTTTTGGGTTGAGTCCCAGAGTGAGGCACCTAATCGCCAGCACACAAAGTCAGCGATCTAACCCACTCAGCCACCGAGGCTTCCACAAAAAATGAAAGTCCGACAACTGGTAGTCAAGATCACGTACTTTGAGTACCCCTCTGACAAGTGTAAATTGGCAAGTGTGGGTTCGAATTCCGGACGGGACTCAACCCCCAAAAAGTACGAGAATCTGCACTTTACTAAGAAAGTGTTATCCCAAATATAACATTTGTTACATTTGACCACTTCTAAATGGCATTGTGTATTCAAGAATCTTCTTGATAATGTGAAGTGTGTCATTTCAGTTTGAGCAATATTCCAGCAATACCACAGAGGAAGGTACAACAAATGGGCTTAACACATTGTGCCAATGTTAGGAATCGAACCTGAAACTTCGACGTGAACCACTGGAAATTCCAACTGCCGTATTTTAACATTGAGTATCTAAACATGACAATTGTCCATTTTAGCAAAAGTTGTAATGACCACCAACAGTGGTAGTAAACTGTTTGCGATCATATGATCTACCAGAGATACAAGACAGTATTCGTACTACATTCGAATTCCAACAGAATATCGAGTTTGGACCAGTCAAATCAGTTCTTAATGTTGTGAAAAGGATACACGTCGACGGTGTATGTTGACACAGTCGCTGAGCCCGACCAATTCATCATCCGATCTATGAAGATCTCATTTAATCGGTGTGTAGTCGACAATGCACTCAAAACAATAGGGTCAATGAAAACCGCTTCACTTACTGACTTCTCCAACATCAGACAGCGTTTCGTGTTTTCATGATAGAACGGAGATAAACATTTACATTTATCATGTCTTTAATGTAAAAACTAGCTTACCTGTAGATTTAATAGCAGTAATTTTGCATCTCAAAACTAATTTTCGTTCCTAATTCTTTTCATCTTCTAAATGAACAGGATAAAGATGCTGGCTCCAGGTTTGTCAGAGATATGACAAAAAATACACAGTCAAGTAAACGTTCCCAGTTACAGGCCTTGCACGGTCCAGAAGAGGGTTTGTGTCCAAGGATGTTGAGTCGGTATGGGCCACCACTTTCTGGTGATGAACCACGAGCACAATGATAGAAGCAAAGATGGTGAGGAATCCTTGGATCTCGTTCATCAACAGGTACAGAGACAGTGTGGATGTGCAGTCCGAGGTGGGTGGCATGTTGCCGTGGATCAGACTCAGGAACATTGTATGAGAAACAAAGACAGCCATCAAGAAGCCAAGTTTCTCCCCGGACCGAGCTGGGATGAGGAACATGAATGGGTTAAGGAAAGCAAAGCAAAGATGGTTAGGATTAATCACCAACAGTGGTGGTAAACTGTTTGCTATCACATGATCTACCCGAGATACAAGTCAGTAGCATATTGTCAGTACAATAACATACCCCCGGCGTTTGTTCTATAACAACTACATTCGATACAAACAAAATATCGAGTTTGGACCAGACAGAAGAGTTCCGAATATTATAAACAAAGATACACGTCGCCGGTGTATGTTGACAATCAACATTCGGTGAGCCTGACCAATTATTCATCCGATGTTTATACATCTGGGGTAACAAGCATAGGCTGTTTGGGAGGTCTAACGCGGAACCTCCACGAGGGTATTGAGAAGCATGGTAAGTTGGCTGGTTCCAGAGTAGTTCCAGATGCAGTTGACCACAACATAAGATGATACTGAACTGTTGGAAGTCACAGTTAAAAAACCCTAAACATCCTGTCAGTGTCCAATACTAATGTGGGCTACCAAAACATATTTGAAAGTAATTTTGAAAAATAGTGGCTGCACCTCCTAAAGTGGTTGTTGAGGTTTGTAGTGTACCTCCTGAGAATGCAGTGTACTTTCGAAGGTTGCAGTGTACCTCCTTAGATTGCAGTGCTGCTTATGGGTTAAAGTGTACCCCTGAGGTTGTTTTACTTTTTGAAGTGGTCGATGTGTACCCTCCGTGGTTGGTGTGTACATCCCTGTTTGTAGTTTCCCCTCAGAGACTTCGTCCCTGACCACTTGATGTGTGAAAATATATCTTTGACAAACTGCTCCGACACTGTCAATTGAATCACCTTGTGGGAGTTTCTGTCTACAAGCAGGATGTCATCTGTTCTGGTTGTTGTCATACCTTGGGGGTGTAACAGAGTTCTATGTCCCTTGTGAGTGTAGGTGAAAACATCATATCCGTCATCAATTCAAGGGAGGCCACTCTTTCGACAGTAACTAACACGTTGTTTTGTCTGTTCATAGGGTGAGTGAGTGAGTGAGTATTGTTTTACGCCGCTTTTAGCATTATTACAGCTATATCACGGCGGGGGACACCAGAAATGGGCTTCATACATTGTACCCATGTCGGGAATAGAACCCGGGTCTTCGGCGTGACGAGCGAACGCTTTAACCACTAGGCTACCCGACCGCCCCTCGAACCAATCTGATTATTAAAACAACAAACTATATTCATCTGGAAAACATGGTCAGCCGTAAACCTTTTCAAAATGAATATGATGGCATTCTCAAAGACATAAACAAAAGTATAAACGTTACTACACATGGGGTTAGAGGGCAAATTTCAAGATTCTTGTAATGGCCGCGCCCACACTGGTGGCAGCGATGTTACCGAGAGTGTAACGAAGGTGTCACGCGCTGGGAAGGAGTTTGGTGTGGCATATGTTGTTGTAGGGAGCCCTAAGAAACTGCCGTGTGCCTTCTTAGATTACAGTCTAGCCTATGAGGTTGATGACTATTTTCAGAGGTGCCTTCCGAGATTACAATGTACCTTCTGAGGCTGCTTACCTCCTTCGGTTGTAGTGTACTACATGAGAATTTAGCGTACATTTCGAGATGGCTGTGTTGTTGTTGTTGTGATTATTATTTGTGGTTTAACGCCGCACTCAGCAATATTCCTGCTATATGACGGCGGTCTGTAAATAATCGAATCTGGACCAGACAATCCAGTGATTGATATCTTGAGCATCGATCCAAGCAATTGGGATCGATGACATGCATCAACCAAGTCAGTAAGCCTGACCACCCGATCACTTTAGTCGCCTTTTACGACAAGCATAGGCTGCCTTTGACCCAATACATAACCGGGCAGCAAATGTCTTCAGGCATCAACGTGACATTGTTTGGTTTGTTATATGACGGCGGTCTGTAAATCCCGTGATCAGACATCATGAGCATCGATCCACGCAATTGGGATACGATGACATGCATCAACCAAGTCAGCGTGCCTGACCACTCGATACCGTTAGTCGCCTCTTACGACAAGCATAGTCGCCTTTAACGGCAAGCTTGGGATGCTGAAGACCTATTCTACCCCGGATCTTCACGTGTCTGATTGCTGTGTGCCTTCTGGTTTGTTGGTTGGTTGGTTTGTTGTTTAACGCCGCACTCAGCAATATTCCAGCTATATGACGGCGGTCTGTAAATAATCGAGTCTGGACCAGACAATCAAGTGATTGATATCATGAGCATCGATCCACGCAATTGGGATACGATGACATGCATCAACCAAGTCAGCGTGCCTGACCACTCGATACCGTTAGTCGCCTTTTACGACAAGCATAGTCGCCTTTAACGGCAAGCTTGGGATGCTGAAGACCTATTCTACCCCGGATCTTCACGTGTCTGATTGCTGTGTGCCTTCTGGTTTGTTGGTTGGTTGGTTTGTTGTTTAACGCCGCACTCAGCAATATTCCAGCTATATGACGGCGGTCTGTAAATAATCGAGTCTGGACCAGACAATCCAGTGATTGATATCATGAGCATCGATCCACGCAATTGGGATCGATGACTTGTATCAACCAAGTCAGCGAGCCTGACCACCCGATCCGTTAGTCGCCTTTTACGACAAGCATATTCACCTTTAACGGCAGGCATGGGTTGCTGAAGACCTATTCTACCCCGGAATCTTCACGGGTCTGTGTGTCTTCTGAGGTTGTAGTAGACCTTCTGAGCGTGTTTACCTCCTACGGTTGAAGTGTGCCTCCTCGTGTTGTAGGGTACCTTCTGAAGCTGTAGTAGACTGTCCTCCTGTTTAGTGTACCTTCTGAGCATGGCGGCACAATAACATGATAATCTCATTTTTTAAATTGATATTTAGAAACCTTAACAGTGTTATAAAACTACTCGCCACTCTTCTCCTATTGACGGAATATATTTAGCGGTTCTAGCTAGGCATTTCTTACCAACATTCTAATTATGTTGTTGTATGGAGATCTGCAACGTTGTAAGGCTTGCTGGTCAGATCACAGCTTGTGAATGCAGTCACGTGTCAAATAGACCGTATATGTCTATTTAAGTCTGTTTTGAGAGTTTAATAGTTTATAGATATTGCGTACATTCCCCGATACGTATAGCATGTGACCATATTTGACAACAAATCACAAACTGTGTCAGTAATTTAAGTTATTTTGTTTATTAGAAAGTTGGGGCACGGGTGGCCCAGTCGTCTAAGGCCCCGCGATTTGCTGTGCAGTGTTGCGTCCCGTGGGCACGCCCAAAACCTATGAATGTGGGTTCGAATCCCAGTTCGCCCCGATTATGTTTCAAGGTGGTAAACGTCTGAGACCTGCATCACTTTGGGCTTTCCTCCCACATTAAGCAGACACGTCGTGATGTAACTGGAATACTGTTGAAAGCGGCGTTAAAGCCAGCTCACTCCCTAATAGAAAGTTGTTGTGTGTTGTGACCGTTTGGCACTCTGTCGACATTACCTGAAACCATTATAATAACAAATTCACAACTACAGACGCATTTTACAAAAAAGTCATCCAATGACATATTTACACTTCTGCTCATGGAAAGTGCAGTTACGGAAGAGTTGCTTCCCTTCTATTGAGAAATCGTTTGAGATATTTCATGCTGTCGGTGAATTATTAAAAAAAAGTGGCCTCTTACGACAAGCATTGTCACCTTTTACGGCAAGCATTGGTTGCTGAAGGCATATATATATATATATATATATATATATATAGCTGGAATATTGCTGAGTGCGATGTTAAACAACAAACAAACGTATATTCGGAATCGTACAATCGATTCTGTTTTTAGCAAGAAATTTGGAATGGGATTCGTCGCTTTAATTTACATCTGATGCGCACATAAAATCGCTGTTTATCTATTAGTTGACTTTCCGGTTCTTGCACTTGTTCTCTGGATTCTTTTGAAAGTCATTATTAGCCTTATTTACGATGTGATATGTAATGACATTTATCAAATCAATTAAACAATGTGAATGCTTCGAAGAAAAGGAAGTTACACACTTCAGAGTGAGTGAGTGACTGAGTTGGGTTTAACGCCGCTTTTAACAGTATTCCAGTTACCACCCGATCCCGTTAGTCGCCCCTTACGACAAGCATAGTCGCCTTCATGGGTCCTGATTTAGTGAAAGGTACAATGTGAATGTGCCGCACTTTGATTAGAAACAGCAAATAAGATGAATCGACATGCACTGAAATATAATATTATCACAAGGCTGATGTGAAAACAGACTCGCTGACTTTGTTGATGCATGTCATCGTATCCCAATTACGTAGGTCGATGCTCATGATATCAATCACTGGATTATCTGGTCCAGACTCGGTTTATTTTTACAGACCGCCGTCATATAGCTGGACCATTGATGAGTGCGGCGTTAAACAACAAACAAACAAACAACTTCAGGATTAATAAGATTTTGTTCTGAACAGGTCTACCTGATGTTTACTCAATAAAATAGGGAAGAAAATTAATTCAACGATTTAGTTTGGACAATTATTAGACACACGGGACTATAGTTACTCGTAGTTCGTTTTAGAAACGCTTGATCCAGGTTTTCAATGACAGCTAACTCCGTCTTTTGTATTAACCGCTAGAGTTCACAGCGACCAACGCTTGGTGGGAAGATAAACACGACAATGTTGCGTTATACGAAGACGGTGTTGTAGCCCGTGTCTACAGTTGGTACGTGGTTCCATTTGCTATACAGTGCTTGACATTAAGTTAGCACATTTAATTGATCATTTCATAAGGAAGAGTGCATAACGTCAGTTCCTGGTTGCAAATGACATTGTTTTGAGTACAGAACACTGAGGCCTTTTCGATAGGACTCTGACCTTATGAAGGGTATTCGGGTGGGCCTACTCTAACAGGTCGAGTTTAGAAACTAGACGACTCGTGTCGTAAGCTAAGGTCTCGAGTACTGACACACAATCTAAATCTGAGAAAAAATGAGAAGTTGTCAAGGGCGTTGATTCGTTTTGACAATATGATGCTGGGAAAAAGACATGTCATTTTGTTTCATATTGACGTCGGTGTCTTTGCATGATGAAATACATTCATGCTTCATTTGTCATCCTGTATAAGTATTACCGGTAATCGGTTAACTTTTTATAATTAGTGACAATGAGTAGTACTGACGGGCGTTAGAAACTAACAGTTTTCGTCCACTAGTCCTTATAATGATAACATATAGCAAAACCCTTAAAAATGGCAATTTTCTACTAGTCCTTATGATACCTTTACCATTGGGCAGTTTGTCAAGGACTATAGGACTAGTGCCAATTTCTAACCCTGCTGAATGTGATATCAGACATTTTCTGTCATTTTGTTTGGTCTGTCAGAGTGTCATTTTGATTTCATTCTGATATCCATATTAATCAGTCAGCGTTGTAATGTATGAGAATGAACATTAATGAATGTGATATATGAACCGTAACCTAGGTACTCGACTTGGGTGGGTTTTCAGAAGGACCTGGGTACCCACAGCACTACCCAGGCCCGTGGTTAGTCACGTAATATAATGTTTAATGACAAAAATTATCAAGGACACTATATGGTTACACTACAAGTCACTAATGTTCAGATTTCTTCCTGACTATGCATCCATTCCTTCTGATTTTTATGTTTGAATAAAGATAAAACTTCAGTCAACTTCAGTGTATGCATGACCAGATTGTTTTATACGTGTATCTAAATACATTCTGTCCTTGGCTACGGTCAAACTAATCCCAATCAGACATTTTGTACCTCGGGTAGTGTCGGGTAATAGAGGGGTGGGTACCCTGGTAGTGAATTTGGTCTCGTTCCAGCTCTAGTATCAGCTTTTTCTTTGTGGATTCAAAACTTGCTTATTTTGGACTATCATCTCGAATGGTTTGACATGTGCTTGGAGCTATTCTCGCTCGTAATGTCGAGCCCCTGGGCATGATACACCACTTGGGTACAATGTGTGGAGCTCGTTGCTGATGTTTCCCCATGATATATTGATGGAATATTCCTGAAAGCAGGGTAAGGCTACACTCATTCACTCATGGACAATTATGTTGCATTATTAGCTTGATCAAGCATTACACCCTTAATATCAGACCCGTGAAGATTCTGGGTAGAATAGGTCTTCAGCAACCTATGCTTGCCGTAAAAGGCGACTATGCTTGTCGTAAAAGGCGACTAAAGTGATCGGGTGGTCAGGCTTACTGACTTGGTTGATGCATGTCATCGATCCCAATTGCGTGGATCGATGCTCAAGATATCAATCACTAGATTGTCTGGTCCATACTCGATTAATTACAGACCGCCGTCATATAGCTGGAATATTGCTGAGTGCGGCGTTAAACAACAAACTGATGTAAGGGGGACATATGAATGCAACATTTGGAGGTCATGATTCGACTTACTCAAGGTGTAACCTGGCAATAAGGTAAACTTTCTATGAGATGATTATAAGATGCCGATTTTAAAAACATGTTCATATTAGCCTTACCAAGTTTGGAACATCTGCATTCAGAGCTTCACTCTTCGTTGAGTGTAGGTTAGGGAAACCTGATGAGGGACCATTGCATCATGTCATGTTGACTGCATGCTTTCATATGGGCTTTCACGACATGCGATTGCATCAGTTGACATATGGACAATATTTTTATTATCCTCCCCCTTTTGCAAAGAGGGTTACTCTCATTTGCAACATAAAGTCCAAGGGTGTTAGTAGATGCAGTGTGATATGCTAAATGACATAAGGTTTTGTTTATTAGTGAATCTCTGAACCTTTTAAATGCCATAGGCACAATACAAAAGTGAACCTTTTAAATGCCATGGGTACAATACAAAAGTGAGCATTTGTATAATTTCTTTATATCATACATATTTGTTCCTGTGTCATGCGAAAGATCATAGGCAGCTATAAAAAAACAACTTGAAAATTCAAGTAAAATATGTCAATAATATTGCAGGTTTTGCGATACATTCTTAGGGTATGCAAAATAGTAGTTTCTATCAGGAGTAGATTATCCATCTCTGAGAAGAGTAGATGTGGAGTACAGTTGCACCGGGATACTGATGCCACCTTTGGAATGACCATGACAAAAAATAGTTGCATCCATACTTGGTGTTAGAAAACACTGTTGAACCTTGAACTGTTGAATTGTTTGGACATAAGGCTCTGTGAAGAGGGTGGACGATTTCAGACAGTCAGTGCTTCATTAAACAAAGGCCAATTGAAGAAATATTTTGCACATTTATTCCTGATAGAAAACTACACAATACTATTTAAAATATCCAGATGTTTTCAATTATACCAAGGTTAAGGCAAAGCGAACACAAAATTTGTATTTGTTTAATAAATGTGTATTGATATTAGACGGGTCTTCTCTTCATGGGTGAGTAATAAATTAAAACCCTTCTTAAAGGAAACAAGGTATAGGTACTGTGTTAATACTCGCTATGACTGTTTGTTCATATAATTGTTTTCAGATTGATGGCCTAAGATGCAAAGTAAGGAGAAGCAGGAAGGAACGCCATGTTGTCCAGAACTACCTTTGCTTCCAACATCCCTGTCATGCTGTCATATGCAGCAACAAGCCTCAGATCAACCTCTGTATGTTCAAAATGGCTGATGCCCATCAGCAGAAAACTAGGTCATCAATTTCACAGCCAACTACATTCACAACCAAGCATAGTGACGAACAGATGCCTGTGCAGAAAATATCCTAGAGTATCACTATGGCAATCTTTGAAACCATTCCGTCATAAAAGCAATATTTCTAGCACTTCTACAAAAGTACGTAAATGGCCAAAACATTTTTTATTGACTCTTGGAATCAGTTCAGGAGCGAGTGGAACATATTATGCATATTTGGAGGAGAAAGACCGGAGGAAAATACGGGTCACAATTGGTGGATTTAGGCGATTCTGGAGTTAAGTTGCATGTTATTAATATTATGTTTATCTTTTGTTGGTATGAAATCTTTCAATGCCCAGTGAACATTCAGCACCTTTCTAAAAGTTTAGTCGACTTATAATATCAAAAATAACTGAGTGGAGGGGACCTATAATTAAAATTAGATCATTTTCTCTGAAACGGTACCTCTCTGCATGAGATGTCTGTTTTCTATTAAGAATTCTCTTGTGGTAGAGCGTCCGTCCGTAGAGCGGAAGGTCTGGGGTACCATTCCCAGCCCCGTCATACGAAAAGACGTTAAAAGATGGTACTTGTTTTACCCTTTCTGGCGCTTGGCAACAAAGGTCCAAAACAAGGACTGGTTGGCATGGAGTCTAAGTGGGATGTTCATGTTAAACTGCTAGTTAGTACAAGCAGCCACAAACACACACATGCATGCACATCTCTATACATACACGTGCATGCATGTCGCTATATAAGTGCAATAATCTTGGACACGGCGTTAAACCCCATTTCATCTTACCATCTATAAACAGTTTTTCAGTTTTGATTCGTAACCACCTTGACAGGGAAATTTGATCTCTGCCAAAGAAAAGCGCCACAGAAACTATAAACCTGTACATTCCATAGAAACTCAAGATGATAGGATGTGTAAAACATCCATGACGATGTAATATAGCATGGCTTTTTTCACATTCAAAGGGACGGTTGGGTAGGCTAGTGGTTAAAACGTTCGCTCATCACACCAAAGAGCCAGTTTCGATTCCCGACATGGGTACAATGTGTGAAGCCCATTTCTGGTGTCCCCCGCCATAATATTGCTGGAGTATTGTTAAATGCGGCGTAAAACCATACTCACATTCAAATTTCCTGGATTAAACTTGTTTACTACTGAGAATTTAGAAGCCTTGGCACTGTTTTGGCTGATCATGCTGATTAGAAAGTCCACGCCAATGGAGGTGTCTTCAAGCAGAGACGGAACAGTAAAACATCTGACTTAAATGAGATAGAGAGGGGACCTATTGAACCTTTGAGTCTGCACTAGGGCTTCATTGTTGAACATATTGGGGTGACCCCAGGGATAATTCTAGGATGGGGTCTTGTGCTTCTAGCCCCTAAATTTGGAAAAAGGCCCACATTTCAAATACAATGGGGCATTTTAACATTGTGCTGTATGTGCGAGTGTGGGTGGAATTTTCACATAAAGGGCTCGTGTCAGAAAATCCCAAGAGTGAACCCTGGGGGTAATTTTTCAGACTTGTGAGTGTACATTATATGTTTGTATGTTGTTAAACACTGATCAATGTTCCAGCTTTATAATGGTGGCATGTAGATAATCAAGCCTGTGTACCCAATCTGTTTAGCTGACTTGTACGACAAGCAAAGGTTGACCAATTCTAACCCGGAACAAAGTTTAGCAAGACTCAATCTCATATTGTAACATGTTTCAGATCAGATCTGGTGAACATGACAAATGTTTTAGCAGTAAATATTTATAAGTATGATCGTGTGTGATTTTAGGTCTCTAGTGATTGGTACTTTAATCTCTCTGGACTACAAATGGTCTCTATGGAACCTGGATGAGGATGGAGAGGAATATGATCGGACGATCAAAGGATGTCATCGGCGGGCAGCTGAGAGGATGTTGCTTGGCTGCTTACAGAATGGAGGGTTGTATATAAAACTTGGACAGGGTCTTGTATCTCTGAACCACATCCTACCTCGAGAATATGTTGATGTGTTGGTTGCTCTGCAAGATAAGGCGCTGGCACGTGGACCACATGAGGTAGGTGATAGTCTGGAAGAAGGAATGAGAATGACGACATTTCGTTGATGTGGGTAGATGATCAAAATTCTATCTCAGTGTGAACATTCTAATTAAGCCATCAAATTGGTGATAAGTGTAGTTATTGTACTGTCTTCTGTTGACAAGTTCTGATGTATTCTAAATTTATTTATTATGTACAGCCTTTCATAGTCACGATGTGGCTGAAATACTGCCGATAAGACCTTAAAATTTGACTCACTCACCAGCTCATGCCATGCAGTATTGCATCTCTTACGCTGACCGGAAATCTAAGATTCTGGGTTCAAATCCCAGCTTTACCCACATTTCTAGGTTTGTCACCACCATACTCATTCTTGTTGGTTTCACTTCACTGATGTGGTAAGCGTCTGCATCCCTTCAGGCTCTCCTCCTATAAGTGCAGAGTTGTGTACCTTGGGCAAGCCAGAAACATTAATCATGGGTTCGAGTCCAGGTTCGTCCCGATTATGTTTCTAGGTTTGTCAGCACCATACTCGTGCTTGTGGGTTTCACCAAAATGTTAAGCGTCAGAGACCTGCATCACTTCTGGCTTTCCTCCCACATCAAGCTGACATGCTGTGATATAACTTCTAAACTGTTCAAAGCAGGGTTAAACCCGACTCACTCACTCACTCACTGCTACACATGCTACATGAAGCTTCGTGACGTGTTATAACTGAGAAACTGTTCAAAGTGGTATTAAACTAAACTCATTCATGTGTAAGAATAATTTTGGTCATTTTTGTATTTTGGTTTGTCCTCTGTTGTGTTTTACTAGGTTTATGAACTCACTGTATCCCAACTACAGGTACAACAACTATTTTTAGAAGATTTTGGAAAGACTCCAAAGGAAATGTTCTCTGAGTTTGAGGAGGAACCAATTGCTGCTGCCAGTCTCGCTCAAGTCCATCGTGCTGTCACCCATGAGGGAGAAAGGGTAGCTGTGAAGGTAAACCACATGATGGAGTAGTTACCATGTATTCAGTGTATAGGGGCATGTTGACTGTGTGTGCTAGGCAAGGGTTGAGATCATGCAAGGTTCAGGATGACTACTGCTGAACAAACTCTGGGCTGAACTTTGGATCTGTATTATCTCTGCAGTCAGCAACAGGGTTGGAAGGCAGTTGTAGCTTCATGTGTTCTGTCTGTGCCAAAACCCTTTGAGACTGCTACCCTGAACTTGGCTCCTAGTACCATTTTTAGTAGAATTTAGTAATGTTATGTGGGCTATTCAGCATTAGAAATTAGCACTAGTCTTGTAGTCCTTGCAAAAGTTCCCAATAGTTAAGGTATCATAAGGACTACCGGTAGTAGAAATTTGCCATTTTTAAGCGTTTTGCTATGTGTTATCATTATAAGGACTACTGGACTAAAACTGTAAATTTCTACCCCTGCTATTATTACCTGAGCTTACCATGCTTATGAGACTGAACATAATTTAAATGAACTCTGGCTTCTGACTAGTGGCTAAAGTCACAGAGCGTGGTGTAGTGCATGTGTTGTGGTGCATTTACTATGAAAAGGAGAGCATGTGCACTTCATCCAGAGCTCGGGGCGGTCAGGTAGCCTAGTGGTTAAAGCGTTCGCTCTTCACGCCGAAGACCCGGGTTCGATTGTCGACATGGGCACAATGTGTGAAGCCCATTTCTGGTGTCCCCCGCCGTGATATTGCTGGAATATTGCTAAAAGCGGCGTAAAACCATACTCACTCACTCATCCAGAGCTCCAGATAACTTTTTGAGCAATTGAGTTTTTACTCGCAGGTTTCTATTTCAATTGGGTTATTACATTTTGCATTCGGTTACCAATATTTTTTACTCATCTATTCATCACTCTGTTGGGTTTTTCCCAAATTGAGTACCAGTAAGCTTTTAGAGATTTAAAAAAATAATAATAATGTTTTAGATGTGATATAACGGTTCTAAATATAGGCTTGACTCAAAAAGTAAATTAGCTCATAATTGTGTCTCGGAAATTGTGTTTCCTAAAACACCGACTTTTACTAGGCATGGCTTGTGCACATGGTGCAGGCAGACAATGTTTATTTATTCAGGCTGTCAGCATGGCACAGTTGTGTTTTAGGGAGTGTATAGAGGGTGTGGAATAAGATGCAGAAATATTATCGTTTTAGATTTGTTATTAACATGATACACATTGAGGAAATATTGTTTGTTTTCTCAGCGCTGTATGCATAACATTTGCATTATCGGACTCAGTACCAATAATAATTGTCAAGTAGTCATTTCTAAGTCATGTTAATACACTATATTAAATATTAAGTTTTACTGTACCTGATGCTGCACAGTGCTTTAGCTTCCCTACCTTTACAAACAGATCAAAACTGGAACAGAAAGACAGTTGAAACACTATAGCTCTTACCCTGTTACTCCAGAGTTACCCCCCTTGGCCCGTACTACCTTATATTCTGCTCTGTCTGCCTACACGACAGACATGCTTACAGTGAACTAAGACTTCCCTCCGATACTTTTAAGTCGTTTCCTGACAGGGGTTTCAATGGTTTTCCTTGAGTATATCTTTCTTCTGACATATATTCTGCTTCTATATGGTATATTTCTGCTTTTTGCTCTTAGTTTTGCAGAAAACGTCAACCATGTACCTAAGCACATTTTTCGTGGCAAGGTTGCCATTTTGTATTTTGTTTTGTATTCTCCTCTGTCAGAGACATTACCTTTACCACCCACAACAACCTCAATGAATACCTCCACATTGGTGCCATTGCCTTAGAGGATTGCTACTCAGGTGACACCCTGTGCCTCTTCTGAGATGTCATCCCGCCGGCCTTCTTGATCCCGTTCCTGATTGAAATTGCCTGAAGACCCCGATGACACCTCCCACAAGTTCTGTAACCTGTGGGTTGCCAGAACTCACCTCTCTGACTGGGAAAGGTTGTCAGCACCCTGAGTCCCCTGATCGCCTCTCCTGTGCCCCTTCTGAGACATCCTCCTGCCTGTCTACTGGATCCTGTTGCAGTCTACTGGATCAGCAGTTTCCTGATGGTCGCCAGCATGTAGACATTGCCTGACCATTGCCACACCTCCTCCAACTCTGGCATCTCGGGACCTCTGATGCGCCTCGCTCCTCCAGAGACTAGCACCAGGGTATGACTTTGCCACCAGGCATGAGGCGCCAGTCTGCTGGCTCGCTTCGATCACTTTTGCCACCGAGATGGCCATTTCTTTGATGATGACTTCATTCCTGACTTTGTTGAAGTGCCTCAGTCAACCCCTGACCCCAGCAGACATGCCACTGAGGTTACTGATCATCAGCCCTGCACTTCGCCAGGACAAGACATATTCCCATAATGGACCTACGGTCCTTGATGCCGCTTAGGTTTCTCCTGCGACATAACCAGTAAGTTGCCGACTTCCCGCCTCGACCATCCATGCAGCTCATCATTGCTTCCTCCGGTTCTTCTCACGGGACCGGCACTTTAAGTGGAGAGTGCTCCAATTTGGAATTCTTCGGCCTGTGGTTATTCAACAGGGTTCAACTGTCTGTCTTTTCCAATACTGTCTGTAAAGGTAGGGATCTAAAGCACTGTGTTGTGTCAGGTAAGTATAAACACATTGCATTTATTCTGAAATGCTCATTATTAGACTTAATATTTAAAACAGATCCAAGACGAACTTCACATTGTAGTCAGAATGATGTATTCATTACAATACCATTGTGGTTTTCCAGGTGCAGTATATAGACCTGCGTGACCGCTTCAGTGGGGATATTCGAACATGTGAGATCCTGTTGCACCTGATTGGCTGGATTCACCCAAAGTTTGGCTTCGCCTGGGTCATTCAGGTAACTAGCTAGCACAGATATGTGGAGAGCATATTTTGTTGATTTCAATATCTCCGTCATGGGATTCCTGGTTAGAATTGTTCCCCAACAACTTATGCTGGTTGTAAGAGGCTATTTAAGAGATCGGGTGATCAAATTAATGAACTTGGGTTATTGCATGTCCTCACCCCGATAGCCTGGATCAGTGCTCAATATCAATAACTGGTTTGTCTGGCCCAGACTCAGTTATTTAAAGGCTGTCATCATGAAGCCGGAATATTGCTGTGTAGCGTAAAACATACAAACAAGATAGCAATATCTAGGTAACCATAGTAACATAAAAAATTATCAGAAGTGATTTACCTTTAGATCATGATAAAAGCATTTTAGCATATTGGTAATTTTTGTAAGAGTAAAATTGTTTTTATATCACCAGTAATTTCTTACAAATATTATTAAGAAATATTCAGAGAGAATTTTACTCTTACAAAAATTACCAATATTCTAAAATGCTTTATATATATTTCTTTTCATGGTCTTCGCAAGGTATTGCAGTATGTTTAATACACTGATAAGTATGAGAAATTTGTTATGTTTCAACTCCCAGTGTACAGTATGAGAAGTATTTTCAGATGATCCTACTACTACTACTACCAATAACAGGAACACATTCATGTTCTGAACGAAGTTTCTTGCCAAAGGAGACACCAGCGTAATCAGTGTTTTAGTATGGGGAAGGCCTGGATCTCTAGAAACTCACAGGAGTCAAGCTGCTGAACACTGTCACTCATTCACCGACTCTTGAAAATGTCACTTAACTTTGTCAGATTTGTGACCAGTGAGCTGTACACAGGACCACTTGCCACCTTGCTATATCGTTGTACCTTTATATATGTTTTCAGGATCTGAAGGGGACATTAGCCCAGGAGCTGGACTTTGTGAATGAGGGTGGTAATGGTGAGAGGTGCCAGAAGGACTTGCAACATCTTAAGTATGTCTACGTCCCCAAGGTGCACTGGGATAAAACAAGTAAGGTAGGTGATCTGTGTCTGTGTGTTAAGTGAATAGTAGAATGAAAGGAATAGTAGAATGCTCTGCTGTTGTGTTATTCAACATGGTGAACCTTCAATATTCAGCTGGCCCATTAGGATTCTGGGTTAGAGGGGGCACAGGTGGTCCAGTCGTCTAAGGCGCCGCGATTCGCTGTGCAGATTTGCCACCCTTGGGCACGCCAGAAACCTATGATTGTGGGTTCGAATCCCGGTTCGCCCCGATTATGTTTCTAGGTTTGTCAGCGCCATACCCGTGCTCGTGGGTTTCACCGAAGTGGTAAATGTCTGAGACCTGCATCACTTGGGGCTTTCCTCCCACATTAAGCTGACACGGCACGATATAACTGGAATACTGTTAAAAGCAGAGTTAAACCCAACTCACTCACTCTGGGTTAGAAAGGTCCCCAGCTACCCATACTGGTCATAAGATTGAGCAATTGTTACGTGTCCACTTCCAAATTAAAATAATAAGTTAACCCAGAAATCTCCACACAAAATTATTAAGTGTGAAACCAACAAATAACAAAGATGTATGCTAACATACATTAAATAGCACTACATTCATGACAACTAACCATTGTTAAAACATAATACTGTAAACTTCTACTGAATCTCAGCAGAAATAAATGTCGTACAATTACATCATTGTTTAACAATAAATTACACTGCCATATAACACTATTTGGATTAGGTAGTTACGAGTTATTGTTGGACATTGGTCCTAATATCGACCACTGGTTTGTCAGGAGAGACTGTCATCGTCTGCCTGGAATATTGTAGAGTTTAAGACTGATATGTATCTGTAAATATTGCTCTTGTTTCAAGTCAAATACAAAATGTTTCAAGCAATCAGCAACTTGTAATAATTCCTACATTAATATGTTTTGGTGAGATCACTTCTATTCTATTTAAAGTATTGGTATATTTAAAGTCACGGGTGGCCCAGTTGTCTAAGCGCTGTGATTCGCTGTGCAGAGTTGCGTCCCTTGGGCACGCCAGAAACCATGTTTCAAGGTTTGTCAGCACCATACCCGTGCTCGTGGGTTTCACGGACGTGTTATAAACCTATTCATTGGGATCGCTATTAAGTAAAAGACTTCTTTCTATAGGCATTAAGACCTATTGTGAGGTTTTACTTTCCAGTCGGGTTAAATCTCATAAACAGGGACGTCGTAATGTCCCTGGGATTTTATATAATATCCCTGGGATATTATATAATGTCCTGGGTATTTTATTAATATAACTTCCTTACACATTGTAACATGTAATGAAATGTAAAATCAAATGCCAAATGTTTTCTTTTTATTCCCGAGGATCGAACTCGCAACCTTCATATCTGTAGCCCAGTGAGTGTACCACGAGGCTACAGAGGTGTTGATAAGCATCACTGGTTTTTAGAATGTCCTTTTCAAGATCTGTACGCCAGCAACAGATATTTTACACGCCTTTTATTTTACCAAAACCTCGTGAGCGTGTTTTCTCCAATATGTAAACGTCTGAGACCTGCATCATTTCGGGCTTTCCTTCACATTAAGCTGACACGCCGCGATATAACTGGAATAATGTTACAAAGCAGCGTTAAACCCAACTCAGTCACTCACTTTTATAACAGTGAATAAAGGTGAGCTTCTGTAGCTCTAGGTTCAAAATGATGGAAGGAAGTTTCGTAGTTGAAAACCTATCATGCTTATTGTACTGATGACATTGTTGAAATAATAAGACATTGTCAAAATGAAAGTATTTTTGAAAGTGCTTGTTTCTCAGTTCTTACTTTTATTGACAGTATGTCTATGTCAAGTACTCTTTGCCTATGTTGACTATAACATGCATCTTATGTTACTCTTAGAGGGTGCTCACAGCGGAATACATTGATGGCTGCAAGATCAGCAACATTGCTGGCATCAAGAACTTGGGTCTGTCACTGAAAGATGTAAATAAACAGTTTGTTAAAACAACTTCTTTTTGTCCTCCGTTACAGTACTTGTTTGCATCAAGGTCTGAGGACACGTCCATAGACGGACTTGAAACAATCAGTTAGCGACATGGAAAATGACAGGATATAAAATGTCCACAACAATAAAATGATAGCATATTTTCCCATTTGGATTTACTTGATTATGTTCATTTTTCAAGATACGGATAACAGATATGCTTGTCTGAATTATTTGTTCAATTGTACTGATAATTTGAAATTCTTGATGCTGATTAAAAAATTCACCTGACGCAACCTTCAGAGTTGTGAGATGTTCATGCACACAGGTATTGTATCTGAGTATAACATTTGACCATACTGACATTCCCTGTTTATTGGACTAACTTATCCCATAGATTCAGATCGGCACACAGCTGGTTGGTTTCACCAGAGTACTAACTTCCAGGACCCATGTCCTTTCAGGATTTCTTTCCTAATATGCCTTGATATAACTTGAATACTGTTCGAATTGACGTTAAACACAACTCACATTCTCTTTTTTGTTCCTGACACAATATAGCTTTGTGACAAAATGTTGGGATTGTTGAGTTGCCTAGTGGATCATGTGTTATAATGTCACGCCAGTGACTTAGGTTTGGTAGAGTTTATGAATCTCCTTCTTTGTATTCCTGGCTATTCCTTGTTAATATTATAATCTGAATCGAAGCAATGTCAGTTGAAAGTCATACATGGTCATTACTGAATGGTTTGTTGTTTTCACTTCATTCCTTCACCTGTGAATGAATGTGTCGGCTATGAGGTGTAGTCGCTGTATTAACCAACCAATCTAGCGAAGGCCTGGGCTCCTTTCCACAAAGTGATCTTAGCACTACGATTGTTGTAAGTTTATGTTAAGGTATATGAGTTACGATCATCTTAACGCTATGATCGCTTTGTGGAATGGGTTCCTGGTGACAACAAGAGGCCAGCTTGCTTTTGTTCAGATCAATGGGTGCCAAGCTGACGTTAGACAAATGGCAAGGTTTCTTGCTTGACATCGTGTGCAACATGTGCCTTAGCCTTGTGGCAGTCTTCTCTACACATTGTTTTAATGGCTCAGGATGGTAGGTTAGTGGGTTCATTTGTACTTCAATGAGTTATTAATTGGGGTAACTATTGGGCTTTTTTTACTATTGCAATTATATTGCAATAGAACCCCACACTATTGCAATAGTTTTGCAATAGTATTAAACCAACTTTAGTGGTTGATTATCAATGTAAAAGAAATCAATAAAGTAATGTTGACACTTTCGGCCTTTTCTCTCCCTGTCGATTATCAAACCAATGGGAAATAACTCTAATCTGAAGTATTCTGATGCATAATTAGTGTTTAAATTGCAAATATTGAAACTATCGACTCTTATGAAGACTATCAATAATATCATCAACTTTTATAAATTCCTATTGAGTAATACAATCGTTGGGCAAACAATTGCACTAAATTGATAGTTTGATATATTGTTACACTCCTAGTTATATACGACCTAATTTCATTAGCGTACTGAAATTAGACATGTGTCACTACTAAAACATACAGTCCATGTATTTTCAAAAGGAATGGAGGAACAAAACATATTCATAAATTGTGAAGTATTTTTGATCACACAAATGGCGTTATTAGTTGCAATATGAAGGGTTGGAAACAGTTGGTGGCAAACTATTGTGGTCGATTATGAATGCTTTTCAAGATAACAAAATTGATTTTAGTAACAAAGACTTGACACATATGGCAATGATTATATATCCACAGTTCATTTTATTACTGGGGCGGTGGGGTAGTCTAGTGATTAAAGCGTCCGCTTGTCATGCAAATGAACTGGTTTCGATTCCCAACATGGGTACAATGTGTAAAGCCAATTTCTGGTGTCCCCGCCGTGATATTGCTGGAATATTGCTAAAAGTGGCATAAATGTATACTCACTCACTCGTTTATTACCAGCAATACTGACCATATATGTTGTTTTCCAGATAGATACCAAGCTAGTCAAATGTTTCTCGGACCAGATCTTCCTGTCTGGTTTTGTCCATGCTGACCCACACCCTGGAAACGTGTTTGTGCGGCGGTCTAAACAAGGCGGTGCCGAGTTGGTGCTATTAGATCATGGCCTATACGACTCCCTCAGTCCCTCTCACAGGGAGTCCCTGTGCCATCTGTATAAAGCCATTGTGATGAAGAACGAACAAGACATGGAAACATACTCCCAGAATCTAGGTGTTGAAGGTGAGGAGAAGGGAGTACTTTGACCAGTATATTACAACAGATGCTATTGGTGTGTCTTGTCTAAGTAGGGGGCACGGTTGGCCCAGTGGTCTAAGGCGCCGCGATTCGCTGTGCAGAGTTGCGGCCCTTGGGCACGCCAGAAACCTATGATTGTGGGTTCGAATCCCAGGTTCACCCAGATTATGTTTCTAGGTTTGTCAGCACCATACCCGTGCTCGTGGGTTTCAACGAAGTGGTAAACGTCTGAGACCTGCATCACTTGGGGCTTTCCTCCCACATTAAACTGATAGCCGTGATATAACTGGAATACTGTTAGAAGCGGCGTTAAACCCAACTCACTCACTCACTCTTGTCTAAGTAGAAATGGATGTTTTATTCATGAGTACTTTTAAAGGCCCGGGGTGCAAACTAGAAATAACCCTCAGGTTTCCAATGAGTCTGGCTATTCCTCAACAGTGTAAATTTGATCTGCCCATGGTGACAGAGCTGTAACAAACAAACCATACAAAGTGATATCTGCTCATATGTCTGTATAATGCTTTTTTCCTGCTCTCTTGATAACGTGCATCCCTAAATACATCTTGGTAAAGAAGCATGGTCCATAATCTCTTTTAATATCCCTTTCTAAGTTCAGAATTTTGCACATTGTCTTGAAGGAGATGTCCAATTTATTTGAATAGGTGGAGTCAATGAACAGTGTTCTCACCTTGAAATGATCACATGCTAAAACAAAGCAACAACTGGACTGTCTAGAGTTATTTACAGGCCGTCATCATATAGCTGAAATATTGCTGGGTGCGGCATTTGACAAACAAAATATTCAATTGCCCCCCCAAGAATCGGGTTCGATTTCCAACATGGGTAGAATGTGGGAAGCCCATTTCTGGTGTCCCCCGCCGTGATTTTGCTGGTATATTGCTATAAGCAGCGTAAAACCATACTCACTCACTCACTTAGTAGAAGTTATGTAACTATGGTGATAAAGAAATGTACTGGAACAAGGTTGTTATTAAGATTTGACACTGTCATTAATATTGCAATGCCTTGCTACTCCTCAGATTTCCACATATTTGCCATAATGCTAGTACAGCGGCCAGTTAGAGTGAAGAACAAGCCTTTGCTCCGCACCAAACCCTTCTCGCGTCAAGAGTGGAGAAACATGTCCAAAGAGTTACAAGATCAACTCAAGAAGGAATTCTTAGTCATTCATGATCGTGTTTTGCAGGTCATGAAAGATATGCCTAAGGGTCTTCTTTTGATATTTAGGTAGGAAATCTCCGTTTTAGTTGATGAGTGGCTTTCTTCACTCTTTATCTTCAGTGGTTGGTGTTATTACGTATTTGTCGTATCAATTTCTCCCTTTTGATTGTGTCATTTCTCTCACTCTTTCCTGAGCAGTTTCACGTTTGCACTCTCTCGACTCTGAATATTGTGATATCAACTGCTTTGTAAGCATGCTTATGGCTGTGTTGGGATGCTTAAATGTGATTCAGTAGGATGGTATGCCAGTTATTATTGATGTACTCTGGAAATGATATCTTCTATCCTGCATGTATCTCATGGCAGTCCTTGGGGGACATAGGTTGGTGTTGCTTACAGGAGGCAGTCTTGAAAATGCTTTTCTTGTTTTGGTGTAAAGATGTAGCGCTTACCAAAATTTGATTGTAAATTGAAAAAAGTTGCTAAGCTTTTGCGCATTTGCATATGTTTATCCTCCTCCTGCTCAGTGTTTGTGGTGGTTTTATATCTGCTGGTTATTACGACCAGTCGTCTATGTCCTGTAATCATGTCACACATGGCTTGGTTGTATTGTGTCAGCATGTTATGATCACGTTGTGTTTTACCTGGGGGACTTATTAAGGTAAATGAGATTGGTCAAACTGCCCCAGTGAAAGCAAAACGACCTAGACAAAAATCCATCATACAGATTTGCTGAACTAAAATCCCTACCTGTCATTTGACTTTCAGTATTCATCTGTGGTTATTTGTTTGTGATCCATTTACAGAGTTAAGACTAGTAGAAAGAATATACACTGTATGTGTTATAACTCCAAAGGGATGCCATCTTTCTACAGGAAATGTGAGAAAGGAAACGCTAGCTGTGCGCTCGTTAGTTCTGTTGCATTAGATATTTTATTATTTTAAACCCAAACATGATTGCTCAGCATGGTGTAAGGACTGGAATAGATCTATTCTTTAATCTTCTTTAATTGCTGCAAGTGCCTGCTTTGGAATGAACATTTGTTTTAATGATTGTAGACCTGTCGTGAGCTGAGTTTGTCTGAGAGTCTCCTCAAGGACAAGCAATGTTAGGCCCATGGTGGCATTCCTTGTCTGTTTTTGAACGACATTTGCGTGATAAGTTAGGTTAGTAATCATGATGAATATTCAATATCTAATTAGTCTGAGAAATGCGTTAAGGGTAGGTAGTTGTAATCAGAAATGACACTGGCATTAATCTTGTTATTTATGTTCATATTCAGAAATATGTAAGACTTACTGAACTTCACATGTCTGCTGACTATTAATATGTTAGAGCATAAGAGTTTAATTCCAAAGAGAAATCCTTAATAGCAGAACCTGGAAAATATTATTCATTATTGCCCTGAGATGAACAAAACTCTGCAAAGGAAGTTCCCTTATTGCATGCTAGCCATAACGCTGTTGACTGGTGAAAAAATCTTTGTGATACAGTGGTAGACACAGCTGAGATAGTAAATACTTGCATACATAAATGCATTTGTGATCATTTGTGTATGTCATGAAAACTAGACAAGATTTGCTTTTGGCATTTTGGTTTAAGGATAGTCCTGTGTTAGCTAGATTCTTTAATGTTAGAGTTACGTGTTAGTCCTGAGGGAATATTGCAGAGATTTGTACTTTCTCCTACCCTCATTTGCTAACAGAAACCATATTAACCACATCTATTTCCAACAACTTGAACAAAACACTTTGAACTACTTGAAAGGTTAATGCAGTTTAATGCCTGTACTAAAACATCAATAAGGTTGCATGCAAACAAAGGCTGACCTGTTATTACTTGCATAATGAATCCTACACCGCTATCTCTTGTAATACGGCCACTTTGAAAGGATGTATTAGTCCGACAGTGATGTTAGTAAAAACCGAAAAAAGTAGGCTGAAAATGTAGGTGGAAAGGCTTGTTCTTCATTCGAGGAAGCTGCTGTTGATGTATCCGTCTCTCTCATCTCTTGGTGACATTTGTTTCCTTAGACCATCGTGTCTTCTGTGAGATTCTGGTACAACGCCCGATAGCACGCAAGACGCTTTACTTGCCGAGTCGAATGACAGAAAAAGACTTGGAACATATGCGAGTGATGGCAGGCCAACACTTTGACAAAATTATGGCTGTGCTGAAATGTATGCCACGAAGTCTGTTGTTAGTCATAAGGTGGGTGTACAAATGCTTGTTGAATATATGCTGCAGAGTGTGTTGTTGCTTCATCAGGTGGGTATCATCAAACAGTAAGTGGTTTGTCTGTTTTTGCAGGAATAAAACAATTGTAAGTGACTGTGAATTAACCAAGCAATATTTTGTGTGTGTTTGTTTCCCTAAACCTAAAAATAGTAGGCCATGCCACTAGAAGCTTACTGTTTCCTGATTGGCTTATAATAGTGGGCAGGGTTTGCATTATCTATCTGAATGATGTCACAGATTTTGTATTGTTTATAACAATTGTTTGTGTGTTCAGGATTAAATAAGCAGTCTTTGAAGCCATTGTGGTTGTGGGGGCATTTTACATGTGTTGTTTTTGAATACATACACAAAGGTTTAATTTTCAAAGTTGAAATATACACATCCACGTAAATATTTCTTCATGAATGTTTGTGCACACGTCCCAGGGGAAATGTGATGTTTTGTTACTATTTACTGGTTGAGAAATTGTCCATGCTTTGCACAGCTGTTGATGTGATGAGGAAATGCCTTTTGCTGGTTGTATCATGAAAAAGGTGAAACAATTTTGAATTTGGAGCTGGTGCTTGATATTCATGGTTCTGGTTTGTTTCTGGGTATTTCACTTCTCAAGCTTCAGTATTTTCTTGCCTCATCTGCAACCTTGAAGTACAGACACACATATTCTACAGTCATAGGGTCTCAGCAATGAACCACACCAGTAAATATAGATTGCAGTAGTCCATGATCGTTTGAAGATGAAATGGGAATCAGATGGACACAATTGGTATTATGTGAACACAATATGGGATACAATGGACACAATTGGGTTCAGATGGATACACTGATGATCGGATAGCGATCCAGTGGACACAATGGGGAGCAGATGAATTCTACGGGATCCAATAGACACAATGGGGAGCAGATGGACACAATGGAGATCAGATGGTCATCATATCATTCAGACACAATGGGCATGAGATGGACACAATATGATTCAGACATAATGAAGATCAGATGGACACAATGGGCATCAGATGGACACAATATGATTCAGACATAATGAAGATCAGATGGACACAATGGGGATCAGATGGATACAATGGGGAACAAATGGACACAATATGATTGAGCCACGATGGGGATCCTATGGCCACAATATGATTCAGACATAATGAAGATCAGATGTACACAATGGGCATCAGATGGACACAATATGATTCAGACATAATGGGGATCAGATGGACACAATGGGGATCAGATGGATACAGTGGGGAACAGATGGATACAATGGGGAACAGATGGACACAATATGATTGAGCCACAATGGGGATCATAAGGCCACAATATGATTTAGACATAATGGGGATCAGATGGACACAATTGGGATCAGATGGATACAATGGGGAACAGATGACCACAATATGATTGAGCCACAATGGGGATCCCATGGCCACAATATGATTCAGACGTAATGGGGATCAGATGGACACATTGGGGATCAGATGGACACAATGGGGAACAGATGGACAAAATGGGGAACAGATGGACACAGTGGGGATCAGATGGATACAATGGGTACATAGTATGGATAGTACTGTAACTGTCCAGTGTCATGGAAGACCTAGTTAGTCTCTGATTGTGTGTCATTGAATCTCAGAATTTGTATAGTGATGCTCACACCTTCAACCACTAGTTGGTCTGCTCTGATGTTTTAATATACTTGTCCGAGTTGAAACTGTGCTACAATTGCTGATGACAGCTCTTGTATCCCTGATGATGAGTCTTGGACTAGGTTTGTGTACATTCAGTCAGGATGTTACTCTCTAACATACTATGAATAATTTATACTGACACACAGTGAAAACACATAATCAGTTTTCACCACAAGAGTTATGTTAGAACTAAATCTTTACTCACCTGACATGACGATGAATGAGAACTGTGTGACAAAATGACATTGTTGTTTGATTATCTCATGCCAGTGTACACAGACATGACAATGAATGAGAACTGTGTGACAAAATGACATTGTTGTTTGATTATCTCATGCCAGTGTACACAGACATGACGATGAATGAGAACTGTGTGACAAAATGACATTGTTGTTTGATTATCTCATGCCAGGGTACACAGACATGACGATGAATGAATTGTTGTTTGATTATCTCATGCCAGTGTACACAGACATGACGATGAATGAATTGTTGTTTGATTATCTCATGCCAGGGTACACAGACATGACGATGAATGAGAACTGTGTGACAAAATGACATTGTTGTTTGATTATCTCATGCCAGTGTACAAGGAACAACCTAATTAGATTTTGGTAGCATTTTTCAAATGTTAACAAAAATTGAATATGTGTTTTCAAAGTGTAACAGTATATTTACCATGTCTTCTGCAAATACAATTTGAAATCTATTTGTACTTTTGAAGAACTTTGTGCTCCCTTTAAAGACAACCTTCCCTATTCAACTTCTCCAATTGATATCATACATAATGTACATATACTCACCGACAAAAGAAATGCGAATGCCATACATGTTGGTTAATATATGAAGAATTACTCATATTCAAGAGATATTAGATTGGTTCGATGCACAAATGAAGATACTGTTATGTTGTGCCAACTGATGCTCATGAACGCATCACATGTGACGTCATAGATCCACGACTCGAGATGCTCCTTTTGTCTGTGGATTAACAATAAACGTGTAAAGTTTGGAAATCAAGTGCAGCGTATGGTTAAAAGAATAAAAAGACTGTGGTAACACTTGACTGATTTTTGGTATTGTCATTAATTGGTACACATTGGAAACATCTCTTCTTAACCTACATACTTCTCTATAAGTTTCAGACCAGTGAAAATCTGGGGTAGAATAGGTCTTCAGCAACCCATACTTGCCGTAAAAGGCGACTCACAGGATTGGGTGGTCAGACTCACTGACTTTGTTGATGCATGTCATCGATCCCAATTGCGTGGATCGATGCTCATGATATCAGTCACTGGATTGTCGGGTCCAGACTTGATTATTTACATACCGCCGTCATATAGCTGTAATATTGCTGAGTACAGCGTTAAACAACTAAGAAGAAACAAACAATATGTTTCTATGGTTCGTGTTTCTTTTGGCAGTGAGTATATTTGTGTACCTTTTGTGTGGTAATCATACCCTGTCAATGTGGGACGTTGCTCATGGTATCAGTCACTGGTTTACCTGGTCTGAACATCAACCTTTACACTACATTTCCAAAATGAAAGTTTTGTCAGAGGTCTTTCTGGGTATTTATTGTGAAACATTGCAATGCTGATTGCTGCACAGACGGGGATAGTGCTGTATTTTGGAATGTTTGTTTTCCAGGAACCTGAACACCATCAGGGCTATCACTAGGGAACATGGCCACCCTGTTGACAGATATGGCATTATGGCTCGCAGGTAGGCCACTCAGACGGATCTGTATACTGTAGTCACTGTTGTAGGAGCAATATGGAAAGTATGTGTATCGTAAATATGTTGTGTGCTTCAACCAGATCACTTGATCTTATTTTGAACATAAAAAAATCCTATAAAAAGGTGTGGGGGGGCATGGGTGGCCCAGTCGTCTAAGGCGCCGTGATTCGCTGTGCAGAGTTGCGTCCCTTGGGCATGCCAGAAACCTATGATTATGGGTTCGAATCCCGGTTCCCCCTGATTATGTTTCAAGGTTTGCACCATACCTGTGCTCGTGGTTTTCACTAAAGTGGTAAACATTTGGGACCTGCATCATTTCGGGCTTTCCTCCCACATTAAGCTGACATGCCGTGATATAACTGGAATACTGTTAAAAGCGGCGTTAAACTCAACTCACTCACCTATAAAAAAAAGAATAAAACCACTTTAAGTGTTTGTGTCATTTTCAAAACCTATGGGCAGTCAGTAGGTATTGAAAAACAACTCTTTTTTTAAATTTCATTAATTAATTTGATTAATCAATTTGATTAAATTTCAGTGCCAAGATCATGACAATCTTTTGTCAAGACAGGCATGAAAACAATTTATGATATATTTTATAGTAAATGGTGTTTTCAGACTTGGCAGTTATAAAAAAACATCTTAATCATATTAATTGAGTATTATACTTTTTTTCTACTATCTTGATTTTTATGACTGGCTGATCCATAAAGCAGTTAATGAAAAAAAGCAACTGATGCAGCTTTGCATGTGATCTCATGTGATAAATCTCATTTTTGTGCATGAAGTGAACATTGTCAACATTCCTTCCTTATTTATGTCATTTTCGCTCAGATTTTAAGACGGCTCCTAATTTTGATTTTGTTGTAGTGCCATATCAGGAACAGCTCGGCAGCTGGCAGGAGGTCTAAACATTACCGGGCACCTAAGGGCATGGTGGGAGAGGTGTGTGTTCGACATCCGTGTCCACACAGAGAATGTTAAACACAGACTGACAATGTTCCTGGCCTTTGCCTTCCTCCGAGTGCTGGAGCTTCTGGGAAGAGCACCCTCTTTGAAGTCCATCAAACAGTTTGCGGACAAGGAAGGGAAGAGGTAGGGTGCATTCAGATTATAACAGATTCCCAAGGTAATAAAAACAAATACAGGTCGGGGGAGCCCTAGAGTGATTCCTGGTTAGAATTGGTCCCCAGCAACGTATGCTTGTTATTAGAGATGACTTACTTCTTGGGTAAAACCATGAGTATGTGTTAGGTGCTGACAAACCAAGAAACATAAAGATAATCAGGGTGAACCCGTATTCGAACACACAATCATAGTTTCCTTGTGTGCCTAAGGGACGCAACTCTGCATGTAACTATATGGATAACTTGTTTATTGTTTGTAACTATGGATAATGACTTTATTGTTTGTAACTAGGGATGATAATGTGTTTATTGTTTACAACAATGGATAACAACTTCTTTATTGTTTGTAACTGGATAACAATGTTTTTATTGTTTGTTACTATGCATAACAACTTTTTTATTGTTTGTAACTAAGGATAAAAACTTCTTTTTTAAAGCTAGTTCATCCTCATTTTTGTTGGAAGTGAAGTGTGGGCTACTGAGAACTTGTCCAAAGTGCCTTCTAAGGAAAAACAATCTGTATTTTTTTGTTTGACACTGTTTCATCTGTTTCAGATTTGATACAATCTGAGACCTGGCAGTTTGAAGCATATTCATCATTGTGACCCTTGTCATCCAGAGAGGAAATACAGCAAAGAAGAAGATTATTGGAACTGACTGTATAACAGGGTGTTCATCACATGGCGGAGTGTAATTCCAGTGCCTGTTTGGTGGCGTTGTTGGTGCGGACAGATTGTGTTAACACCATAGAGAGTTTTCATCTGAAAGCTATGTAACCTTGCAGTTATGGTAAAGTAGTTATTAATATACACTTTTTATAGTTTTGAGTAATTTCTCAATAATCATTGGAAAGTGATTTGTATTACATCAATTACATTAAGTACAACGTTACCACTGTTATACCGAGGCTGTTGTCTCCCACAACTGCTGCTATAGCGAAATCTACCACAGAGATCTCAATTACCTCATGCAGCACGTGCGTAGCCACCTAGCTGCCATGTGACACCCTTCACTCTTGTCTCCTTCGTCTGCTTAGCAAGACGTGTTTTCTCCTGCTGAAGCGTTCCTTGAAGATTTGGTGATACTTATTATAGTTTATTCTCTAATAAACTGTGCTTTTATGGGGCGTTGCGGTAGCTACGCTTGGTTATAATTTTCCCGCCCTTTTTTCTATATACTTGCGGGGTTCGCGTATGCACGTTGTGTTTTACGTTTCCCCTGTTCTTGTATGTTTTGGGGGTTAACATAACTTATTTCTTTAATAAAAGTTATATGTGTATGTTATATGTTCACATTGCTCGTTTATTTTCTTGTGAAAATGCTCGTTTGTGAATCGTTGTGGTGCGTGCGTTGTAACCATGTTTTGTTCTTTGTTTATAGCAAACAATGTCTGACATGGATATGTCCCCAGTATCCACCCCCTCTACCCCTGCTCCTCGGAGTTGTGGGGTGTGCAGAAAGTTTTTGTCATCCCGGGATCCCCACGATCGTTGCCCGCGGTGCAGGGTTCCTTGCGGGGACACCCGGTGTACCCTGTGCGAAGGTCTGGGGCCTGCGGAGTTTGAGCGGTACCGGCTGTACGTACAGTCCGTCTCCACCCCTGTGGTGGCCGGTTCGTCCGGTCGGGGTCCCCGTGCGGGTACCACCTCCTCGGCTGCGGCGGATCCCCTTGCGGCCCTCGGGCTGTCTGGGGATTCCGTCGCCGCATTATTGTCGAAACTTGTGGACTCCAAGCTGGAGGCCTTATCACAAGATAGGCCGCTGGCTGTTCCGTCCCCGGCCTCTTCGGTGGCCGCGGGTTCGGACGCGGGGTCCACCGGTACGGCGGCGGCTGCCGTGGTTACCGGTCCTTCCCCCGAACCGTTGCTTCCGCTATCGGTAAAGGACCGCGTTGCCATGGTGTATGACCTCTTCGAGGACATGCCAAAGCCCCTGCCGATACCGCGGGGAATCCACGGTTCCGTGGGTTCCTCCGAGGTATACGACAAGACGTCCGACAAGGCTTTCCCGGCATCAACCTTGCTGCGCGGGATTAAGCCTTCTTTGGAGAAGGCCTTCACGGCTGCCTCTGGTCGGGGTCTCCCGTTACCTCCCCTGTCGTTGAGAAAAGGGTCTTTCCCAGTACATGACCTTGCCTTTCCCGAGGCTGGTCCTTCTGCGGAAGCCCATGTTGAGCGTTTGGGGGTCCGTGCCCCACCGGTTGCCACGGTACCACAAGGTACCTTGCAACAGCTGGACACCCTCGCTCGACACTCCATGCTGGCAATGTCTCACGGAGACACATACCTGGCTGCAGCGGCCAGTCTGGTCGAAGGTTCTCCCACGGACCGAGACCAGCGCATTTACAACTGCTTGCTCGGTTTGAATGCTTCCCTGGAGTACGTTGCCGGGGCTTCGGCCTTTGTTTCCGGCACGTGCCATTTTCTTCGGCGCCAGTCGTATCTGGTTGCTTCAGGGTTGGACGCTGCTAATCAGGAGGTGCTCCTTTCGCAGCCTTGGTCTGCTCGGACCCTGTTTAATAACAAGATCCCTGGGGTTCTGAAGGAACAACAGGCCGCTGTGTCTGCCGAGGCCTCTCGGCACACACTGGATCTTGTGGGGTCCTTGCATAGGCGCCTGGGTGCCGCTCCGAAGCGGAGCGCGCCCCAGGATGCTGCGTCCGGCAGGCCTAAGGGGTCGGGTCCTTCTTCCTCCGGGAAGAAGCCCCGCTCTGAGGGCTCCGGTAAGGGTTCTCAGCAGCCCTTTCGCGGGAAGAAGGGGAACTGGGGGAAGCCCAAGTCGTCTAAGGACGGCAAGGGCCCCTCCAGGTGACTCTCATTGGAGGGGTTCGTATGCCGACAGCGCCAACTTTGGTTGGCCCGTAGGCGAACCCGAGTCACTTGGCCCTGGACAGTTGCGCCTGCCGCAGCCCGTCCGGCCCCCCTCTCTTTCCCCAGTGGGAGCCAGACTCCAGACTTACTGGGAGAATTGGGAACAAGTGTTCGACGACCCGTGGGTGGTCAACACGATTCGGTACGGCTATCGGCTCGATCTCAAAGCGATTCCGCCGCTCACCATTGCCCCGTCGGCAGGTTTCTATTCGGAAACCGATCTTCCCTTCCTTGCCGATGCCATCGGCAGGTTGGTGGAGAAGAGGGCAGTTCGGGAGTTAGCTCTACCAGAAATAACACCGGGGTTTTACTCCAGGATATTTCTCGTTCCCAAGAAGGACAGTGCCGAACTCAGAATGATTCACAACTTGAAATCGTTCAACGAGTTCTACCTGCGCAAACCGCCCAAGTTCAGAATGTTGAGCTTGACGGACCTGAAAGCACTGATCATGCCGGCCGACTGGCTAGCTTCGATCGACCTGAAGGATGCTTATCTGCATGTTCCGATTCACTCGGATCATCACAAGTATCTCAGGTTTGTCTTTCAAGGCAGGCACTACGAGTGGATTGTACTCCCATTCGGTCTTTCATCCGCTCCCTGGCTGTTCACCCGGTTAACAACCCCCATAGTGGGGTTCCTCCACAGGAGGGGTGTCCGGTACTTCGCGTACCTGGACGACTCGCTAGTAGCAAATCGAATGACGGACACCCTGTCACGCCATCTCGTTTTCGCACGTCGGCTCTTGGAGCAATTGGGGTGGATTGTCAATCTCCCCAAGAGCGAGTTAACCCCTTCTCAGAACTTGCAGTTCATCGGAGGTCGGTTCAACACGGTGTCCCATCGCCTCTTTGTCCCCCCAGACCGGTGGCACAAAATTCAGGCGATGATTGCCAAAGTCTTAGCGGTGCAACAGACTGTTCACTTTTGGGAACAGCTGTTAGGGCTACTTGTATCAGCCCAGGACTGCACCGAACGGGGTCGTCTCCAACTCCGCCCGCTGCAACGGTTTTTAATCCAGTTGTTAGCAACGGAGGTGAACAGTGCGACCGTCGCCCTCCCGGATCGGCTCCGACCGCATCTGGAGTGGTGGACGCTCCCTTACAATGTCTTATCAGGAGTCTCTTTGCGGCCCTACCGGGCCACGTTGAACCTGTATACAGACGCCTCTCTAGTGGGCTGGGGCGCCCATCTAGAGGGGGAGGTGAGCTCGGGGCTGTGGTGCGTAGACCAACTAGGTCTTCACATCAATTGTCTCGAGTTCATGGCAGTGATCAACGCAGTCAATCACTGGAAGCATCGTCTCGTCGACGCCCGGCTCATGCTGGCGACCGACAACACGACGGTAGTGTCCTATGTGAACAAACTGGGGGGAACCCACAGTCACTCGCTACTCGATCTCACGTTCGAGTTTTACGCTCTGGTGGACAGTGTCCCGTGCCAGATACGCGCCCGTCACATCCCAGGTGTGCGGAACGTACTGGCCGATGCTCTATCGAGGCCTCAGGATCCGAGCCCCACAGAGTGGATGCTGAACCCAGTAGTGTTTCAGTGGCTGTACGAACGTTTGGGTTGTCCGATGGTCGACCTGTTCGCAACACGGTTCAACAATCAACTCCCGTTGTTTGTATCACCAGTCCCGGACCCGAGGGCCATCGATCACGATGCTCTCGCGTTAGACTGGACGGGCTTATGCTTACCCGCCGACAGCGTTGATACCACACATTCTAAGCCAGCTTCGAGGAGTTCGCTGTCGAATGTTACTGATCGCGCCCATGTGGCCGAACAGATCGTGGTACCCCGACTTGCTGACCCAGGTCACGCAGTCGCCACTCCCACTGCCTGTGAGACCGGATCTCTTGATCCACCCTCACACCCGTCAGCTTCATCCAAACGCAGGGCAGTTCAATCTGCACGCGTGGATGTTGTCACCGAGCGTCTGAGGAGTAAAGGTTTTTCTTGTCGGGCGTCTCGGGCATACGTTAGTATGCATCTTGATTCTACCCAGAAGGTGTATAATGCACGTTGGGTTATTTTCACGAAGTGGTGTTGTAAACATCACATTCATTCGCCAGATAAGGTATCTGTGCAGGATATTGCTCGTTTCATGTCTCACTTGCGAGAGACCCGGAAACTCTCCGGGGGTTCCATTGCCAACTATGTCTCGTCCGTTGCTACGGTACGGGACGTTGCTATGGGTACCAGTCTCTCCAAAGAGCCGGTGATACGGGGTATTATCAAGGGTTTCAAACAGCATGATCTTAAGAAGGGCAGCCTTCGGGCACCGGCCTGGGATCTTTCCCTAGTGTTGCAATCACTTACGGAAGCTCCGTATGAACCCTTGCATAGTGCTTCGTTCCGGCATGTGACTTGGAAAACAGCATTTCTCCTCTCCTTTGCCACGGCGGCACGTGTATCCGAAATTCATGCACTCGATGTCGCCAAGGTACGATTCGATAGGGGTGACGAAGGAGCGGTCCGCCTGGGCCTGCTCATGGGCTTCGTCGCCAAGAATCAGAGAGTCGGGCAAACGGAGAGAGAATTCACTGTAAGATCACTCAAAGAAATCTTACATCCTGCTGATACTGAGGACAGAGCGCTGTGTCCGGTTAGGGCCCTTAAGTATTATCTTAAGGCTTCGAATGAACGTAGACAAGGGCGTGACCGTCTGTTCATATCGTGTAACCCTAATCGCACGGTTGACATAACTCGCAACTCGATTGCGTTGTGGCTTCGTTCTGTCATCAATCTGGCGTACCGGTCTCGGGGGTTACCGGTAGCGGGGTCAAACCCGCACGAGATCAGGGCGCTAGCGGCAACATTTGCCCTACACTCGAATATCTCTGTTCACAGAATATTACGAGGTTGTTACTGGCGTTCTGACTCGGTTTTTGCCAATCATTACCTCAGAAAGGTTTCTGATGAAGACGTGGAGGGGGTGCACCGTCTTGGGCCGCTGATCGCGGCACAAGCGGTCATCTAGGGGGTGTGTCCAGCGCAATTCCAAACTCCGCAGTCGTCAGTCCTTGCACGGTGGTCAATCTGGGTCGTCTCCAATGTTCCCACGCCGTGGGTAC